CCGAAAAAAAACATAGGAAGTAAAAGAAAAGAATGGATTGGAATGGGTACTGTGTAAATATTAGTAGTATTAGTACAAACAAATATGTGAAGTAGATAAGAAGTAATAAAGGAGTGGAAGGAAATAGCATATATATGCATGCCTGAGCTGCAAAGATCGGACGATGTGTTTCAGACTTTTAACGATAAATAATGTTCCTTGATAAGGAGATTAAGAATTAATTTGTCGACTGGTTTTCAGATTACCAATTTAATACCTGTTGCTGTATCTGCTCTTTTTCTCAAACAGAAAACAAATTTTACTAAAAATCATATCTACGCAGCAAAATATTCAGTAAATAACGGAGTTGCAAATGATATGACATTATTAACTTTTCAATGATTTCTCATTTTTTGCCAAAATGGTATTTTCATCGACTTCCCCATGAATTTTACTTTGTACATGCTTACAATTTGAAGTTTTTTATATTTGTGTAATAAATTGTTGTTTTATTTTTGAAATCTTTTAAGACTTATGAAGATCATAGCAATTTTAATAATTGTAAGAGATGGAAAAATCAGAGATGAATTGGATAAGGATTAAATTATGTCAATATTTTATTTCTGCTTTTTATTCATTATTGATCATTTTATCTAATTGATTATTACGAAGAATATCATTCGTCTGATGATAATTTAAAAAAATCCAAGGCAATCGTAAACTTTTATATAAATGTCTCTTTTTTTAGAAGCTAATTTTTAATTAAAAGATCGTTTTTATTATTTAAGTTTTAAACATACTACGTCAGTAAGTTATAACGTGGACATATCAAAAATTTATACAAATAGCTCATTATAGATCATATCGTTATTTTTCTTTTCCTTTCATTTTCTTTTGCTTACCTTCTGAAGAAGGAAGATTTTGTTTTCTCTTATTTGGCTATTAGCAGCAATGTATAATCCTTTCATTATTGCGCTTTTATTTTTAACAATTTAAATAAATTTCAAGAAAATAGTGATATGATTAATAAAATAAGGAATGGAAAATGAATCCATCGAGAAAGACGAGAAAGATGTGAAGGAAATACCAATAAATGTGATCGAAGTGACACGTAAGAGACGTTTCTATAAAGCAAATGAGAATCCTCCAATTTCACTTGCATTACTTTTTGCGTTGCAAGTAAGTGCATTTTTCCTTATGATTATACGAATATGCTTTAATCTATCTGATTTACATTTTATTTACTGCATGCAATTGTTTACAATATGAGAACAAAATATGTTAGAATGCAAACTGTTTTGAATCACTTCCGATTTACTTTGCAGTATGTTAGCTTTTTCAATTCGTAATTTTCGGGTAAAAAATTGGAGGATATATCATTTAAGTTTAAATGAATTACAATTGAAAAAATTCACATTGTTCCGCACTCTTCTTGAGCTTAAAATCAATTCGAAATTTTAGGATTTCACTAATTAACATAAAAGTATGTTCAAAGATTTTGGTAGTTAAGACATATGTCATGCTTTTAATGCTAATTGAAGGATCATTTAACGACAACGAACCACTGTTTTGTTATCATTCCTATCCAATTTGAATTGCTCATAATTTTGAGGAAGCAGTTTATGAATGCTATTATCTTAGCATTATTTGATGGTACCTATGGTATCTTTCCTAGTTTCTTTAAATGATGGCACTTATTTCAGCAGGTAATGGTGTGTGTAAGCGCATTGTTAACAATTCCGTTTATTCTGTCAAATGAGCTTTGTGCCGGCCGCGATGTGTATACATTACGAGTATTGCTTATTTCGTCAACATTTGTCGTTAGTGGCTTATCAACTATCATTCAGACAATGTTCGGAACAAGGTTCTTTTTCCTTAAATAAAAAGTAATCCGAAGTAGATACTTAACTGAATTGCAATATAACCTGGCACATTATGCTTTAAAGATAAATAGTTGGTCTTTAGTAGTACTTCTATAATAAATAGTTGGTCTTTAGTAGTACTTCTATAATTACAATGATTGTTAGAAATTATTCATCGATTTAAGTATTCATGCAAAAATTTCGAAATTGCAGAAGTTCCTGCATTAGCTGAGGAGTATTAATAAAGAAGTTTTTCAGGTTAGCGCTTTTACAAGGAACAGCATTTGCATATATTCCATCGATTCAAGTATTCATGCAATTACCTGAATACAAATGCATTTTTACGGATGATGATGTTGTGGCTGCTTCCGTTTATCAGAATAAACTTGCTATTGTAAACATCTTAATTTAAATCTTTTATTTAACTTTTTTCAGTTTCTTTAAATTTTATGCTACTATATTTTAGGAAGAAAAAAATCATTTTTATGCGAGCTTATTTTCAGCAATAATGTTTTTATTATTGAGCATATTATCGTCTGTTTCCTAACTTCATTATTTTTCTCAGTAAATTTGACTTCTGGTATCTCTGCAACTACGTTTACAGTGCTCCAATTTTAGTAATATAGCATTTATCAACTGGTGGATTTTGGAGGATCATGAATAATTGATAGTGAAATGAATAGGGAACAAATAATAGTAACTAATTACATAATGAGAAATTCAAACAAGTAAATCTATGACGAATTAAATAAACTTATCGAATGATCTACTAGAATATTGCAAATAGGAAAAATTGTTGAAAATAGATAAAAGTATAAATGAAAATGTAGATTCAAGGATGCTTGATGGCATCATCATTAATACCAATGATAATTGGTATGACCGGTATAGTTGGGATATTGACGAAATTTATTGGACCAATTACCGTATCACCGCTTATGTTACTCCTAGTACTTAGTGCAGTTGATCTATGTGTTGAACGAATTTCGAAACATTGGGTTGCTGTGATGTAAGTTTTTTATAAATTTTAAAGAATTTTTTGCCACAAATTTTAAAAATCTTCAAAAATTTTATTTTCAAATTTACTTCTTGTGAGAATGGAAGATGAAAAACATAAGTGGTGATTATCTGTTGATTGTTTGAAAAAGTGCCAAATAAGATGTCAGCAACTTAACATAGCATTAGTTAGCTCATTCAATAGAAGTAGAAAATCTTGATGTCCAGATTAGATTATATCTCTGCTTCAGTTGTTCAAATTTAAACTATAAATTTAGACAAGCAGCTGCTTTGTTTGCTACAATTTTATATTTGGCGGATTGGAAAGTGCCTACGCTTGGCTATAAAAATAATCGTTTTGCAATTGTTCGAACCAATATTTTCGGCCAGTATCCGGTAGATTTTGGAAGTTGTAGAAGTTTGAAAAAAAATTAATATTGCATAATAAGTGTTTAAATGTTATTCGTTACAGCCTGCTAATAATTATAGAAGAATTTTGTTAAATTCAGGATTAGAAATGAATTATGAATTCGTCATCTGAAATGGTATTTCAGTATTTGATTGCTATATTGACATCGTGGGGCTTTTGCTTGTTTCTTACGTTAACAGATTTGACAACACCCGATAGTGCTGCACGATTGGACAAAAACGAAACAATTGCAGTAATCAAGCGTGCCGAATGGTTGCGGTTTCCATATCCCGGTTAGATCTAAATACTCTGTCGGAATTAGGTACTGAAAATAGTTGAGAAACAACTTATCGTACTCCACAGCAACTGTTTTTAACTTCTTTCTATATGATAAATAATCCTCAGCGTTGAATTTCACAATTTTGACGAATTGGGTTAAAAACAATCGAACTGTGATTGACTGTTATCCCAGTTCAGTACTTTATTTAATGTATTTACTTCCTTTTTTAATTTTATTCCGATCAGATGTCCCGCAATTTCATACTGGACTTTTTTGCGCATTCGTTATTTCGGCGCTAACATCAGTCTTCGAATCGGTCGGTGATTATCATGCAGCGGCTCGAGTATCCGAAGAACGCTCACCACCTTCACATGCAATTAATCGTGGTATTTTGGCTGAAGGTAATATCGGATCAATACTTTCTTTAACAAATTTTTAAAAAGATTTATTATGTATTTATTGCACACTGATAACAATAGAAGAACTTAGGTTTTGGTTCCTTGCTAGCCGGATTACTTGGTCCAGGAGTTGGTATGACGACGCACACAGAAAATATTGGTGTCATTGGTGTCACTCGAGTAAGTGAACAGTTCTGATTTCATAACAAGCCAATTTTCTAACTCTCCAATTGAATATTATAAATTTTGAAATCATTTTTCATCATTCCAAGTCTGAAGGTGTTTGGTATGGTTTATTTCTTATTGTTTCACTGATCGTTATTTTTTATACATCTACATTTTAAATGAAAATCCGTTGGATACCACATTAACAGACGATTGGTTGTTTGTTTATCAGCATTATTATTTGTTCAACTCATTAGTCTTCCCTTAATGGTTTCAGGTAGCAAGTCGATTTACGATGGTATTAGCTGGTGTGATACTCATCCTGTTGGGTGTGTTTACAAAAGTTGGTGCGCTTTTGTCAACCATCCCAGATCCACTGGTTGGTGGTATTTTGGCTAGTAGTATGGCAATGGTTGGCGGTGTAGCAATAGCCAATATCCAGCAGGTACAGTTTGTGAAATTTAAATTTCAAAAGTCCTTTTCAACCTTCACATATGGATTAGGAAATCAGTGATTGTTTATGCTCTCAACCGTAAATGAAGAAATCATTCAAGTCCGGCAGCAATTGAAGCTAATATTAATACGTTTTGTAAAATAACTTTTAAATTAACTTTGTATATTCAGTTAAATGCTCAGAAATGTTTTTTTAGAAATTATCCATCTTGTATATTATTTCAGGTCGATTTGCAATGTACACGGAATATAGCGGTATTAGGATTCTCGATAATGGTTGGAATGATTGTGCCGAGCTATTTTCGACAGAATCCTATCAGAACAGGTCTTATTTTCTGTTAATTTTAGAAATTTTTTGTTATATTTTTTGGCCTTCTATTTTTTAAAAACTAAGCCTTTTTGTGATTATCACGTCTGTTCAGGAATCGCTGTGATCGATCAGGTGCTTACAGTTCTTTTTACTTTACCGATGTTTGTTGGAGCATTTGTCGCATGCGTTCTTGATAATACCGTTTCAGGTGATTTCGAATTATAATAATAGCAGTAGTATATAATCTTATTAATTATTTAATAAATATCTGATTTCGTGTTGATTATTAGACAACCAGCAATTCATATTATATTAGCTAGATGTAATTATTAAAACACCGTTTTCCGTAATGCCCATACTGCCTGATCATTTGATACAGCATTTTTTTAGACTGCATCAAAAGTATAAGGACCTTGGAGAGGAAGAATCATGATATCACTGATTAAATCATTTGTATTTTAAAAGTGGGTTGAATTTATTATCATTATTTGATATAGAACCATCAACTAAGATAATATGTTACAGGTGCTACTCGTGAGCAGCGTGGTTTACGTTCACGCGGTTTAGCGCATGAATTGGGTGAAAATAATTACGACATATACGCATTACCAGCTTTTATGATGAAATTGATTGAAAAAGCTTCTTGTCTGAAAGTGTTGCCGTTTATACCGAAGGAAAAGAAAATCACCAATCGTGTAAATGACTCATTACCATGATGATGGAATTTATGTTTTATTAAAAATCGAGGGGCAAAGATTGATGAAATCTATTGAAAGTTGCAAATATTTCGAAAAATTTTCCAGAGTATTGCAGAAACCGGTACAGGTGTTTCATGACTGTCTTTTAAAAGAAGGCAACGAAGTTGACAACTAAACTATCTAATATACCCCTGTTTAGATCTTTTGATCACTACCGGTCAATGCATTCTTGAAATATTTGAAACTTTTCCAAAGCAGGCTAATTTTCTTTAAAAAATTGCTCCCTGAGAGTAGTTTTTCAAATTAAAATTATTTTTCCGCTTCAAAGCAATAAATTTCCTTGGAATTTCTTTTTTCCCAAAATTCTTGCATATATTATGTAAACATCAAAATTGTGAACTAAATCGATGAATTTATGCCGGTTTCCAGTACATTCTGGAACAACTCAGAAAGTTTTAAATCGGATCATAAAAATTAAAAAATCAAGAAATAAGGTACTTTCCTGACCGCCTGTGCTTTCAATTTTCTCAGTCTTAACTTGCAACATTCTACATTTTACTTTTATTTAGAAGAAATAGAAAATGGAATATATACAATTTATTCCGGTTACTGATCTCCTTCTTCACAGCTTTCGCTATGAAACATCGTGGTTTGAATACTTCTTTTTTACATAGTTCTCTTTTTACGCCATTTGCTGCACTATTATTATGTTGCGTAATCTTTGAAGTTGCTGCAAAAATTCCACGTAATGGCAGAAATGAACCACTTAATTGTTTTTTCCAAGAACAATAACTCTCCGTGATACTATAACTATTCCTTATCATATTTTATTCAGTCTCACTTGTTGTTAAAGTACTTATCACTTTTAAAAATACCGATGCAATTAATGCTTCTTGAATGTAAATAAATCTCGAATAATATAAAAACAGAAAGATGATTACTCTCCGAGCAGAAGTTCTGATATTTCAGCAATAGCAATTATCGTAAACGTGACGTGAAGAGGGGCTTAGCACGTCTCCAATATGATAGGGGGCTGAACAGTAAGTGAGAAACTACAGGGCGATATTAACTAAGTGATAAAGGGCTTCAAAGGTAAGTCTGTTCATTATCAATTCTTCAAATCAAGTCTTCAGTTTCTCTCTCTAATTCTTGATTTTAAGTTACCATACATTACAATAATATCTGGAGAAGGACGAAAACAGTTATCGAGAGATGGAAATGCAAACAAAAAGAGTCAAAACATAATTAAGGAATCAGACTACAGAGAATTAAATCTTTCCTGGCCATTATTGACATTAAAAATTTGCAAATGTATGAAAAAACTCCAGCATGAGTAGTCTCTAATTCTTGTTTTTAAGTTTCTATATATTACAATAACATCTGAAGAGGGACGAAAACCCCATATAACGGAGGGATATTAATTCTTCAGAGAAAAAAGAAACAATTATATACTGGAAGAAAGGTGATAAAGGAGAAATGACCTAATCACAATGTTATTGTAATATATAGAGTAATCACAAGGTCATTTTAATTAATTGCATGGTATGTTTTCAACATTATCGTTAACAACACCGGAAAGGTTCAAGCGAAGAAATCAGAGTCGGAATCATCGACATTTAGATCAACCGTTTGCAACATTCCATCATTAAATCTGTTCATAAATGTCGGTTTGTCATCAGCAGCACTATTTGCTGAACTTCCTAAGATTTTAGCTAGGAAATTAAATCCATCATCTGTAGTGTTTGGTAGATGCGAAGGCTGCCATGTGCTTTCTGTCGCCACAGGTCTGAAAAGTTACTTTTAAAAAATCAAAAAAAAATGAAGTAGATTGATGAAGTTGATATTTTTAATCATAGTTTTTCAGTGCTAAATGAAAGAGTTCAGAGTTCACTCTTAACAAGTGACTATCCAATTTGTCGTCTAGCAAGGTTGTCTGTCCAAGTTGAACGATTTTGAAAATTTCAAAGATTTAGGAATCTTAAAAACTGAACAAATTTTCTAACTACTACGCACCATAGTAATTTAAAACGCATAAACAAAAAAACCTCGATTTTGCAGCCATCACTTCCTGGCTTGACGATTTTTGATCGCCTTCTTGCCCATTCAGCATTTGGGAGAGATCAAATGTTTCTCTCAAGGTTGCTGAAATTTTTAAACATGATTTATCAGTGGCCGTTTTTTTTATTTAAAATAATTTTTTTGCTCTTCTGATGAAAATTTAAAAAAATTTTTAAGGAAATGTTTCAAAATAGTAACCAGAAATTGTGAAATTTCAATGGCAAGCAATAAAATTTTGAAACAATTATAATTCACAGGTGGTTTATTGACGTGAAGTTCACTTCTAAAAAATTACAGTATTAGATAGACTCATTCTTCAGTCCTAAAATAAAATTAAACCAATTACAGTTTGCTTCAGTTCGTTGCACTTCTTGAAGATGACTTAATTCTTTCTGATGCCCTGTCGGTATGTTTGAATTTTTCATCTTATCAGTAAGAGACTGTTCAAAGTTTCCTTTAACCTGATCATCACTTCTTCCTTCTGTGCTATTAGTATTTTTTTTCAAATATTCCATTCGCATATTTTCAAAATCTTCAGCATTTGGTAGCGGAGTATCCAATAAAATGCATGGATCTAAAGGAGACATTGAATTAAGATATAAATTAAATCTATTTGTCAAAATTGCATTTTGAAAAAAACTTCAACGGATTCAACAACGATCAATTTTGTTTACCAATCTGATTGATTTGCTTGCGCAAATCATATAAACTTTTCAGTTGATCGACATTTGACTTATCTGCTCGTTTCCAAGGTATTGATTGACTTTTCGAGGAACAAAATTCAGGTCCCAGTGAAAGATAGTAATCAGCGGTAGATAAATATAGTCGGTGCTCACGTAAGTTTTCCAAATCTTCTGCTATCTTCTTTAATCTTTTTTTGATCATAATTAAATCGGGTTCCAGAGCTGGTCCACTACAAATGACAACATCAAAATAATGTTTTAAAAACTTTGATCTTCAAGAAAATAATAGATCACCAGAATTCCGAAGAAAATTCCATGAAAAATTTCTGATCAAATTCTTACCATGTTGGTATTGGATCATTTGGTTCAAAATTATTCAGTTCTAGTTTCTTACATGGTGCAATAAACTGTTTATTAAGATCCCAATGATATTTATTCGTTGCCAAGCTGTCTAAGATTGATCGTTGGAATCGATTTGATGTTAATTGCTATTCATAAGTTAAACATTATAAATTTAAAGTTTTCAAAACGTCATAAAAAGTTTTACTGATTTTGAAATATGTGCAAGAACCCCCAGCTAATCCATACTAAATTTTACTCATTTCTTATAATTTTGGAAGCCACCAGCTAATCTATATTAAATTTTACTCCTTATAATTTTCATCTTTGTCAATTTTTTACGTATTCTTTTTGTGAAGCATAAAAATAATTGCTGACAGCAAAGATTCGTTTAAAAAGAGTGAATGAATTCAAATTCAATTTTTTTGATCCCGAAAATTATGAAAGAATTATGAAAGAAGAAAGGGAAAGAAAATTATGAAAGAAGAAAGGGAAAGAATTTTAATAATAAAATAAAATGCTCAAATAATACCTGCTTATGTATTTGCATTTCGGGTGGTTTCCAGCTAGGATATTTCTGTCGTAGGAAACTCACATATTCATCCTTAATAAAATTATAATTTCACATATTAAAATGGAAAAATGATTGTAGTAACGAATAAATCAATGTTGATGATTGATTATATGCCTCGTCACGTTGGAAATAGTTAGTTCAAATGATGATTTGTACAGAAGTCTAAGAAATAAAAGTTTCTTGAAATTAAAAAAGATTAAATGAAATACTTTTAATCAGAAATCAGTTTTTTCTGGATTTAAATCAAAAATAGCTGGTTAAAAACTCCAAAAGTTGCATGCGAAAGCAAATGAGAATTAAAACTTTCGAGGTTCTATATCAATTGTTAATACTGCCCCGTTCTTTAACACGACCTGTCCTGATACTGCTTGGTTCTTCAATGCATCCTTTTCTGATAACAATAGGACAGCATCACTTCCAGCGCGAGAGAAGGATTTACTGTGAAAAGTCATTATTCCATCTAAACTTTACTTAGATTACGCTACTGACAGATTAGTTATCCTGACTTGTCGAAGAATGTAATCCAACTTACTCTTGCGTTTTTTGCTGTTTCTAATTTAAAATCCATTTTCACTAGTCGTTTCTCCAATTCATCTATATCATTTCGGATAGACGCAGTGGAACCAGTCATTATCAAGCGACCACTTCAAATCGAGTTCTTGAAAAGCGACAGCGATAAGAAGCAATTACCATGGGAACCAAATTCTATGATATCATTAAATTAGGCCTTTCACTCATTTCGACAGCCACAAACCTATGACATTTTTCCTTTTTTTCAGGACGATCAATAAGCTCATGCAGTTGAGACACAATTACGCACTCTATTCATTTTATGAACAGTAATAACAAATAAATAAGCATACAATATACAGATTAAAATAACTTAATTTGCTGTTTTAAACACAAAGATGAGTGATTTTATAGAAATAATAAAATATGCTAGCATAATTATTAAACTCCTTTCCCAACAATAGTTATTGAAAATAAGAACTTGAAATTTAAATCAAATATCATAAGTGAGACAATTCGCCAATTTTTAAATCTATTTAAATGTATTAAATTAATAAATTTAACCACCAGCAATTACCAGAGTGAAAAAAACCCCCTTCACCATAATTCAATTTGCAAGAAAATACCGAGCCAGTTAAATGGAGGAAAAAAGTATGCTTTACATATAAAAATAAAGCAAGACTTCTATTTGAATGTAATCTTCTTGGATGAATTTGCGATCATTCGTCTGTTCTTTAAAAATTGGAAATTGGATTTGTTTTAGAAAATGGAGTAAAACTAAAGCAAGCTGAATAATCCTGACACTACGTGGAATACAAAACTTTTGTTCAAATGGGAGAATTATAGTTAAGGTGGAAAGTGAAACATTAACACAACCACAATAAATACTAATCTTGATGATAAGTGTTTCTATGATCTAATTTTATCGCAACACATTTGCAAAGGTTATTAATGCTATGGTTAATATAATATGCTTGAAAATTTTTAAAAACTTGAAAATTTCTAGAGGTATTTTTTAATTCAATAACATTTTTTCCTTCCAGTAGGACTGCCTAATTCAATAACATTTTTATCACCTATTACAGATGTTTCGGCTAAAACTAATCATTTCATTTTTAAATGATAAGCATAATTACTTTGTATAACTATTTCAAATCTTCATCACTTCCATCATCCTCTCCTTCTTTAACACCGTTATCGCTGTTTGTGCCAATTATTCCAGAATTGACTTTTAATTCTTTCATTAAACGCAGATACTGAAATACAAAAAATTTTACCACCATGAAGTTGCACATCTCTAATAATAAATATTGAAAAGGACAACTATATTTTATACATTAGATCCATTCATAGATAAACTCATAGGTTGATAATAGATTAAAAGTAAATATCTCCCACTCAAACGCATGAAATATTATGCTGTAAACATTATTTTGCATCGAACTCTAGGAAGCAAGAAGAGATATTCTGATGAAAATGATGAAAATTCTGAAGCTAAAAAATAAAAATTTAAAAACTAAAAAATTTTCCGAAAACAATAACTACCTCATTATCCATATTCCTCAGAATTGGACGTTGAAGGACCTGTTGAAAGCGAATATTATCACCTGATTCAAAAGCTGAGATCAACGCACAACAAACCTTCGCATCTTCCGAAATTTCAAATTCTTCACATCTGAACGGACAAAGAATATATTTATACTTCGTAATTTATATTTCGTTTACTGAAATTGAAAAAAAAAACAATAGCAATATCAAATAAATCATATGTTGAACAGTAAAATTTACTTCAATGACTTTTGAATACTTTCTGTCGCTGACACTACATCATCACGTGCTAGCTGGACAAGAACAAGAGCGATAGTAAGCTGTCCTACCCGACCAGTTTCCTGAAACATAAAGGATAACTACAACAGTAGAAAGCGCACTATGTGATAGAGTCAAAAAATACTTCGTGAAACGGATGGTGAATTATCATACAACTTTCAAGTGAATACAACATATGACTGTCACAGAAGTGAAAAAATGAATTTTGATTTTTATTACAATAATAGCTGGTAGAAAAAAGAACAAAATAAGCGACATTTAAATTATATAAGTTTACATTCAAGTTGGCTTAAATTTTCATCACTTAAAAATGGAAGGAATTCTGCTTGGCTCTCCTCTAAAACTACTTTCTATTTTACTTTATTTAATTGGAACGATAAGCTTCATCTGGATCTTTCAATTGAAAATCAAAATTCTTTTCAGGACACTTAAAAAATAAATATAATAAATATAATTTTCATTTTTCCTCTGACTCACAAAATCTCAAACAGCGATGGAGAAATAAACAATATTACAACAACAATGAGGCTAAAAAATACCTTAACTTCTATATATTTCTCGATTTCTTCATTAATCATATCAGCTGCTTCTTTGTACCGTTTCAGTTTTAAATACAATTTAGTAAGTCGAGTCATAAATCCACCAGCCATACGATCTGTTTCTCGCACCATTGTTAGTGCTTTGTGATAAACCTGCACGAATTTTCCAAATCATCACTTTCAATAAGTTATATCTTGAATTCGGTTTTTTGAATAATTATCAAAGCAAAGCCGCTAAATGATGGATAATTTAGCACCCAAAATGTACTAGGCAGAAAATTTTTTAATTTTAAAATATTTGACTCATCATTGGATCGGAAGCATTTCAATTAATTTGTAAACTTCCGATCCAATGGTTAAGTCAAATATTTTGAAATTAAAATTGAACTGTAAATTCAACCCAAATCAATTTATATCCAAACTATTAAAAGAAAAGATTGATTTAAATAAGCTTAAACAAGAATTAGCATTAAAAAGCTTCTTATTCAGAAGCAACATTTGAAGGAAGTCTTTAATCAAATTCTGTACTTTTTAAAATTAAAGCTCTTCAACTTTAAAATTTATAATAATGCCTTTTTAGAACCTAAGTTGAAACTCATCTAAAAAGCATTGATAAACAACATTGAAATAAAAAATTAATTGACAAAGTAAAAACCTCAATAGCTTTTTCAAGATCAATATCTTCTAAACACTTTGCAGCTTTATCAAGCGCCATAGCTGACGAATCGCTACTTCCTGATTCAGCATATCCATCTGCAGCTAAATCCATGTACTTTAGTGTACCACAGCTATCACCCATTTCCTTGCATATCGTCGCTGCATTTTCATTGCATCTAAAAAAAGTTTAATCTAAATAATAAACGTAATTTAGTCGTTCAAGTAATTAATAATTGCTGATCAAGTATCTTGTTAACCATAAAGGCTAAAAAAATTTATTATTACTATGACATATATACAGCTTACATAATATTTCAGTTAGACATTTTAACCTCACCAATTAATTAATTCTTTATTCACCTGCTAAAACCCCAAAGAAATGTTTAATAATCAAAAAAAGTAAGAAGAGAGAAACAGTAAGAAGCATTATATTTACTATGATTATAACTGTATCAATATACTGGATGAAATCATAATAATTAGGTCAATCAATTAATCAATGGGGTTGTATTTATAAGATAAAATACTTACTTGGCCCAATGAAATAAATTGCCATTTTCTTTATGCATTTGAGCTGCTTTTAGATAAGCATCACGTGATTGTTCCATTTGTAAAGCATTTTTGAAGCAAACGGCTGCCCGATCATACTCAATTGCTGCGCTATCATAATCAGGCTTGAATTTCATTTTTATGATCGATGTTTTTAGGCTAGAACACCATCAGAAAATTAGTGATTAAACGGTGATGCAAAGTTCGTTCCGGACGTGATTTACAGAGAAAGTTTGCGTTTATAATTTTTACTAACGTTTTTTTCATTAAAATTCGGAAAAGTACATCTTTTCTAAGGGCTTACAATGCTCGAAGAATCAACTCACTATGCTTCGGCTTTTCGAATACACTCCGTTGCTTCTGCAACACGACGTCTATTTATTTCGTCCATATCAATCAATGTCCTAAAATTAATTTATTAGTATGAATTTGAATTTACATCAAAGTTAAACCATTCAGATATCGCACAGACTGAGAGAGAGGAAAAGGATACCGCACCGAGAATAGTTTTAACTTTAACTGTGGTATAGTTTAAATAACAACAATCTCATATGTATGACTAAATAAATAAATTTGATGCTCAGTAGAATTGAGAAATATGAAGTGAATAGTTGTTCTCGAATAAAGCAGACAGTAAAAGGAAGAATTTCTACGAAAATGAAAATCTACATTCGATAATCCAGTTAAAACTTATTCACCTATTCCTTTCTTCAAAAAGCAATTCCTTTAATATTCATTTTCCAATGCAGAAAAATCTGTTTGACTTTTGTATTCTCAGATATTTCATATATTAAACTAGACAAACTTTTCAGTAAAGCAAATTATCATAAAAAGTAGGCCAGTTCCGCATCACTCTTTACAAATAGGAAACAAAGGCCCGCAAATTTCACCCGAGAATCATTAATTCTCTAGCTACAGCTTTGAACTCCCAGCACTTCTATACGTAAAATGTCGACTTCACAATACAGTATATCACTTTTCAATGCACATAGAAATAAATCGATCTGACGGGAAAGCTCCAAAGTGACAGTAGTAATGCTTGCTTCTGGAATATGCTGAAAATTTGCTTTTCTTCGGTTTTTAATGACTGAAAAAATGAATACGTAATTTCTATGCCCTTCAAACCAAGACATATTGAAGATCTCATATGATTCTCAACTTGCTTTACAATAAGTGATCATGTTTGAACTGGGCAGATTTATACTGATTAAGTTCACAACTAAATGAATTTTATTCCGAAAATTTACATAACAATATACTAAAAAATACAGTGGTGAAATTAACGAGAAAAACGACTGAAAAATGACCTAATTACACAGTCATATCACAGCCGAAATCACAGTTAGCACAAATGACATATGCATGATAATAACTTAGGTGGATGAAGAAACAGCTAGTTTCTTTAGATGCTCCATGAAAACTTGCAAAGAGACATCATCCGTAAAGACTGGTGCACCACCTTCCTAAAACAGCAATCCATTTTAGTATTTGCAACATCATGAAGTGAGCACGGGAAAATTAGGACTTTGATATATCCAAGACCATTTCCGTAAGCTTTTTTTGCATTTTCAAAAAAAAAACGACTGAAAAACGACCTAATTACACAGTCACAGAGAATAATCACGCAACAGACATTACTAAAAGTGAAATTAGCAGTAATCATTAAATTAAACATTGCAAGGAAAAAACAACTATGATGATAAATGGCACTAAATTAAGTTAAGAAAGATTCCATATGAATTCGTATTAAAACTTAACATTATGCGAAAAATTTCTCCTCTTAAAAACAAAAGATACAAAAATGTGAATCTTACCGCTGCATATGGATTATTGTGCGTCAAGGATGGATTAACCTTGGACAATAAAAATCGGGCCTGAAATAAGTACGAAGTCAAATATCAAAAGATAGTGACTGATAATGAAAAGGTGCCACCCCACGTCTCTTCAATATACCGGGAACATTCAAAACGTTTGACAAATTTCCAGCTTTGCTTTCACATTTCTAAACTTCATGTTTTTTAACTTGAAGAATATAACTTCAACTTCAATACCTGCAGACACCTAATTTGATGTGGAAGCTTTCAAATTTAACGAAGTATAGAAACGAACCTGAGAGCCTTCATATTCAGTTACGATATAACGTGGCATAGGGAATCTCTCTTGCAAAATTGTTGTTGCGTCAGTTATTGGCGCTTCCAGTAGCTGCTTGAAAGCGCTGTACTGTGGATCTTCTTGATAGTTCATTTTACGCCATGCAGCAATTGTCTAGAATATGAAGTTTTCAAAAAACTCGAGTTTAAAAGTTGAAAAGTCGATCACATAAAATATTTTACAAAAACTCAACCTGGCCATGATAAATTAAAACATGAAAATAATCATCCATCAACAAAATCCGATCAGGAAGAATAGACGATGTATCCAATAAAACTGGTTCTGGTGGACCGTTGAAAGAGTAAGCAAACAATACAGGCTGTATCATAGTAGTACTTTCCAATACATTTTCGAACATCAAAATATATCTAAAGTAACAAAATCTATCTTCCAGGTATAACATGATATTAAAATGTCGAATCCTACAATAATTAGAAATCAAACAGTGTATGACGATTTTGATCAAATAGCATTTGATGATCGTCAGAATAATTACTCATTGATTTTGCAGTATCATTTTGACGCCGGTACAACTCACCGATAATAAGATGTTTCATCTGGTGAATTATTAAACACTTGCAGAAATTGTGATCGTCGCAAATGGAACATGAACTGTGGGAAGAGAGCAAATTTCTCTGATAAGCAGAATGATGATGGATCATCCTGGAAATATAACACGAAAATTTTAAACCCTGGTAAGATGGAGAAATTCGGATTTTCTTAAAAAATTAAGCTCTTACGAATATCCCGACCTGTTTCTGAGAAATTAAGTGATTCAAACCTCAGAAACATAGCATGATCATCTACAATGCAGAGAGGTATTGCGAAAGAAATAAGTTTCGAAAAAACGAATATAACATCTACCTTATGATATTCACCAAACTTCTGACATAAACGAATCAAACTTCTGTCCAACCACCTTAATGCATCTGGTGTGTCATTTTCTGATGATGCACGCCAAGATGCTAATCGAGCCATTATCACTGCACCAGCTTCCTAAAATGATATGCAGAATAATGAGTTTCTTTTTACCTAAAAATTATCACCAAGTAGTGGTTTGAACGGGAAAGTATAGCAAACGTACAGAAACTCATGTAACCGTATTTATAGGAATCAATTGCTCGTCATTGAACAACCGCTTTCCTTGACAGATTTGAATAACAAATTTTTTGATAAACTGCATCACTTGCTTGATATTCCAGATTGCAGACATGAATTCGAAGAAATGATAAAGCAATAACCTGGTCAAAGCCATATGCGATGCTGGGTTGTTGAGTTGCCATATCAGTCCAATTTCGGCATGTAGTTGTAACGCGAATACGCTTTCGTCCATCCGGATGCTGATATTGAGTCACAAATTGCACCATGCCATGTGAACCTTGTGGTATTCCAGAACCATGCTATAATATTATAAAACTAATAGAAAACATTATTAGAAAATGCAATATTTAATTTTTAAACTGAAGAACTGTAATTTTCAGCAATTCCGGTAGCGGTTATTGTAAAATTAAGAATTGTTACAACTCGCAATGTTCTATTACAATTTTCCATTTATTTGATGGCTCTCAATAAATGGAATACTGTACAGTAAAATGGAGATAAAGATTACAGCAAAAAAGACTCGAACAAAAGTGCAGGATAACCTGCGCAACAATCTCGAACAATACAGCAATTGTTGTTCGCGGATTGATGGAGCAAAATTTCCACTGACAAGTACCACCAATGCCCATTTCTGTGTCTGATACTGAAGCATTCTTTACACCACCATTTGCACAGCAACCAAGAACGCCTTCGATTTTTAAACCATTACCAACTTTTACCTGCAGATCATGCGTAAATCCCATGTAATTTTCTTAAGTTTTTAGGGGCCTAAAAATCTGATTTTCTGGAAATTCCAACCTCCTATAACATCCTACTACAGCAAAAACTAAGAAATATCAATACAGAACGGAATGTAGACACTTCAAATAAAAGGGAATGCATAATCATATGGTACCAAATTAAAGTGAAACAAACTTTTCCCGGACCGGTACAATTCCACATAACATATAACAACAACAAGTCATTAAAAATTATAACAACTCTATATGAAAATACCCACTTCCATGGTCGCATTAAAGCCCATTTTGAGGAATCCACTGTAATCTTTCTCGAAAACACGTTGATATGTTTGCTTGAATAACGATGACTTGAAACTATCACCCATAACTACATTTCCTGCAAAAATTATAATTCTGAGAAAAAAAGTAGGTTCAAACACAAGTGTACTCCGACTAATAATGCCATCAAAATATTAAGATCTGATCATTTCATATACATCAGAGTCTATGAATATATCACAAGAACTGTTATTAAAATGTCCTCGGGAGAAGATATAAGAGTACAAAGGAATAAATTAAAAATTCCTTCAATAATGAAAATATTTGATTTAAACCTGCAGTTGTGTTGAAGCATGCATGCATTTCGTACAAGCCTGTTTGATCAAGTGCGCATGAATAGATATCAATTACATGGCCATTTTTTACTGCACGTGCAGCCAAACCATCGTAGAACTTTGTTGCCTGGAAAATGAAGTGCTCAGTACCAGTTCTAAATTACGCTTTTCTATTTCAATTATAATGTTCCCTATCACCTGTAGTGGAAAGACTAATGTAATGTCACCTACTCATATTTAATATTTCATATTTAACCTGTGTTATCTTATTCTGTTATCGTACGCTGTTGTTTTATTCAAGAAGTGTACTTAAAATTTGCTTGAAAAATCAAAAATTACCAGTCACAATGCATATGTTAATACCTTTTTTACGTATGGTGCATTATCTTCCTTAATCGTGTGCCATGAACGGATCGGATTTTTGAGTTCTTCACCTACTACAGCTCCTGGTCCATGAGTACAAGCACCACCAATAAATAACATAATTCGAGCTCCAGTATTAGGGAAACACACCTTCAAATAATAAATTGCTTTTTGAGTCTTAAAAATAAAAATTGCATATAAAACTTTTCTCAACGATCAATGAACAAATTTTCGAATTTTCCTTAAAATTCGGGATTTTTTAACCTCAAGCAGAGTGACAGCAACAGCAAGTGCACTACCCGTTGCACGAAGAGGACGATGTCCTTGCGGAACTGGCCAACGATCTGGTACACTTTGTTCAATAAGGTCGTTTATTGACACTTCGCAATCGTTTATCGGCTAAAGTGAATTGCACAGTAAATGAATTAGAAAAAGTAGAATTCTCAAAGTTTTCACAAACTCTTCCTCACAAAAACCACCTGAAGAAACTTGTTAAATGGAAGGAGACAGCTTCCAGTCATTCCTTGTACGAGAGCAGGACCACCGCCGGAAATAGCAGATCCCATAGGGAAACCAGATCTTTGCTGTGGTGCATGTCCTGCTGTTCCCGAACCCACTTGTTGCTGAGCACCTGGAGCTGCACCAATGTTGAATGGTCGACCAATATTCATTGATAAAACGTCTCGAATTTGTTTTTGACTAATTTCTTTGCTACCCTGAAATTTCATTTTCTAATCACAGATTGTTAAAGATAATATTTCTGCTCAATAAAATCAATTGAAAATTCTGAAATAGCTGCGAGGGAACAAAGACGATGGAAATAAATCTTTTTTTTTCGTTTTCGTGATGAACTTTTTCCTTTTTATGACAATAAATTTACCTTAAAGACATAAGCTCGTGAGATCCCTTGAACGTTAAGTTCATGTATTTCAATCATTCGTCCAAAAGTAATCAAACCAACAAGTGCATCGGCAGGAAGAAGGGAAAGTGCTGTCTGAATGGATTCTTTCAACGCTTTCAATTCTTCTGGTGGTAGGCAAGTGTCCATAACGAAGAGAAATATCGGTGGCAGAGTTGTAGCTTTCTGCAGCGGATTTGTTAAAAGAATATAATTATTCTTATAATAAACGAACGGTAAAAGTTGGTGAAAGTTTTTTGGAACTTTTAACTGCTAAGAAAATTTCCTATATTGATAACACCAAAAACCTGGAAAGTAGATTTCTCAAAAATAACAATATAAATTAAGGAAGAGGAGATATGGGTGCAGTGAACATCATAAATACCTACAAATCGGAGGCATGTATAACCTGCGTACATTTAATCATTAAATACATACCTTCAAGGTGTATTCGATGGTTGTAAACTGTGGATACAGTTCTGGCGGACGATTGTCTTCTGCAATCATACTGTAATGTGGAGGAAACGGGTTGCGCTGATTGCAAAACGGACAAATCCACGCTTTATTTCGGAAATCAATTGTACTGAAACGATTTTTCGAGCATTTGAATGCGTTTTAAATCAAATTATTTTCCATGTGAAATGGCAATTTGCAATTTGATTATTTTCCATGTGAAATGGCAATTTGAAAAGTCACTAGCCATAGAGCATTCAAGACTGCTTTGCAAGATGCTTTCTGGCATAAAACAGGATCATATTCAAGTGGTGGCTGGTGGGGTTGATCAGATGGACGTTCCTGAAAGTTAACTTAACTTCGCATGCGAAATAATTAGTTAGATGACATGATTCAAGAAATAGCTTAAATGACTTTTTAAAGTTTATCAAGGCTAGACATTAAAATAAAGTTCATAAATTTCTTCAATTTATTATTCATAAAGAAAACTGATGTCCTACTTTGAGCGGAGTAAAAAAGGCAGTGATAGGTACAACAAGTCTTTGTGCATCGATTCGTGAATGTGGCCACAAATTCCATGTCATCTGGACGCCATCGATATTGGTTTGGTTTGCCAGATACTCTTCCCAAACTGCCATTTATTTCTCCTTTAAACTGAGCAGTTAACATAATTTGAAAATAAGACAAGGAGAAATATGTTACATTTAATGCGTACGGAGAGATGAAATTTTAAAAATAGCATCATAAAGATCAGTAGAAAGATATACAGTTTAAGTAGGATGAGAGGAATAAAAGGAAAAGTTTCCAATAATCTCTTTTGAGATTAATAACGTCCAGATATCAAATCGTTCTGTATAATCTGCCAGTTCAGTAGTTTAGATCATCTAATCTCATCAACAAATAGCAATATCTTCAAATTACATGTCATATGATGCATTGTATTTGGAAGATGAAAACTGGTCAAGTCGTAAAATCGAAATTTTATAAGTCAAAAAATAACAGCGGAAATTGCTGAAGTCATTGCAATTTGCATCTTTACCAAGGCTTTACACACAAAATTATATTAATAACTGATCGAGAACATATGCATGACTATTGTGACGACAAAAATGATCTTTAAAAAACCCGCCCCCTTAATAAATTAAGTCTCAGCCCTACAAATCAATTTAAAGACAATTCCTCAAACACCGAGAAGAAACAAAGTGAGAACCACACCTGAAACACGAGAATGTCAACGTGTACCATCCGGGAAACGCGATATGCAACTACGGATATACCATACCAGTTTTTACGATTATGTAATTTAGAAATTATCACTCAGCCGATAGCAAGGAGAAAGTATTACAGGCAAGATTTAATAAAATTAAGATAGTAGGAATCATATGTGAAGGAGCTACAATGCATCCGGAAATGCCAAATTGGTGGTAGCAGTATCAAACCATCTGCTTCAAACTTAATTCAAAAAATGCACGATTCAATCAGAAACAAAAAACAAAAAATTTTGCTGGGAAGATCAATATTTCTCTTATCTCTTAATGCTTCTCTCAATAACTTATATGAATAATTCCTGCACATAATTACCAGAATGATTATCTCGAAATATCGTTAGCTGTTGGTTTACGTATGAAATTGTACTCTTAAAATATAATTATATATGGCCACGGAATAGCGCTTTTACAGTATATAAACAATAATACCACATTTTTCTGGACATTACTGTTACCTTATTTCCCACATATCTCCAACTCATAAAAGCAATGATTCTAAAGTTCGGCAACGCGGGCCGTATAAGTTTCACAGCGGTGTGTTTTCATAACGGCCCTCATTTGTGGCTTGATAGTAGGCGTACGTTGGGAATGGATTCGTGGTAGGTCTGGGTGGTGGTACCGGTGCAATGCAAGTCGATTTTGAGGTGTCTTGCGGTGCTAAAATAGCTACTAGGACATCTCATACTGTTAAAAAGTCAAATAAAGTGACTATTCTGTGGGTCACTTTATTTTCATGCTACGGAATTTTTTTCACTGGTTGGGTTTTTGCTCGACATTTTGGTTAAAGCTTGAAACTCACCGGAAATATGAATTAAAGTTATAATAAAGTATCAGTTCTTGTTTCAAAATTTTTATAATTAAGATAGTGAATTGAAGAATTGTTTCTTGAAATAAGTCAAAATAAGTAAGCATAAAAATGAAGTGTATACTGATTTGTTTGAAGATTTGACTTTTCCACTTTGTTATTCCAGGATTTTTATACTGTTATGCCTCCAAAGACATCAGCGAAAGCTGGTAAAGGTGGAAAAGGTGATTCAAAAGCCGTAGCAAAGGTACCAAAAAAGAAGGAAGGTGGAGGAGGTGGTAAGGCCAAAAAAAAGAAATGGTCCAAAGGAAAAGTTCGGGACAAGTTGAACAATATGGTTCTCTTTGATAAAGCAACTTATGAAAAGTTGTATAAAGAAGTATGTTTTTGCGATCCTATTTACTCGTATTATTTCTCGAAAGCCTATATGATATCGCACTGTAGTATAAGGGATGTAATGGCTGAATATCCAGGCATAATGAGATTTCTGTTCCAAACACAGATCTCGTTTTTAACTACCCAGTTCAGCATATTATTCGATGTGCTAGAGGGATCGTTCTTCAAGTCATTTGAGAGATTCTAGCAGTTACACTTTCCGAATGAATTAAAAAGTTGCGGTGACTTTTCCCTTACTTTAATGTTTAAAAGAATTGTTCAGGATGCTCTTGTTGCAGGTTATTACGTATAAGCTTATCACACCATCGGTAGTTTCAGAAAGACTAAAGGTTCGCGCATCTTTAGCAAAGCAAGGACTCCGAGAGCTTCTTGCGAAAGGTTTGCCTAATTCCTTGTTGGCACTTCGAATACTGAAAATTTGTTGAAAAATGAAACATAGTTGCATGATTTTTTTTTTTTCAAGTACATGATTCACACAAAAAATTTGTCTTGAAAGGTTCTTTGAAAAAAAAGCTTGCGATATCTACTAATTTCATAATAAGAACAGTTTTTCTTGAGCATCAGTCTCATTGTGCTACCGCATAATGATATATGACTTTACTTGAGACGGCTGCGGGGCCATAAATTCTTAAAAATGTGATGTTGAGATAACAATATTGCGATTCACCACTTTTTTGCTGCATTATGAACTTTGTCATGGTTTCTTTCTTGTTCGAGCCGGAAACATTTCATGCTGTTACATCTTCTGGGAACTACATTTTGCTAATGGATGGCCTAAGGTCTTATTTTTCACTTCTTGTGCACATTTGTATAAGATTCTTGTATGTTTGCAGGAATGATCAAGTGTGTAGTACATCATGGCGGCCAACTTGTCTACACAAGATGCACGAAAGCAGATGATACTATTGTTGAATAATTTCTCTTTGTTACTAGCTTTGTTTGCTATAAAATTTTTTGTTTATTTAGCAACGACATTTGTGAAGTTGGTCTGCGATGGAGTACATCTAGTAGTTGCGGTGTTAAACACAAACTTATACTCGTCTTTTAAAAGATTTTTACTAAGTTGTTTTATGCAATTTGTTTGTTGATTGGCTAGAAGTTTATTTGTCGAAACTTTAAAAGCCGCTCATTTCTTCAACGGCTGTTCTCAGGTTAGGGATTATTCAGAAAGACTTATGAGTATTTCTTATTTGTGCTTGGCCATGCTTTCCTTCTAATTATTATACTATTTAAAATGATTGCCTTCGACGTTCTGCAAGAGGGACATTTTGTTTAAACATAGTTTAAATACAATTAGAAACGGACAGGATTAATATAAAATTTGATAACTGGTCGGCAACAAATATGAATTTGGATAGCGGAAATATGTTATTAGATCGATTCGGAATTGAGCTTCGATTTTGCTGCACTGGTGTAGCGGCGTGTAGAAGATGTCGTTTGCGACGTTCTGTTGGTTTCTATAAATTTTTGGCTCACGGCTTCTAGTTGTTTCTGAAATGTATAAACCCTTCAATGTTGCAGTTTGTAGATTTACATCGCTGCTATGAGTATCGTCGAATTGCACTGAACAAGAGGATCGGCTTTAAGATAAAACATGTTTTGTATTCATCGTTGATGAATTTTCGAACTTTCAGGGTGAGGACATTGTTTCAACCGATATTGTAAGATTTTAGTTAAGTTTTTTGAAAGTTTTTTTCCTTGAAAATTGAGTAAGATACGTTTTCTGAAAAGAATCGGCCAAAAAAGGAGTAACCTTACTAATAGCGGAATTGCAGGTGCTCTTCGAATGAATCCGACTTTCACACCCCTTTATTTTTGGATTTAACAAATTATTAGTAAACATACCTACACTTTTAATTCTTTTAACGCGAACTAAAACAAAAGCGATATGACCGATTGATGACATGCCTTGACTAAGATGCAATATTTTCCTCTATGCAGTTTTTATATATTTATGGAAGAACATGAAGTTATATCCATTATGAATTGTTTAGAAAAATGACAAGGTTTTCAACGTCCATATCACAATTTAACATTCCAACCTACATTGCATAGCATAAAAACAAAAATAAAAAAAACCAAATCAAATATTGTCTGACAAAAATTTGCATTCCGAAAGAAGAAGAGGCAAAATGTTAATATTTCTTAAAACCAGTTTTGGAACTATTCCCATTTTTATATAATGTCGACAGGATCAATTTCTTTTTATTCTGCCAAACTTTAAACTAGCTAAAATAATCAAAGAATAAATGAATTAGTTAATCAATCATCAAAGCTTCTCATTCGTTATCATATTTATTGATGAAAAGGTTCACATTAATATGAAAATTTATGAACTCCCACTCATAAACAATAGCTGGAAGTGCTTGGAAGTAGTGCAAAATAATTTTAATAACCGAATATGAGCAATTAACAATATAAATGACGACGTGATAGACATCACTGGAATTCTTCATATTTCACTAACTTTTATAATTGAGCGCAAGCTAAAAGTGAAACTATTTTGAACGGGAAAAATTAATAGTTTTTTAGAACTAATAAAAGGATAAACTGCTAGAATTTACCAATCGAACAAATGGAACACAGTGAAAAAAATCTTTTTAAAATTAAATTTTTGAAAAGAAAGAGGTTATATTTTCAGTTAAAAAAAAGCAAACCTGTCGCCCGAATGCAACGTTTTGAAGGCTGTGTTGATTTCTGCAAGATCGTAATGATCAGTAATGAATTCATCCAGTTTTATTTTACCCTTCTGATACTCATCGACTAGTTTCGGAATATCATCAACGCTCTTCCATCCTGGGATTTAACTGTTTGATTGGATGAGAGACATTAAATTAGATCAAATTTATTGCAGAAGATTAAATTGAAGATTTATCTCCAAATGGAGGTTAAAATAAACAATTGTTCAAATTTGAATTCTTCCGGAAACAACAAGAGCGAGTAAAAAGATCTATCTCTACATGTTCTGTCTCTAGAATTAATGAAATGAAACATAATAAATTGCTGGAACCTCCAAAAGCTGATCCTTTCCATGTACGACCAGTAACTAATTGGAAAGGGCGAGTTGATATTTCCTTCCCTGCTGCAGCAACACCAATGATGCAAGATACACCCCAGCCTTTATGTGCCGCTTCGAGTGCTTGACGCTGAAATGTACGGAAAAGTGCTAGCATTAGCAAAAGATCCTTTTTCGAAAGTCTGTTTCGGAAGTCCGAAAAATATTGGATTGTTTTACATTTTTAGTAAAGAATGTGTCATAATAATAAGAGTAAAATACTATTCGTCAAGATTAAGGTAATATCCAAGTTTCATTTTCCCGCCAAATAGAGAAACAATTTAAAAATATCTCGAAAAAATATGTTTTGGGAACTATTCCAACCTAACACGCTAAAAACAATTGTTTTTAGCATAAAAAACAATTGTTTCAACAAACCATTGTTTCAACAAGCCCAATGCATTCAAAGGTATAATCGAAGCCACCATCATATTTGTCTACAAGAAATGTTTGTAACGGCTGATCCTTTGGAATATCAGTTGGATTAATGCACTCATCTGCGCCAAATTCAATAGCTTAAATATACAAGTTCAGCTTCCATAATGACGGGCTAGACGAAAATTATAAAGAAATAAATCATTTAAACATCTTCTGTTGCTGGAACTATACAAAAGCTATTTCCTCAACTGCTTCTTTATACTACCTTTTTCAAACTTCTTTGCATTCCTATCAATCCCCACGATCAATCTAGCGCCAGCAATTCGAGCTCCCATAATGACGGCCAATCCAACAGTACCAAGACCCCAAACTGCAACGGTACAGCCTGATTCAATTTTGCAATTATTTACCACTGCCCCATAACCGGTTGAAACACCACAGCCAAGCAAACAAAGCTTATCCAGCGGTGCATTACAAGGTACCTTAAAATGAGAAAAAAAAAATCATACAAAGTATCTTACATATTTTAAAATAATTTACAACTACCACAACTTATCTTTTGAAAACAAAATAATTTTGCTGAATACTGGTTTTAAACTCATCTTAAGAAAACTTTCAAAATTCCTTGAAGTTCAAATAGAAAATTTTTTTAATGGCAGTTTTGCAAAGTTCTTATGCGATTTGTTGCAATCTAACCATCTTGAAAGCAATTTAAAAATTCAAGGCACCTTCGAGAGAGAATATTGCGACACAACGGTATACTCACTAAAAGTACTGCATCCCATAAAGTGATATATTATATTTCCACGTTGCGAAAAGCGAGTAGTTTTATCCGGCATCAAACCCTGTCCCTGTGTTATCCTTAATATGTCAGAAATTGTTTTTTAATAACTTTTATTATTTGAACTTTAATAAAAAACAGGGCGCCATGCAATAATAAGAAATAAAGGAATACAAGTAACTGATTGTCAAACCAATCGATTACTTTTATCTCTTATTAATTTGACATTAGAGAGAACGTTAAATTAATAAAATGACATTAGAAAAAAATGTGCGGTTAATTATTACAAAACAAATTCTGTTTTAATAATTCCAGAAAAAAGAATCTCACCGAATCCGTTGACACAAGTTTGTTTTCGGATTACGACAGAATTTACATTCCTTACATTGTGGTGTGTATAACGGAATAACATGATCTCCTTAATAAAAAACCGTTTCGAAAAGTTATACAAAACAAAATGATTCTAACTTCACATATGTAAAAACCGAAATCAAGAAAATCATTGGACACATTTTTTGAAAGTAGATTTTTTCCATTGATATAATAAAAAGTAAGTGTATGATAAAAATATATTTTTAACGTTTAAGTAGAGCAAGGTATCACAATACCAATGATACTAAAAGCATACCAGGTTTTACACATGTAACACCATTACCAACACTTTCCACTATGCCAGCACCTTCATGTCCAAGAATACATGGGAACACTCCCTCCGGATCATCACCACCCAATGTGTAAGCATCAGTATGACATATCGCACTGTACAGAATCTAGATAAACTAACTGCAATTTAATAAAATTATAGTGTGATAGAGTGGAATTTAGAGCAGAAAAGATTGAACAGCTATTGCTCTATTGAGTACTTATTTTGTTTAAACCGTACGATGAAATTCATTCCTACTCGAAGTTAGTCTAAAAAAATGAATTCTTGCAATTCACCTTTATTCGTACTTCACATTCCTTAGGTGGTGCAACTTCAATTTCTTCAATTTTCAGTGGTTTTTTGGGCTCCCAAGCAACTGCCGCTCTGCATCTTATAGTCTGCAAAATTCGTTTCATATGTGCAAATTATTTCGGACAGTAGTGGTCAGAAAACTTGCTAAATCAAGTCTCATTCCAGGAAAGATGTTGCCCCTCCTTCCTCTGAAGTGTTACATAAATCCAATTTTGCAAAATTCTAGGCATATTTAAACCAGATAACGTGCAGAAATCATCAAGCAATCCTTTTAAAGTTTATGATAACATTACACTAAAACTCCACTGTGCTTTCTTGTGGGCCATTTTTACCTTGCAATTAGAATAAAACGACTAAGCCAGATAAATCCCATCTCTCTTCTAACTAATCATTAAAATAAAATTTAAAATAAAATTGCACACAAAAAGTACCTTGCCAACGGTAGCCATGAATGCTTGAAATATAAATCTTCTAAAAAAAAAAAACGAAAAGCACGCACCCCTCGTAGCAAATTCAAGAACCCGAATCGTTATACAAAAGCAGAGCAAATCTTTCTGATATACTTGCAGACCTCAGAAAACGCAAGGTTTTTTGGTGATTCAGTTCCAAAACGCAACTTTGCCCATATTATAACATTATTAAATTACTCTGTGCTCTTCTTAATGTTATCGTAACCTCATATTTAATTTCTACCGAAATCGTATAAACCCATTTACTTGCAATATTTGACCGTCAAAGAACCAAAACAACCTTTGCCTATGGAAAAATTTCCTTTTTTTTAAATTACAAAATCTAAGTTTTATATTTATTTTCAAGAAGTCTCAATTGTTAAATATATTTGATTCAAAGATCAGAATCAAATAGCAATTTGAAGGCAAACAAATTTCCGAACAAAAAATGGATATAAAAATTTATATTGCCGGATCTTTTTTGTTAAAAAAAACCGTTCCAATGAGCATTTTATCTTCTTTATGGGTGCAAAAATGTTTAATGTACAAAAATGCATGCTGAAAAATGAAACTGAGCGCATCCAAATGCATCATCCCTCATAAGAAATGGTTTCAACAGTGACGGTAACTTTTAATACGGTAAAAATTTAAATTATCCTGTAAAAATACAATTAAAAGTGGATAAAGCAACGAAATAGTTTTTAATAGCAATAAAAAACATTTCTTCAATATTTTATAAGTTACTTTGCAATTAATAAAATAATAGTGGAGTGCTACAAAAAATAAAGTTTTAAGGTCAGAAAGTAAAAAATCGGCATGAAACATGAAATATATATGAAAATCGGTATGAAAAATAGAAGATATTAAGGGGTAACCGGTAAAGCAAAGACATGCACTACCATTAAAATCCCGAACACTTTTGGAAAATACTGGATGAATTAATCAAATACACAAACACAAATGGATGAATGAATAAGGCGGCATCTGTAAAACCTGAATCTATCTATCCAATTGTACAACCCATTCACAGTGAGATGTTTGCGGAAACATATCAACCGGTGTAATAGAAGTTAGCTTGAATGGTTCACCTTCGAATTTTCTAGATGTCGGCCGACAGAGATCAACAACATTTTTCATTGCCAAAGATGGACTGCATGAGACAAAGACAATTTTTTTCAGCTGTGTAAGCTGAAACATTGAAAATCGAAAATTGATATCCACATCTTGGAAGAATTCCTATTTCTCCAAGTCGCAATCACAATTAAAACGATTATGTGAAATTTCAATATCCTTGTTAAATTCAAATCAATGTTAGTTTTTCCTTCTGAATTTCATAATTTCGAATATTAAAAACTTCTGATGAATTAACTGACTTATACAGTTTCAAGTGTGTACTTTTTAAGTAATGGTTAAACTTTCGACCATTTTTAAGCAATGATTAAAGACTAATGCTCCATTAACTGCAAAGAAAAGAAATCAAAAGGTAAGAAGTTGAAACGAAAATACGTACCGCTCGGCATCCAATAACTACCTTTTCGTGAACTCCAGCTCGCGGAGGATCTATCACTCCTATTATATTTACTGTTTTCAAATCAACCCACGATGGCACTAGTCGCTCCAAACGAAAGAAAACGTTTTCGGCTTTACCGGACACAAACTTGTAACTGCAAATCCGAATAAGAACATGCAAGCAAATCATATAATTTACACGCTAAATACACATTAACTACTCAATTGAACAAGCTTCTCTCTCCTTACTTCTAATTTTTTCATAAATTTACCTTTCAAAATATTAAAGCAGAAATGACAAATTCCTTTCCCATTACTTTCTGAACTTCGGCAAAATTCATAAACCATCTTTGAAATAAGAAGTTTTCCTCAATACCTATCTGGTGGCAAATTATCATCTGCATTTGTTGTTGCGTCTTCAATAGCTTCCGGAATAATTTCAATACCTATTAAAAATTTGCGATTAACAGTTTTCGCCAACTTCATCAAACTAATTCCGATCGTTCCAGTACCACAACAGATATCTAAGATCAAAGTTGCCTGTTGCTGCTCAACAATTCCCACCTAAAAATGTTTTAATAATTTAGACACAATGCGCTTCTAAACAATATTTTGTTTCGAAGAAAATATGTATATAATAACAGATCTTAAGTTCGAACAAGAATAATACTAAATAAATACAGCAGTGATAAGAAAATTACCGAAGATTAAGAAATCAAGTATCTTCCAAATATTTAAAGATCAAAAATCCGATCACCTTTTCAAGCTTTCTTATCTTCATTTCTGGTTCGCCATTGTCTTCGTCTACAGATTCTTCGAGATCTTTTGCAGAAACTACAGCAACTAAATCAGCATCGATGGATTTCTGTTCAACTAAATTCTCCATCTTACATAGACCGAATTTTTCAGCAATCGTTTTATATAATACTGTGGCACCAGCACTGTTTGTTTGAAAAAATGATGAAGGTGAAACTCGAAATCGGGTATCCAAAATTGTTTCATAAATGTAAGGAGTACCTGTTAAAAATTAAAATTAAAAACTAAAGAGTTCATCTTCCGTCAATGTACAGTTAGTAAAGGAAAAAGATGACCTTATTCTGATCAACAATTTCAAGATTTCCAAAACTAAGTTGAAAGTAAACATTCTATTCGTTTTATATTAATCTTCAGATGAAAAACTCAAATTTTTAATGCCCCAGAACTATACAGTTTAAGATTACGAAAGATTTACATGTTGACTACGAATATCAAAAGCATAAATCCAAAAAGAGGCAAAGAGGGAGAATAGCTTACAAGTAAAACAACTTAATCCTTCCTAATTAAAACTGAGGTTTGAGTGAAAGCGCATGGTACTACTTACAAATATTTTAAAAAATAGAGAAACAAATTTAAAATCTTCGAATTATATGACTTTTCCAAAGCTTTGCTCTAAGTTACACAAGTTTTAAAATAAAATTCCCAGAAAGTAAGAAGTAACATTTATAACAACGAAAAAAAAGAATAATATACCCGCAATATGTTCATAGATAACCGGATCGCTAGCGTTCGCTAATCGCTGCCAGTACAGCGAAGTAATGTGAAAAAGACTATTTTCGTCAGAGAAATTGCTTAGCTGAAGAAATCGTTCCTGCACAACTTTTATCAAAGCTTTTTCGCGCTCTTTGTCTTCCATAGGAAATATAGTTACAATCATCATTATATCTAAACCAAATTCACGAATGGAAAGCATTTTCCACACACCCTTCCGTTCAAATTCATTGAATGGCTGCAAAAATCGTTCTTGAAAAAGCTTATATATACGAATTAATCCCCATATAAGCTAATTAACTGTAAACTAAAGGGTTTCCAAATCTATTCTTATTCTTTATTTGTATTCGTTATCCAACTAGTATTTCGCAAATAATTTTGAGAAAAAACCAATGATTTAATGTTGGAAAAATTGTGGCTTATACCTGGGACAACAATATGAATGATATACTTCCTTCTGATCACAAGGCTTGCCGAATGACAATGATCCCCGACAGAATTATACCTACAAAATGAATGTTTTCAGACTACAGGGAAAAACTCAGAACTGATATGCTACTCTCTGTGATCTTAAAAGTAACGAATGTTTATTAGTATAAAACTTACTGATTCACCACTTTCCACAACCAATTTCTGGAAGGCTCCGACAATTCTCTTCATATGGGTTGATATGTTATCACACGTATCCACGGGCAATACAAAATGTTGATTAGCTGCAAATCGACCACCAACAAAACCAACACATATGCAACCATCGATATTATAACCAATTGTAAATTCACATTTATTTCGATATTCGGTGATACGAGGTGAAGGACGAATCTTAAGTCGTTAATGACAGATCACTAAAGTTTTATATTACAAGCTGAAAATAGTGCACCTAATTCTCAAAAAAACAGAGCAATCTAATACTATTTGTACAATCCTTAACTGTTCCATCCTATAGGCCCAAGAATTATATATTCATTGTATGCAGAAAGTTATACGACAACTAACTTGGCTATCCCTCGTCAATATTAAAAGCATTCAATTGCCATAAAAAATTTATGAAACACTTTAAGCATAAGACCTTATATGAAAAAACTAGATCTAGAACCCGGCTTAAAGGAAATAAGTAAATAAACTCACAGATTCAACCAACGATTCAATGCTGATTCTGTTGGCACCATTCACATGAGCACCAATCATCTCTTTCAAAAAGTTCGCTGCAATTCGTTTCACATCGTTCATCTTAATTTCGAGTTGCTCATTGTATGGCTTGTCAGCCAATGGCGTTACACGTTCGCGTGCTGTACGCTTTATTTGATCACTGTTCAGTAGTTTCTGCAAATTGAAAGTGGATATTCGGTCGTAGATACTTATCAAACATGTTTAAGGTAACATGATGCTAATATTACTTTATCCGCTATTCTGCGGTTTACGTCATATCATATAAACATACATATTTTTACGGTATGCAGAATTGGTTTTAGATTATCAAAGCAGCCTTCTTCAGCTTTGATAATCCGTTAAAAAAAGTGAAACGAACAGCTAGGACTATCAAGTAGGCCATAATTTCGAACAATTAGTTCAAAAAGACCCTGTTAAAAATATAAATGAACTTCGGTGATTTACCACTTTCAGTTGTTCTGGTCGCGCTATTTTGGCCCGTAAAATTCGACCTTTTATTTTAAAGCCATCAAAAATTTGAACTGCAGCAGCAGCTTCTTCCGGAGTCGGTAGCGAAAAGAACACTGTTATGCCCGTATGTCGAATGTTCGTCACGACGAACTTACTCAATTGCCTGAAAATAAAAAAATGATCTTTGGAAATGTCACATAACACATCGTATGATGTGAAATAATCATTGACATTGCATGTAAAATCAATCTTGACAGCAATGCAACTCCTCCACACTCAAAAAACAATGCAATAAATTATTATTTACATACTTTGAAAGAAGCTCCTTGACTTGCTTGTATTTCAGATAAGGTGGCATATTTCGTATTTGCACGCGTGAACTTGGCTTTTTGTCCACTCTACCAGCACTTTTAACGCATCCCTCAGCATCTAATTCATCTGTTTCCAGAATTGTATTTTCAAGTGTACTGTTCGTTATTGATATATGGTCTGCGGGAGTAGTGAGTTTGTTTGAAGATGAAATTGATTCTTCAACACTCACTGCTTCGTCCTTTGAAATAGACTGCTTTTGCAATTCATCCTCTATTAACTCAGTTACAGGGTCCTTTTCAGATACTAATTCTCTATGTAATACAACTGAATTCACGTCATTGTTCTCCAAAGTTCCATCGATCATTTCAGACCTAAAATCAGAGAGTAAAAACAACTGTCATGACTCATTCAGCACCAATATCAATCACGATATTCCTAACAGATCCGGAACCTTACCGGAAAACAAGACTTTGTTACCATTTAAAAACAGATAGTCGATTAAAAGGAAACCTAAATAAATTTTATGCATGGGGAACCTTATTATCACCACAAAACCTTGATCAATTCATACTATACAAGCTATAATGTTACAATAAGGTTAATTAGGTTGGTGGACCAATAGATAGAATGCATAAAGAATGATGAGATTGGTTTATAAGAAATCATGGAAAAAGAGTGTGGTACTCTTGGAGCAGAGAAATGAAGATGATAGAGAGAGTATTGCGTGAAGAACAAGTAATCCCGCGGTAACGTGTAGTGCAGGAGAGGAAATGTGAGGAATAGGAATAACGGATGTGGGTATGTGCAGTATGTTGGGTGACACGAAGAAGTGCAAAGCATGGAGGAATCTGATTCAAATTTCCAGTCGCAAATAAAATTATATGGGATCAAAGATTAAAGGTTGCGGATACGAGGATTGGTGAAGTGTTGAAAGTTAAGAGTACGGAGCCTGGTCAAAGATCAAATGTTACGGAACAGAAAGCTAACAATGATGAGGATGTAGGAGATAAAAGTATGAGAGTATTAATATGAATTCTGAAATTCGAAAATGGGTAAAATTCCATTTTGAGTACCAAAGACGTGACTGGAACGCTGAGCGTAAAAATACTTATGTATATGCATGAAATACTTGAAACATGTTGGTTAAATTCAGACAGACAGCGAATATCGATGACAGATGTAAAGAAAGTTGGCGTTGTTGATTTATTTTCAAAATTTCATGTTACACTGAAAGAAGCTTGGTTAAGTGAAGTCCTGAAATATCTTCAAGTGGAGAGAGCTGACGCGGTATAGGTGTTCCTTTTTTAAAGAATCAGTGTGAGAATGTTTAAAACAAAATAGGTCTTTTCAGTCGGTGATTGGAGGTGCTATCTTAGCTGGGTCATTTTTATCTTGACTATGTTATCAGTACCTGAATGTCTGTAATGATAGCATAACTTTCTATTTCCAGTTTCTCTGTTAAAACTTCTAATTTATTTAAGCTAATTTCAAGCATTTTGGCTTATAGCAATCTCGATTTTTTAATTCTACCAATTGATAACTGTTCCAAATAATATTCACAAACTTTCGGCTATTTTGCTCCGTTTATCTTCTCTTTACTTCACTGCAGAATATTCCTACAGTAATTCAACTCGTATACGAACAGTGGCTTTTTTCGGACTTATCGAATAGTACACGTCCAAAAATACGTCTGCCACCATTCGAGAAGAAAGCATCGCTGGACAGTGATGTTGTTGTTCAGGTAAGCTTGTGTCAACACTATAATAACGAAAGTTTCAATTACTTCAACTAAAATTTAATTCTTTAGTCAATTTTATATTTTAGAATTTAGATGTGCTTATCTGAAGTTGTATAAATCAATATTTTTGCCTGATGAGATGTTGAGCATAACCTACCATAACCCTATTTCAGATAAACTGGCTGGTTGATATACACACTTCAATGTATTCGAAATTAAACCATGTTGAGTGTAAAATAGATCACAGTTCTTTCCACTGGGAACCAAATGATGGAACTAAGGTTATCGCGCACAAATTTCTAGGAGTTCCTGTGAACATTATTGAGATTTTTCAATTTAAACTAATCTGATCTGAATCCACAGCTTTCAACAATTCTTGTTTGCTTTTTTGGAAGCGCAGTTGGAGCGGTGGGCATAGCCCCTTTTTTCACTATAGGAAATTTTGTTTAAAGCATGTAAATTTAAATTTAGAATCTAAATTCTATGCTAGAGAAAGCAAGAATTTATTCCTGTTTGCTTTTTAGTTTTCTCATTCGTTTCGAATTTTATGTCTAATCAAATATAAAACGTTGTCTAATTTTCATCAAAAAAAATTTTGTAGCTATTTTTCATTTTAATCAAGTCCCTGACATATCAATGATTCTTGATATTGATATCTTAATATATTAGCAAAAAAATGATAATTTTCATGATTATTATACGTATTCTGTTAGTTCCTGTAATAAAAATAATACAGCACTATATATGAAATTATAGTTTGAAACAAAGTAATTTTAATTATTCAAACTCTTTTATGTAGTTTTGCATATGTTTGCGATTCATTTATAGCATAATTTATGGATGTTTTGATTATGAGGTTTTATTTGTCTTATGCAACATATGCAAAACTACCTTATTTAAAGGATTTGGATCCAACAAATCGAATGTATTTGATGGAAGTAACCGATGGACAAAGAAAAATGCGCGCTATAGAGTATGAGAAAATTGATGAGTTATGTGGAAAATTGTCACATGGAACAAAGGTTAAATTTGCATTGCTGATGTTCTTTAAATTGATTCAATCTGATACCTTCCTTTAATAAGCTTTCTTAACAATATTTCGTCATTCACAGTATAGTCATGCGGTCATTATTTTCTTTATTTAAATTCCTAATATGGACTTAATCTTCTTCGTTCACACTCCACTTCCATATTACTTTATCTGATCATGCTCTGCATGTGCATAAACTTTCATGTCTTTAAAATACAGAAACACTCCATAATTGGATTATACCCTTTTCTTGAAGTTTATATCTTTTCAAGCTTCTAATCTACGCCGGTACGATTTGTCGTCGTAACATGTTGTTGCTAGCACCAAATAATGTGATGATATTGGGTGGTGAGAGCGAAATATGTCAACAGAATGTGTCGGCTCTTATTGTCGCACGACGGTTAGGAATTGATGAAAAGAAACTGAAATTGATAGAGTGGTAATCTTATTTACAATTCAGAAGCAGTAAAAAAAGCATAAATATTATTATAAAATTTGGTTAGCAGTGGCATTTGAAAAACGTTCTTTTCGGGATTTTTAAATCTATTTCTAATACATGTATTGATGTATTCCTGTTATAAATAGTAGTAGGCTTCTTTTTATCATTCAAGATCATTGCTGATTTGGCTCCTTAAGTGGGGAAGTTTGCTTCTTTATGATACTATCATTGACTTTAATTAAGCCTTAGTGGTTCTGCCTGGCAAATGTTACTTTCTTAGCCCTTGACTACACTGCACTTAGTATTAAAGTTGAGATTATATGGTACTAATAAAGGTATTTAGCTGAGAAGCCTTTTTAGTGTGAGGAGCGAAGAATTTGGAAACTCAGTGGAGACAATGGAAGAAATAGAAACGGAAAGAGCGGAAGAGGTTAATATTACAACATGTTTACTAATGAATTGGAAATCTTAATTTATACTGTAGTAGGCGACATTTCATTTTCTACAAATTTCTCATCCTTTGCAGGTCCGAACCATAATGCCATCAGTTCTCATGCGCAAGAATGTTGTTGCTAACTTATGTGAAGAGCAAAGTAAAAACACACATACCAACGAAACAGTAAAAGGACAGAACGCTAGGGAAAAAAGACAGTTTGTTCTTATATCAAATTTGTTTTGAAGTTTTGAATTTGTTTTGTTTTGAATATTTTATTTTTGTTTTGAATATTTTTAAAATTTGTTTTGAAGTTTTGTTTTGAAGTTTTAAATCAAAGATGCTCAATTACAAACGTTTCAGGAAGAGACCTGTTTTATCACGTACTATAACATCTTATTTTCAACCTCAACACAAAGTTCACACTTCCGAATCAAGTTCAAAAGCGGCAGTGAAATCTCAGATGCCACTAGTCGGTCAAGAGATCAAAGAAGAACCTGAGCCGGGATATTTACCGCAGGATCCACTTCAAAAACAAAGGGGAGAAATGCAGCCTCCACCAATATTACTTCCAATTGCTGATTCAAAACAACAATCGCAGCATCCAATAGCAACTATCGTTTTTCCGCGAGAATCAAATGAACCATCAGCAGAACAATTAGTACCATCACGGGCGCTCCGCACACAGAAAATAATGAAAGATTCGGGAATGCAATCCGAATTACAGGAAATAATGGGAAAATCAATAACCTCATTGCAGTGTCAGTCGCAGAATGTTCAAAATTGTTGTTCTTCACACTTCAAAATGCAACCAGAAAAGGCTTCTCTTTCAGCTAAATTATGGACAAGAAATTTTGAAACAACTCGGCCACAAGTAGTTGAAGATAGTAGTTCTACTCATTCTGCCCGAAAAATTAATGCTGTACGCAATACTGTTGTACTTAGCGGAGAAAGTGAACGAAAAGAAACAACGAATAAACCACTGATTCCTATTCGATCTATGGAGATACAACGAAATTCCGCAGATGTGATTCTGCATTCAGCTATTATTTCCTCATCAAATTTTCAGGAACAGACCATTTGGAATGCTGATAAATGGTATATATTATTTCTTGTTTCAAATCATGAGATGCGCAGAAAATCTAAATGAAGAGTGCTAATGCCTTCTTCATGAGTCATATCTTTATCGTCTTTTTTGGATGGCTTTTCTTTCCTTTTCCATGGTTTTAGGAGATTTCATCAGATTTCTTTTTTAACTCACTGGATGAAGAAACGCTTTCTGTTACTATTTATTCCAGTCTTTAGCATAGTTTTCAGTTTATTAATTAATCTTTCCTCGTCAATTTCCCAATAATAGAAGTGAAGCATTTTTTAAAAAGCAATTCACTATTTACAGAAAAATACATTTATTGACAGGCAGTATGCAACCAATGAGAACAGTAAACAGTTTTTGGCGAATGAGTTTCATGTGCCTCCTTCGAAAGTAACTTTTTTGGAATGACACAAATGTTTAATGATGGCAAATGATAGGATAAATATATGCAAATATTACTTTTATGTGTGAGAAACTGAATAAGCAGGAAACGTTAATAAAATAAATGCTTCATTATTCTCATCTAATGGGCAAACAATTTGTGCAATATGCATTCTGAAAAGATCAAACAAAACCGCAAGGAGTTTTGGTCGGAAATGCTAGTGAAGTGACCATTCTGTCGGGTGAAATAACTTGGATGTAATAATGCTTGCATTTGGAATAAATAGAATATCAATTAGCAATCTTTAAGGTGGAAACGCAAACAAAGGATGATGAAAACGCTCTGTCGGCAGGTTCGCCTTCAATACATAAGACGAAAAGTCCACGACAAAATTCGTCGATAAAACAAGCGTCCTTCGATTTGCATGCAGAACGAGCTGTTAGGGGCAAGTGTTTTAAAATCATCCATTACGGTAGGGCTTCATTTAGCAGCGACTCCGTGGCGCAACGGTAGCGCGTCTGACTCCAGATCAGAAGGTTGCGTGTTCAAATCACGTCGGGGTCATGTCATTATACATTAACACAAATTTATTTAGCATACTGCTGCTTTTGTATGCCTGTTGAACAATTATTGATACGCTTTTGATAAATAAAGAAAAGTGGAGTCATTTTACTCCGGTGTGACTTGAATACTTAGCTTTCTGTCTTCTATCTCATTTCTATTTGATCCTTGTATAATTTGGATATGCTAGTGATGTGGAGTCAGCTTGTCATCGCAGCGATGCGTAGTCCTTCATCATAAAAAGTTAAAATATGTGTGTAAGTTTATCGGTTGTTTTTCTTTCGAAAAAATCCGTTGACGAAAGTATAAATTGTTGTTCATTACGATAGTCTATTTTGCTATTACAGGCCCTTGTTAGCTAGCTCAATTTTGAAGCTAATGAACAAAAAGGCTTTAATTTTCTCATATATGTCAAAGGATGATCGAAAAAGAAAAATTTTATCCCCATTTCTTTGGCAGTTAAATTACCTCGTATTTTTATTATATAATCTAAAATATAATAAATCAGCCAAAATCTTGGATTTTTTCACCGCTTATTTTTCTCTTCTACAAACATCTGGAAATTGGAACAAAAATTCAATCTGAAGAATTGGTAAGATGAGTGGGACTCATTTTCTTAAATAGAATAAGAAAATGTACAGAAAAAAGTTAGTTTGAGACTGGAACTGCCCAATAATGTTTGTATAGTCCTTCAAGTTTAATAAAACTTGAATAATTGCAATATTTCCAATTTGTATGAATAAAGCAGTCTAATGTATTCTTTGATTTTGTTCATTAGGTTTCTAATGGACAAAAAAAACAGGTTTCAAAAGCATTCTTTCTATTGTTTGTTTGCCTTGTTTTCTCTTATATTTAATTTCAGCATCAAATGTTTCTTTTCAACCAGATATGGCATCGTTTCGTTCCGATAAACCAGCATCAGGACGAAGTCTTTGTAGGCCACCAGTTATCAATCCAGTAACATATCTATTTTTTTATTAGTTTTGTATTTTTAAGAGGAAATTTATACCAGAATTTTTATTTCGAAAACTTCTGACTAGGCAACAAGAACTGACACGAATCAAAGCCTTGTTTTTCTGATTTTGTGAAAATTTTCTCAAAAGGAATCTTAGAAACAATAGTTGTGATCTTTGCCTAATGATCCGCTTTCCATCAGCTAGAGTAAATTATAAAAAAAAAAAAAAAAGAATTTTCATGTTACTGCTCAATATTTCCAGGTTCAATTTCATGCTTCTCAAAAATCCTTCACGAATTCGGAACTCCAGAAAGTTACAGAACAATCCATGCATCGTAATACTTCCCTTAGAAATCATGCAACATCATTAGTTTTACCCGACACAACGCTTCAGATAGTTCCACATATAAGTATCGTAGAGCGCTATCGAGCTTTGAATATTGTATCGATAAGGGAAGCTTACTATCAGCGAAGATATTGCCTGGTCGCACATCGTAAAACAGTGCAGGTATTTTGTAGTTATTTGCCCAATTAATTGTTCTGACTCGATAGAGTTTCAGCGAGATAAATTTTCATTTAATATCAAAGCATTCTAAATAGTATCCTTTGTTTGGTAAAAGATCGGATAAGAGGGTTTCTTCATCTGCTATTTCTTATGAGTGTAGATTTGCCATGTTAATGTTGGCAGACTTGGGCTTAAATGTATCAAAAACACTGGTTAGATGCAGTAAGTCCAGCGAGATATATTCACTGGTTTTTCGAAACTTCACTTACTTCTCTTAAAAATTTAATTTTACCATTTCTTCGTAATAAAGAGATTTAAAATTCAAAGTGTTTCATTTCAAGCCTATTTTTTGCAAGTTGCATGCTGGTTTGCAATTTATTGGACAGAGCTGGACAGCAGCGCTACGTATCGCTGATGAAACTTGCGATGCACTTGACTGTTTAGTGGATAACGGTGCAATACGTAATTTGATAGGTTTCACACCGCAGGAGGCACAGGTTTGCCCTTCCATGAATTTTTAGATGTGAAAGTTTGTGAATACTGAGTGTGAGCCAAGATTGAAAATTTAAATTCGTTCTAAAAATTATGAAATACCCTAAATGATGAAAATAGTTAGATATGAAGCTGGGAGCGAATGGTGGTTTCAATATCAAGCAAGCTTGAGCTAGACTGTTTAAATCATGTAGGAGTACTGAGTTAGACCAATGCTTCATAAAGGCCTTAAAAATTTCCAGCTCTTTAAATGTTTCATTATGTCTTTTTCAAGTAAGATTAAGGGGTAGCATTTCCATTGGATAGAGGTGGATAATAGTTTTCTTTAGGTTAATGAATGATATAGAGGTTGGTCTTCTACCAATAATTGATTAAACTTTTCTCATTTCTCCATACCAATGCTACCAAGCAAATCAGTCAACATTCCATGCATATCTCTTGATCTGTATTTGACTGTGAGAATCTTTCGCCTTTTACCATAGATTTCTGTGTGGGAAGATGTTTGTGAACTTTTTGGTATTACCAAAGTGGCAAAGTGAAACTTATCTTGGTATGTTATGACAGCGAATTCTATAAATATAATTCTCGTGATCATATATACTTTTCGAGTCATCACATAAACACTGTAATTAATTCACTGCAGAGGCTAAAAATTTCACTGAAATGTTCCAATCTCTTGAATATGTGAATTTTTGAAAGACAACGAAACAAACTTCTCTGAGATAAATTTGGAATTTAAAGCTTGAATCAATGACACATCTTTTGGGAAGCTTGATAATTTTAAAAGTTTACGAACTAACTAAAGTGAATAAGGGAAGGAGAATAAATCCTTGCAAAGCCTAGGAAAGGATTACGCATTAAACTGGACACGTCGGCTTAATAATCTGTCAATAATCAATTGGCTTCTGTTGTACGATATTTAATTTAAGGCACAACTTTTAAATAGAATACATCGATTGGGGCACTCAATAATAAGGCCATCACTAACGATCCAATTAAAACGCATGTGGCTAAATGATTATTTTCCGCATATTACTTTTGCAAAACTTCATTTTGATTTTAGCAAGCGGCAGCGAGCAATGATCGCGTTCGCGTAGCGTACTATAAAGGGCGTGCTCAAGCGATGCTTGAAATATTCAAACGGCTGGATTTGGTGCTAACAATCGAATTCTCATCATCATCAGATGTTCTTCCGCTCATCGTTGATATTACTAATCTTTCAACAGCACTTGGCTTATGCTAATTTATTCACCTCTTCTGTGTGCATACCATGATCTTTATTCGCTCAAGGCATGTTAACTGTGATGTTCTTTGTTGCTTACTTGTATATATTATGTTTTGTGTTTATTCATCATTATTATTCGTTTTCGCAGTTAATCTTTTGTTTGTTAGTTTGATTTAATTTGTCTGCTTGTCTTGTTACTTGTTTGACCAGCACTTGGCGTTCTTTACTTTTCTTGCAGTTCATTTGTTTGTTTTTTGTCGTTTCTTAAAATATTTTGCTTGATTCAGAAAAAATTCCCTTGATTCATTTTTTTGTTTATTTTATCATATTAGGAAAATTACTACTGCCTTTTTGGTTTTCTCACTTCAGTTTTTGGCCTTGAATATATTATTTTTTCCTTGTACTTTATCTGATATGTTCAGTAAAATTACAAGTGGGAGTCAGTTTGTTAGCTGATTTTCAAAAATTTTCCTAAAACGTGTGATACTTGTTTTTTTATTGCTATAGTTTGATATGTTCAAGTAAGACTATACTTATGATCGTTCTGTTTAACACATTCTAAAGCTAAGCGTTCATAACGTTTCTGAGCTATGATATGCTTATGTTTAATTTGTTTTACCATTATGTTTTTTCCTTAAAAAACCTGTTGTTTTGCTAAAAATTGGAAATTGTTTGTTTTGTTTGAATTTATTAAAGTTTTGTTCCCAAAAATGATCAATGCCTGCTCTATGACTTCTGATAAGAAAATTATTATCCTCTTCGTTGTTATATTTAAGTTTCCCTTGTTAAAAATTCTTAATTTTGATAATTTGCCTTTCGTAACATAAAAAGCATCATCATTAATTAAAATATTGTGTGACTTAAATAAACGAATTAATTAACATACCGATATGAATTCTACGAGCTATCATTAATTATATCGATCGAGTAAACTTTATATTTAGCTTTAACATTTATTTGTCTGATAAGAAGAATGATGCACTTTTGTGCGTCGAAGAAACTAATACAGTAGTAGTTTGTATTTGTTGTGCAAGCAAATTCTGGAATGATTTTACTGCCCGTTAGCTGAAATTTCTTTCATTAAACTCAAAGAACATTTTAGGTTTTTATTCTGTGGACAATAATTTAATAGAAATCAATAATATAAAATTTGGTAGGTATTGTTCTTATTCAAATTCATTTCTTAGTAAATTATGTATAATATGTGATGACTTATGTTATATATTAATTTGATCAAATTGAAATGGATATCTGCAGGGGCTTATTTTTATTGGATGAAATTCGTGATTCATTTTTGACTGGACCCTTAACAATGTATTTGTTAATGAAGACACATGATAAGTGGTATGTATTTATAGTCAAGATAGCAGTTGCTGCTGTATGCTGTTCGCATTTGATAAGTTCTTTACAATAAACAATTCGAATGAGTTTACACTAGATGAAAAACCATCATTCTATGAGACATACTAAGTTTGGACAGAAAAAAGAAAGAGCATAGTGTCTCCGATAAATTTTCGGTAAATTTCTCAAAGTATTACTGCTATAAGCTGTCACTGAATGGTACATTCTCTCAATATTATTCTCTGATTGACAGGGGAATGGGACTTTTGCCTTTTTTTTATAAATCGACGGAAATAAGATTCAATCAATAAATAGTACCTTTTCCAAGCATCTTTTTTCTGCTAAAATATTGATTTAGTCTTTAGGGAGATTATAAGGTCACATTCTATCATTTTATTTGTATTTCATTTTCAAAATCACATGAATTGCTGGTTACATCGAAAATAGATTTCAAAAAAGAATATCTAAAAAGTCTTCATTTACCCTTTCAAAAGTTCATGTATATATGAACTTGAGATCTATAATTTTTTTTCATTGTCACAATATATATATATGTATACAATACTAAAAATATTCGATAATTAGTCGAATATTGTTTCTATTTCAAAAGACTGCATTAGTTGTAAACTGGAGTAGATTTGGTAAGATATTCAGCATTTATTTCAACTATTATTAAACCAAATTAACAGAATGAAACGAACAGTGTATTTCATATAATGCATATAATTTCATTGGAATGAAGAATAATTCGATAACTTCTCATTTCATTTTATATTTAAAAAGGGAAGCAATTCTGATTGGAGTACATAATCGGCTGGAAATAATAAGTGTTTTGTTTGCTCGCTGAAAATTGAAATTTTAAAAACCTTTTAAGAAATCATTTTTTATATTGTTAGAGAAGGAAGAATTATGAAGTTAAGTAGTATATTAAGCTGATTTTCTTAACTTGCAAATTGGAAGAGAAAGGAAAGAGAAATGACGTATAACTTGATAATAATAATTAAAATTTATTCTTCATTATTAGTAACTCATTGCTCTTTCTTTGTATTATAGACCGTATCAGAAATGAGTTCATTTGTTTTTTTTAATCACTTCTGATAATTGTCAGTTCTGTTCCAAAACTACAGCCAATATTCATTCATCCATAAGTTTTCAAAAATTTTTCTGAAACTTTGAAAATTAATCTAAAAAAGTACTTGAGCTTGGATCTTCGTTTTGATATCTGGCCATAAATACAATCGATTCAAATCAAATGATGCCGAGCTGTCATTAATTTAAGTTCTTGGATAGAGAAGTGAACGAACGATTATATCATTGGTTACTGTTGACTTTTCAATTGTAAGGCTTCCTAACGTAGCTATTTTTTATTAATGCATGTTAAGAATGAAAAGAAAACATTTGAAATTATGTTAAGTTTTGTTTTGCTTTACTTTGAATAATCTGTCCTTTCAAAATCAGTTTAAATATAAAAGATTGCTATTTCTATCATTTAATTTCATCTGTCCACAAAAATTAGCTAATTAGTTTTGGACTTATTTACTTCTAATTTCTCAAATAAATCACTTTTCTTTCTCTCTAAAGCAAAATTTGATATTTCAAATATTGCAACATTTAATTCTGAAATAACCATATCTTAGAGGAAAAAAGAATTAACAAATTAGATAAAAATAGATAGCATTATAAGCAAAGCGATAAAAAGTTTCCCAAAATCCGGGAAATATTATTTGTTAGCTGTCATTCGTCATTCAACTAATAGCTATCCTTTTTACAAATGCTAAATTTTTTATTTTCAGTTTAGCCATTGATTTGATGGATAATTGTGAATTTGTTCATTCCAATTAACAATCAATCATATCTCCTCTGTTACACTTAAGTTTTTTATCACTTTTCTAATATTATCACTCTAAATCCCAAAATATGCATAATAATTGAGACTTTTTTCTCTTTGCAATTCTCATTAAATTCTTTAATGACATTACCTGTACTCATTATCTATTCGTATCGTCCAAAATTTCAATACTTTTTTGTACTATCAAATTGAAGTTTGATTAGTTTCGAGAATTAGTTCTCAGAAATCTTTTTAGCAAATAGCAAGAAAAATTAATTTCAAAATTAATTTCATGGAGATAAGTGTTTCTCACATAATTGGATTTGATTTTATAACTGAGTGGTATGATCATGGCGAAAATGATGAAGAATATGGAAGTGATCAACTTCTTTGGCGTGAAAATGTTTCGATGGTCATTCTTGTTATTGGAAAGACATAACGATTTCTGAAGAAATGATGAAGATTATTTTTAACAATTTATTATGCACACTTTTATATTACTTTATTCCAGGTAAAATTAATGAATTGAATTGTACTTCGAAAATTTTTTATTCATTAAATTAATTGACATTGAGGGCTTTCAAAACGAGATGCAACTCTGTTGGGATAGTTTAATAGAAGTTAATTGAAATTAAGAGTGAATCCGAGTTACAACATTTCTTGCTATCTACTTGATTGCTTGTTCTACGGGTATTGATCTGGCTTAAGCAATCATAAATTTATAATTTCGATACACTTCCAATTTTTGTGAAATTAAATTTTGTTTTCATAACCTCATGGCTCAATATTCATTATTCTTGAATTTTTGACAAATAAAGTGTGGAGGAGTGATATTGGGTTAGAAAATGAATTTCATGACATCCATAAAGATTGAAAAAAACTTTTGGAAGTTCACTTCAACAAGTTCATTTTAAAGGCTTCTGGGAGAGGTTAGAAGGCCATATAAAATTCTGTGCAAATCAGAAGTATTCATTCATTTTCTTTTTTTCATCTTTTTCAATATATAGATTTTACAAATATTCACATACCATTAGATAAATAATTTGTAGTTTGGAGCGCAGTACATTTCCAACGAAGGATGAAATTGGGCGGTGTTGTTTTTGAAAAGGTATACTAATTTTTTTATATAAAAAAAATAAGATGCATATTTGATGATAGGAAACTGTTGCTCGAATTAGCTATTTTGCGTATTTTTTGTTTTCGGTAATTGTTATTCGGAAAAGTGGGTCGGATCTTCGAAAATTTTCTTCAATTACTGCAATCTTCAGAAAATATTGCAACGATCAGTTGGTGCTAAATTTTATTTTGTTGCTAATACAACTGAAAAAACTTCTGCAATAAAAAAACTTTGATTTGAGTTATTAAAACGGAAAGATGTTGCTTTTGAAAATCTAATGTTACATTAATTTTCCAATAAACAATTTTTTAAATTGAATTTAAAACCTATATTTTTCCAACAGATATTCAAGATATTCATCCTGAATATCTGTTGAAAAAACAAATTTCTTCTCGCAGGAAATACCACTACTTCGTAATGCAAAGACTCGGCACGACAATTCATCATTCAGATATCAGATTGATATTCTAATGGTGGCCGATTACTCAGTTTATACCAATTTCTTGGATATTGTTCGGGGTGATGAATATTCGGCATTTTCTGCCACGAAAGATTACCTGTATGCTATTTTTGAGCAGGTGAATTATTCTAAAAGTCGAGTCGAAGAAAAGTGACATGAAAAGAATCGAAATGTGAAAAATGGCATATCAATAGGATTAATGAGATTATATATTAGTGATATTAATGAGAATATAATGATAATGATTGTTGAAATTCGTAGTGAAAGTGATAGCAGTGTAATACATTGTGATAATAACTTCATAAGGAGAATTTGATTACAATATATGGAAGACCTGAATAATTAAAACTAAAAATGAAATAGGAAATCATCGCAAATTTTATCTTCCAAGCTAAATGCATAATTTATTATTTTTAAAAAATTATGAACAGATGCGTTCAATTTACGACGGTAATGGTTTATTCGAGAATATCCCAGTAACCTTAAATTTGGCATCAACAATGGCAATAATTCGTGAAGATGATTGCCCATTAGCGCCATTTCTTAATCAGACCGAATCAAATGATTTAGAAAATATAACGCAGTAAAATCTTTTATTTTTTTTCCTTCTATCTAAAATTAAATTATATGAAGTTTCGAAGAAAAAATTCACAAAATATTTGAATAAAAATGTTTCTGAATTTCGAAAAGTTTTCAAAACTTATTTTAAATGGTATCATTTCTGTTATGAATGAATTTTAGCGAAAAAAATATAATTAAAAAAATAATATTTTTCTATTAGGATGAATGGATTGGATGCTGTAAATTATGTGCAGAAATGGGTGACTGATTATTCACAATGGATTCCAGCTCATAATCATATTACTGTTTTGACGAAGTTTGTAAAATGTGCAAATTACAGCTTTGATACTAATTGAAATTAAATCTTTTTTTAAGCAACTGAAATTCCAATTGCTTAAATTAAATAAATTAAATTGCTCATCTGAGGATCCTCTGTTTTTTGAATGAAAATTTTATTTTTCTTCATAGAATCGATTTACTTTCTCCAAAAGGTGATTCAAGCACTCAAGGAATGGCATATGTTGGAGCAATGTGTCGTGTTGCCGAATCAGCAAGTGTAGTGGAGGATATTGGCGGTATGACTACTGCTGTAATTGCTGCACATGAATTAGCCCACAGGTATACACATACACACATAATATATTTGTTTGATTAAAAGCTAACAGATATCTCTTAGAGAAAAAATTTTGAAACCTTAGTATAAGCTGGAAATTTGAAAATGTTTTGCTTTTTTTGTTCGAAAAATTCTTTTTACAGCCTTGGTGCATTTCACGATGGCGCTGCTGGATCAACTGAAAAATGTGGAGGAAATTATCTGATGTCCGCAACAGTATCAGGCTCAGATGATGAACAAAAATTCTTTAACACATTCAAATTCTCACCGTGTTCAATTCAACAAATTCAATTATTTTTTACGTACTTCTTTATTGAAATTTAAATGATTAAAAACAGATGAAATCGCCTTTCAGAAAAGTTAAAATATATCTTTGCAAAAGCAAATTTTTGAAAAGAATTCAATAATTAAATTTTAATGATTTTTTTTATTTCAACCTTTGTCATACATATTTCAGACTGAACATTTGAAAAAAATTGAAGAATTGCAGGAACGGAACAGCTGACTGCTTACTGCGTTCAAAAAGTCGTGAAAGGCGATTACGGCGCACTTCACAACGTAAGCATCGTAAGCCTGGGGAATTGTTCGTGCAGCAGAATCAGTGTAAGATTGCATTTGGACCTCATTATAGTGTCTGTCCGGTAATTTAAACTTTTTTTAAAAAAAAGATTACGAAGAAGTTATATTATATGCAAATGAATAAATTAAAAAATGAAAATCCAAATTGTAATTAAACCTCGTTGAAAATAACGAGGTTTAATTATAACAAATAGAATGAAGTTCAGGCGAAGATTCAAGAAAAGTTTCTACAAGGTCCATGATAATACATGTACCATTGTAATCATTAGACTTGCTGAGTTTTGGTTAAACTTTTTTTCGGTAACCATAAAATCTTCCAGTAATTTTTAAACCAATGATTTTAATAATCTGATAATGATTTAACTAAATGATAGGATTAATTTTATATTATGCTTAGCCTAACGATAAAAAGATAAATTTTCAATTTCCATTTCAATTAAGAGGAAGGAATATTTATCGAAGGATCCATGTCGACGACTTTGGTGCAAAAATCGGCAGCTGCGCAAAATGGGACCATGTGAAACCAAATTTTATCTGCCTTTATTGGACGGGACGAAATGTGGACTTGATAAGGTGAATTCTTAATGATGTAATTTTTATCATAAAAAACAATAATGTAATTAAATCATAGGTAAAATTAAATTACAAGAAAACTTTTAAAGATTTCAGGCTTTTCAAAAAGAGACAAAAAATGATGACTGCACTTTTGGTGAATAAAATATTTAATTTATCATAGCATTCCAAATTAATTGGAAATTTCTCTAACCACACCTTACCTATCAGCCTTTAAAACTAGTACATTACAATAAACAAACATATTTGATAGTAAAGCCGAGATTTCATCCATTAAAAAGTTATGATTGACTTTAAGTATTTATTTTTAATTCAACTTTTCATTAAATTCCAATTTATATAATTTTTAGTGGTGTCTTGGTGGAAATTGTATAGCAACCAATAAAGAAAGAGAATGTAAGTCTATTTGTAATTAATATCACATAATTTTCTGAAATTTCTTGTAGCAATTGAGTGCTGACTTTAAAACTTATAATTCCTCTCAAGCAAATCACACAATACTTTAAAATATATTTATAATTAGGTTCGAATTTTCCAAGTATTGCATGATCTTTTTTGCCTTTCTAGTAAACATGAATATATTATATTATTTAAAAACAAATTTTAGACTGCGTTGATTTGAATCCCTCAATGTGCCTTGAATTATCTGATGAAAAGCTTCGCAAATATTGCCACTCGAAACACTTTCGTTCGTTGTGTTGCGTTACTTGTTCTCAATTTATGCATCGTGTCTTCACCACTTCATCTTATGATTCATAATTATTAACTATCTTTAAAACATCAGAATTTCCTTCTTTGGTACATTTTATTTTAGTTTGAAAGTTCGACATTCGATCCCGAAATAACTCGCGGTTAGATGTCCGATCCCAAAATAACTCATCGTTATTTTGTTCCACATTATCACCAAACAGCTAGAATCTTGCTCTTATTCAAGTTCCAATATTCTGTAAAAAATTCGATCGAATTATAGAAATGAATCCTAAAAATTTTCAATTCTAGAGCATTCGATAGCCATATTCTCCTCGGATTTCTTTAAAGAAATAACATGCAATCGTACCTCCGATGCTGCTCATATGACAATTGTTGTTATAAGCTGTCACAAAATTGAACTTAAAATCTGATCCCCAAAATGATAAACACTCCTCTCTTCTACTTCTTATTATACCTAGCAATGCTAAAAATATTTTAATTTTATCTTAAATACTTATCAATAAAATAAGCAAGCCATGATATTATCGGCGACTTGATTAGTTATTGATATCTATTGGCACCATAATTTTTCCTGAAAGAATAAGTTGTATTACTTGAATATGTACGACTTTTCATAAATTTCAGAAGATCGTTATATTTGCGAATGAAACAATAATTAATCACAAGAATTTTTATTCTGCAGAAATATTTCGCTTCGCAACATTTTAAAACATCTCAAATTTTACAGAACATGACACCTTAATGAAGGCAATCAACTTTAAGTGAAAATGGCGTCAAAGTTAAGTGGGAATTCATTTTAACTGTACAAAACAAAATAGTATTAAATATATACGTATTTCATATCGAATACTCCGTAAAATATGACACTAAGTCAAAATATGAAAAAAGGAGAAGGGAATAAGAAGTGAAAAAAGGATAAATACGAATATTAAGAATCCTGAGCGCGATTTCGACTGTATTTCGAATGTATAATGTTGACTACATTCGGCTGAAGTTTGAGTTCAAGACTTAACTTTGTATTTGAACATGTTACAGTGGATATATTACAAGAGATAAAAGTTTTGCTCCAAGAGATGAGTATGGAAGATTCACTAATAAGAGAAAATGAGACACATAGAAGTAAGCGATTTCCAATAGACTTTTCTACACATTTTTGGTTAACAGAATAAATGCAATGCAGTTGAACTTCTACAGTTAAGAAATGTCAATCGAATAGGAAGATATCCCTGAAGAAGGTCAAACGATTAGAAGATAATTGTTTTGAAATTATTTTGCGAAAAAAAAATAGTATTCGGATAGTGCGTTTGTAAAAATTCATTGATTTCAATGAAATTCTGAAGTAAAATAGAAATGAGTGCTAGTATAAAGATGAAATAAATATTTTAACAGATTTGCAAATAACAACAAAGACTTTCCTATGATGTTCAGAAAGTTGAATAAGATTATGAAATTAAAACATTAACTAAAACATAAAAGATTCTCAAAATTTTTCTTTTTTTGTCGGAAATTTCTGGAAACTTTTTATATGTTTTTTTTGCAGTTAATATTGCAGAAAAAGGTCCCATTGATAATTCAATTCATATCATACTTATTTACAGACTATCCTTCAAGAGAAATTCGAGGCAACCCGCTGATCAGAATAGTTAAGTAATGTAGATATAAGATTAGATTATTTCAAAAAACAAAAATTGAGAAAAAATCCTACGAAAAGAATTAGTTACCAGTATTGTACATCACTGCACTCAAAATAATAAAAGAGAAATAAATGCTGAAATAAAGCTAATAAGTTCGTGGTGTTCTGCTGAAATACTGATCAAGTGTTCGTTGTGTCCCATTCTTTTTCCTTGGTTTTGGTGTCAACTGGCGTATATCAGTTGGAGAATTCTGAGAGTGCAAACGTCTTGAACTTTGTGAATCAGCGCGAGATTTCGCTGGCATTTTTGTTGATTGCCGATGAGTATGTTCACGTGACTTCCGTAAACTTCGTTTAACGCGAATTTTACGAGGAGATGTGCGATCGACACGTTCCTCCATCGAAATCATATTTGAGCAGTTGGACGGTCTGTGAAATTGAAAACATTCAGAAGTGCGAACAGGAAAATATGAAGCAAATGAATAAAAAATAATAGATTTCAGTAGCATTGAATTGGAATCAAAACAAGTTTCAAATATGCATTCAGATAAAAGCTATTTTCTCAATCTTTCTTAGTTCAGGGTACTATAAGCTGTTCATAAAAAACAGTCAAAATTCAAAAACCAAAAAAAGACTTACCGATCGGAATTTGACGAATGTTCGTTCAGTTCTGGACTTCTTCCTTTGTCTAATACAGTCGTTTCCGACTCTGAATTCACGTTCGACACAGCAAGTCTTTCCTTGACAAAATCTGGTAAATTCATCGTTGGATACCTTGAATGACTCATAACTCGCTATAGAGGAACATCAAAAAACATCCAAATTCAAGGGTAATTCAACAGACCAAATCAACATCAAAAACATACTTGAAATAGAAGGCACATGGAACTCGATTCTTCATCTCGATTCCGGAAAAATCAAGTTTTCGTGCAGCATGGCTTGACTTGTTAGTTAGATCACACAGTGGTGGAGACATTGATTCCGTGACCCTTGAAAGGAGATAATTACGAAAATCTGAGAGAACTGCTTCGAAATTTCTTGAAAATGTCGAAATTGATACTAAACTTAAAAAAAAACTATACTTGAACATTTTTTTCACTGGCGACTGGCTTCCACTTTTTGCTTCCACACCAACTCGATTTAGAGGATTTTTAAATGGACTTTTAAAGGGACTCCGTTCCGTGTTTTTCTTTGGGACTGAAACTGATACATTCAACTGCTTCCTGCAAAACCATATATTCTTACATTAAATTTTTGTAAAGAAAAGAAGCTAGATCCAATTAAAATAAACCTCCGAAATTCAAGCTCAAGAAAACGCAGATATAAAAACATATGACGAAAAATTGTTGGATTTATGACGATAAAAAAATGAGTACAGAGCATACATTGACATTTCAGCCCTAGCTGTTTCAGGCAATTCATATAATTCAACACGATCCTGATGTACTGAGATTGAGGATGATTCCTGATTTTCAAAATTTTTCGCACTCCATTTCCAAATTTTCAGATACGAATCATCCATTGTAGCAATATAACGTCCATAGTTGCTGAATCTCGCAACAGTGACCTGAATAAGATAAATAAGGGTAAGCTACATTTTTTAAGAAAATAGCTATGCTAAATGAAATTAAAGAAACAGTTAATGAAATGGAATTCAAAACTGTGAGAGAAAATGCATAAGATTACGGAGCAATGATTTCACATACTCATGAAATTTCGCCATAGCAGCATCATAAATATAAAAGTAAAATTTAAACACATTAATAATTCACATGCAAATCAATTTAAATGCAGAAATAACAAACCTCATAGCGATGACCACCTAATGTATATTTCGGATAAGGCAAATACTTCAATTTACTCGTGTTAGAACTGGAATATTTTTCCTGTAATAATAAAATAATAAAATGAAATCGCATGATAGAATTAAGGCGACAAAATTAATAATCGTTAAGCTTACAAGACCTTTTGCACTGAAAACTAATGCGTCTTAAATTCAGGAGCTTTGAAAAACGAAATTAAGAACCTGTAAATCCCAAATAACAGCGAAGCAATCACCACCGCCAAACATTACATGATCAGAATTTGGTGAGGCAGCAATTTTAAAATCATATGTGTTGAAAGACGTTCGCTTGACTCCTTGTAAAATACCAACTGAAAATTTCAAAAACTTTAAGTCTTTGCGTAAATTGGGAATAAAATTAGATACAAAGCAGGTAAATAATATGAATCGATACTAAAATGGAAAAAGCACCTGGTGAGTTATTTAATCCCTGAACGCTGTATTGATAAATTTTTGAGTCTGTTGATGCAACAAAAAGTGATGAGCTAAAGCGATCAAGACATATCGAGGCAATACCTTAATAACGAAAATGACGAGCGAGTATTTTTTTGAAAATTTAAGAGGTCGTAACTTTGAACAGCAGTATTTTGAACAAAAAAATTATCTGAAACAGGTGGAAGAAATATTCAGATTTTTTGCATCCAACTTATAAACTCGAGTTACTTAACTTCAATTCTTCTTTTGAAAAAGAATTGAGAATACTGTAATCTGGATTTTATGGAATGGAATATCATGCTTTTTCCTTCACTGGAATAAAAATTGATAAAACAATCCAGTCTATTTTTTAAAATAAATGCAAATTTGAAAAGAAATTTAAAATAGCAACATACCAAAATCACGAATTGAAGTACCGTTAGGATCTTCAAGAATACGAAATGGACTATTTTTGCCACGATAACGGAGATCCCAAAAGCGAATACCTCTGCAGTAAATTCAAAATCTTGATTAGTAACTACGAAACATCAATATGAAAAATAAAAGAACCACTGGAATGATAAGCATAATATAAGAGTATATTAGTTGCAAAAATAAAAGATTTACGTTTTGAAAGACGAAGATGCTGATATTAGGGTATTTCTACCATAATGTACTAAAGAAGTGATTCCTTTTGAACTCATCGAAACTGACATACGCGATCTTCGCTTCGTCCCAATACTTTGGCCTGAAAATGTATAAATAAGACACAAATTAGTGTAATCGGAACTTGGAAAATGGAAGACCAAAATAGTTTTAAAAAAACTGGGAGAGGAAATTAGGTTTTGTTTGTTGATTTGTTATTATACAAAGATTTTTCAGATCTCAAATGTATAGAATTTGGCTATATAATCAAATTTGTTACGCACTCTCTCAAATGATGATACAATAATATGAAAATAATCTTCGTCCAAATGCAACAAAAATTGAGAGGAATGATAAAGTAAACTACGTGCTTACTGCGCACCCAACTCATATTTGCCCGATACACTGCTTTTCAGAATCTTCTGAAAAAAACAAGAACAACACTCCACTTTTTTATATGTTATCTATCGCAGGGCAATGTTGCATATGTACGTAAAGATAACGTACGTTCAGGAGCTAGTAAAGGATGTGTATTTTCCAGAAGATTGAAGGGACGCACAACAGTAGCTTGTGGTTCTCGTCGATCCCAAATGCAAATTGTTCCATCTCGAGCCCCCGTTGCAAAAAGGTCTACAATTTCTATTATTTTTAAAATATGCGAAAAGCGTGAGTTCTAAAAAGCTTTAACATCATTGAAAAAAAAACATTATCGAAAGAGGATTGAGAGAAGCTAACCAGGATTATCATCTGATATAGAAAGAGCGCGGACCGAACCTTCATGACCCAAAAATTGCTGCAACACAAGTTGTCGTTCAATATCCCATGATGTTACTTTTGCATGGCCAGATATAGAAAGTAAATTGTTCGGACGATTTGCAACAAATGACACATCGATTACACAACTTCGATCGGCAGAAATTGCTAAAAATAGCGCATTTCTTTTTCTACACATTTTTCACGAAAACAAGCTTTGGAAGTGCTCTGTGAACGCATTTTTCAAATCCCTTTATCAAACAATTCAAGCTTTTCAATTCAATAACTTACTTCTTTACGAAACATTTATTTCGAATAATGTTTTCGAAATAAAACAGAAATGAAATGCATAAAAAAGAAAACAAATAACTAAGAAGTAATGCCAGGTAGAATATAAATCAGAAACAACCATTTTGTCTAGAATATTATAATTAAATAAATGAAGTTACAATTTGTTATAGCATCTTCTCGAGCATCCAAGAAGTGAATAAAGCCATTTTCATCACCGATAGCTAACAAATGTTCAAGAGACTGATCTTTAGCAAACTGGCAAACCACCCATGCATTCTAAAATTGAGAGGTTTGTATTCAACATAAATTGATAACAGGCTTAACTTCTTTAATTTTCAATACTTTCGGAAGTGCCATGTGAAGTTAGGTATTGTAAACTGAAATGGCTCGTTCCGTCAAAGTCAACGCGTATATGCAACGATATGATCACCAACAGGGTGATCAAATTCTGACGGGCCAACCGAATAGCTCCATCAGCACACGATGATATTTAAAAAATCAATTCTTTGACCCCTTGTTAGTTCTCTTGCATCATTAAAATTTCATAAGCTTCGATTCTATATAATATCTTGCTTCTATTATGAAGCATGAAACTTGAATAACTCAGTTCTTTCACTGAAAATGGAAGTAAAGTATGTGATCGACCGAACAGAGCATTGGAAATGGGGCGAGAAAGAAAAAAATTACCGATGAAATGAGGCATTTAGTAGAAGAATATTGCAGAAAATACGAATCTGGTACCACTTGTGATACCCTTTGGCCTCGGTACATGCAACGAATACCCATCGACTTTTAACATTCGGTACGCGCTCACCACGATCTGACTAGTGCTAGGTTAATTCGAAATTCGCGTTCTAATTTTCAAATCTTAAAAATTGCTACTCACAATGCAAATCCAATATCTCATCGAAAGAGGAATGAAATGACTTAATTTGATCGCAGTAGGGTGAAGAGCCGTGTGTTGTAAGATTTTCCCGCGATGTTTTTATCACGCTATATTTTATCATTCTCCAGCAAAACGGTCTAATGCCGATTCAAAATATTTGAGGAGAAAAAATAAAGGTGTCTTGTCAAAACTTTTATAATAGCTCGAAATATGAACTTTCTTCAGATATAACAAACATGAAATAAAATTTGAACTTGAGAGATCTCGGGAAATTGAATTTCTTTGATTAAATTTGTTCGTCCAAACTTATCATTTCTTTTTTTTCTGTTGACGGGGGAGAGCAATTTTATGGTTTGTCCCATAAATCGCTGATAAGATATTGATAAGGTTTTAGCTTTTGATTTTACTCTATTGATTGGCTTATCAGTAAAGTAATATTTTGATTGATTTTGGTTTATCAGTAAAATATTTTGATTCTATCAGTAATTCTTTCTAATTTACTACTGTTACTATATCATTCACTACAAATTCATGCAAATCCGATAACAGTTGTTTCGGGTCTCCTTGGTGATGAACTTATCTTCTTAGTGACACACTATTGGTTTGTTTTTTTTCTCTGTAAGTAATTTGTTCAGTTTTTCCTAGCAAATAAACTTTGAAACCTCACATAACATCAGAATATTTCCGCTCAACAATTTTGAAAATTGATTCAAATTATAAATTTAGCTTTGCACTCCTATTATTTATACATTTATATATCATTTGTATTCATATCATTTTAAAGCTTTAATCAAATTACAAAGCTGTCAGGAAATGTGAGTATATGAAGGTGTTCATAAAGCCTATTGTTTTATGTAAACTTTGATACGCCTCAAATATAAGAAATCTACCCCCGCTATTTGATTATTTATGGTTTTGAGGTCAGTTTACTAATTTTTTTAGTGTTATTAGTTTGGTAATTTTATTAGCAAAAGCTTTCAATACTTTTTTCTAGGAATGAACTCATTTTGATTGAATATTTGTAATGAAAACAGGCAATGAATTCATTTCTTAGACTATTAAATTAAAATCTTTATTCATAAAAGAAGAGAATTATCAGTCCAATTCACTCATCACATACAACTTTTTAAATTGAACTTCGAAATTTTCAATAATTTCTTAGCAAATGCCAATCCAAATTACTAAAGTGATCAATCACTAAACAACCAATCACCAATTGATATGAAGATACCGAAATGCCATGATCATGATCATGACTTTTTCAGATCATAAATAGTTCCCAATTATTATCAGACTGATCTCTCATGAATTTAATTTCATTTTCCTCAATCAAAATTAATTTTAGCATAAAATCCGAATTTAAGAAATAAACTAATTTAAATGTTAATTGATCAATTTCTTTATCACTTACTCTCCACGTTTATAGAATTGTTATTCATTCTTTTATTGGACATACAATCCTCATGTAATAAACCCTTAAAAATCCTTAAATTTTTCAAAATTATGCTTGTGATACATAAAGTTTGTCGTCACCTGCCCTTTTGTTGTTTATTATAATGTTGGTTGGTACAAAGTTCATATTTTGTCTGTTGACAAATGTAGCAATTAAATTGAAATACATTTGACAGGCATTTTTATTGTAATAATTTAGCATTAATTTAATGAAAAAAAAGTCTTTCGAAATAGAGATAGCCTTCGACAAAGAATCATAAATATTATGCTTTAGAAATATAAGTATAACATTTCGAATATTTAGAAATATAATTTAATCAGATATGACACTTTAAGTTAATGCTGAAGTAATTGTTGTTGTAAAATTATCACATGTGCATTGCATTTATTTTCTCTTTCGCTTCATTATTCCCCCCATATTTTCGTAAAATTTTTCTCAATAAATTCAATTGGCAATTTACTATTTCTCAAACGGTAAATTTATTTTCGAAATATCTCGTTTTTACAACAATTATTTCAACATTAACTTCTTTTTTTTTCTTTCAGTTAAAGGAATTTTCAACATCTTTCTTTTCAGTAGTACTATCCGTAATTTTCGACAAAAGGAAAATTTCTCATCAAAATATTATTAAAAAAGCAAATATTATTTTCGCAGTAAAATTAAAATTAAAATTAAAACTTCTTGTTTAATTACTTATCAATGCAAATTGTGAAAAAATTTTATTTATTGTTTTAAAAGAAAAAAATTTTGAATATTTTTTAATTATTAATTAATGATATCTTTATTTTAATAATAGAAAGACTATTATTATTATGGATTAATGCTTCTTATTTATTACCTCACCTTCAACTAAGCTCTTTATCCTTCTAATGATGTCACTATTTCTAAAGTATCCATGTGTATCGATAGCATTAGTTTAATATAAACAAAGCAAAACCTCTGTGATGCAAAAAGTCAAATATCAAAATAATAACAACCTTTATTTTATTCATAGAAATTCTTTTTAATTCTATCGTTAAAAGCATTCATCCAAATATTTCTTTTCTTTTATTTCGATAATAATAATAGATACTAAAATTTTTTTTTATAATTAAATTAATTGATAATTTTCCAAACATTTTTCATTGTTCTTTAAAATAAACTTTTGCAATGTATAAAAAAGACACTTATGTTTTTTAATAATTTTATCGAAATATTTCTATACTCATTGTAAACATTTCAATTATAGATATGTCCGATTTGCCATTGTTGAATTCAAAAGAGGTGCTAATCATATATGGTGGTGTTTGTTGTTTATTATACGTCGGAACAGACGGTTTTCATCTTGAAGCGCCATTTGTTATGATTATGCCAACACTTTCATTAATTATGCTTACGCTAATATTACGTATGAAAAAGACAACCAAACTATTTACTTCGTTAACATTTATGGTTTTTGGTAAGTATAACTTGCTGATAAAAATTAATCAAATTTTTGTAAGAAAATTTAATTTTAAATTGAATTCAATTAAATAATTATGGAGTATATTTAAAAAAAAATAAAATTGATGTATCCTGTTATCTAAAAGGTTGGCAACTGAGGTTAGTACTGAAAATAGATGGAGATCTATTTAACGTCTGATCAAAAAAATCAGGTCACTCCATCTATAACATTTTATTTTACATCATCGAATTACATTCTCTCAAATAGCTTGCATTCAATTTTCTCAATTTTAAATTATCAAAATTAAATGAAAGATTTCTTCTTAGCTCTCGCTGTATATTTACACTCATCACATTGGAATAATAATTTACAAACAATTTGTTGTCTATTTACGATGGCACATATTTTATACATATTACCATTTATTTTATCTATTCGACGGTTGTGGTTTGGATGTGCGGCAGTGATAACAATTTATGTTGGCGCTTTCCTCTATTTCTGCTTTGTCGATTTATTTTTGTCTATACCAGTTCTGATCCTTAATCTTTCTTTTCATTTTATTATACTCGCAATTTCTTTAATTACTGCTGGATCAATTTGGTATTACGGATCTGAACAAGAAAATAAGCAAGAGGTTCGTGATTTTGATGCTATTTTTAGACTTTTTCTTTTTTGAAATATTTAGAAAATGAAATTCGAAATGCGAAAATTTCTTCGATACCATAAAATGTTTTTAGCGATCTTTTTTTACTCATTGCCTTATCTCTTTCCCATATTTTCAGCTTTTCAATATTTCATTCTTAAGACTAAATAAGAAAATGGTTCGACAAGAAAAAATTAGTTTGAAGCCAAAATCAATCTAATATTTGTTACTGATGGCAATTTTGGTTAATTTTAAAGTATCGCATTGGGTTAAAATATTTTTTGATTTAACAATCATTCTTATCACTAAATAATATTTTATATCATTTTCTTCTTTTAATTCTTTTCTTCAGCAATTCATTTTATTTACCAATAATTCCTTTTCTTTTGTTTTTCAGGACGCTTTACTGAGATTTTTGGGTTTGCTATCATTTATGGCTCTTGCTAGTTTGCTAATATTGAATCGATTTGGAAGTCGCATTGACGGATTCAATTACATAACTACCGCATTATTTTATATCGGTCAACTATTATTGTTTGTTGCAAATCAACAAATCATCTGAATGATATCGTTCCTGTGATGCCACATTGTATTGTTAACGTGCAGAAAATTTAATATGAATGAAATTGAAGCAATTTGAAATGGCTTCAGCAAAAAAATCTCTCCTCAAAAGTATAAAGCCAATGAACTATCAATTCATAAATATTCTTAAAGTTTTATATTTAATTAAACTAAATTCACTTTTTATAGATGTGCAGTTATTGTTGGTTTCTAAGTATTGAAAAAAATTTACTCAAAAATTAAATTGATTAGCAAAATTTCTAATATTCAATTAAACTAAACCATAGCATATATTTCGGAAACATCCATCCTTTTCCGGATTTTTTGGAAAGCAATTTTGGATGCAGTAATAAGCTACCGTTAAAAAAAAGGTTATTGTTAGTTTCTAATTTTTAAAAAAAAACTTTTCAAACTGCTATGAATTTGTATATTTAATACACTAATTGATAGATCATTAATAAAATTATGTCTGCTTCTTAACAATTTGATTATGAAATTTGATTTTCAATATTTTCAAAATTTAAGCTTAAATTTCGTTGCATGCAAATTCTGTTAGCCATCTATATAAGACATATAGGATTAAAATTTATTGTTACTTTTCTATTTGATATTAATTGGAGGTGGTTGTCAGGTGTTTCGTATGGTTGCGCCAGCTTTACAGAATCAAATGAAAAAGTCTCAGAATCAGTTACAACAATATGGCCCGGGGAATGTCATCAATATCGAAGGTATATCGATGGGTAATGGTAAAGCGGAATTAAGCAAATCAACTATACCTACACCATTTGCGTCTACGATTTCCCAAGTAACACCTGTAGCACCATTTACGGCAGTGTCAGGTGGTACTCCTTCCTTTCCGGAGGTAATTATATATATCACATATGATACTTGAACTATCATTAAGTGTATATCTATCGGGCGGTATCTCTCGTAATTTTTTTGAAATACGAATTCTTGCAGAAATATGCTAGTTTAGGATTTAGGAGAAGATTTTTAAACTGATATACTTGCCGATGTTTCAGAGTACTTTTCTTAGTACAGCAAGACTTGCAACACGAAGTAAAAGGAAACAGAAAGGTGGTGGAAATGGCCTAATGATGATTGCTATTATGCATGTAATTATTAACTATATTGACTTTAGAAATATAGCGCAGTTGTCAATTCTTAACAACTTGTCCTTCTTCTCATCCTTGTTATCTGTTCCTATTATCTTTCATTACTAAATGGAAAAATTCAAGATATTTATAACTTTAAAAAAAAGTTATTTCTATGGGATTGGTTATGGCATTACAGCTTCTTCTTGCATGTGGCCTAATAGACTTAGGAATGTTTCTTACCATTCGATTCAATCATTACGGTCATATATGGCCTGATAGTTATGCAAAATTATCTGTTTCCGAATATCGACTTTATCGTAATCAGGTAAATACTTTTTTTTTGCTACGAAATTCGGAAAAAAAGTTTTAAACATTTAATAGACAATAGCATCTGAAATAATTTATTTCCAGTATTTTAATGAAGAAAAAAGAAAAATTATGAATTATTTCATTTTAAATGAAATAAATAAATAATTTCAGATGCTTTCCATTCGTGCGCTCTATTCACCTGTAACAATTGTTATTGGTTTAACGATTTTTTTCCCGAAAATCATCTATTTATTAATTATTTTCTATTCCAAAGTATCATTTTATAGGGCAGTGATCGTTGACGGTGGCATTTCCTTTCTTGCACTAACTTATGCATGCATTACAGGTCTTTCTTTAATTTAAAAAAAAAAGTTTTAAAAATGAGTTTAATAACATATTAGGAGAGTGAACTCTCTGTGAAAGGTAACAATTCAATGTTCAAATAACAATCTTATCATATGAGAAGTCATTATAAAGACGTTGATAGGATGATTGAGGAGTCTCGATAGGTCGAACTCCATGAATGTCCCTTGATCAGTTGATATTGCAGGATCACATGCATATATTATATTGCACAATATTTCAAAAATTGATATCGGTAATCACAGTGATATCCTCTGTTATGCTATCAGGTAGTTACGCTATAAATGCATATCTGTACATTCTTGAGAGTTAAATAAATGTTTTTGATTAAATTAATAATTCTTGTGGTAATATGCATTTTTAAGAAGTTCTTTTAAATGAAACAATTTAGATTAGTTTCATTTTCAGAGGTCCACGTGAGAAAGCACCACAAGAATTGCGTGATCGATGCTTGCTAGTTGCATATAAAATGTTTGGTGATAATTTATCATTGCAATCAATAGTTGCGATACTCGTAATTATTGTATGCATTATAAATTTTATCTATCTTTTTTATGAGATAGATCCAAATGCAATGCAAGTACAGAAAAAAATTCAACTTCAATCAAAAGATCACAAAAAATTATTTTAGACTGTTGTCTAATGTTGGATTTAAATTGAATTTATTCAAAAAATTGTTATTAAGAATTTGGAAAATCAAATTTTATATGATTTAAAGGATCGATAAAAAAGCAACAAACAATAGACTGTTTCTTTCAATATATCCCGATATTTATCCTAAATATCGTCTGTCTTATGCATGTTGCTATGTAACAAATTCAATTTATTTTAACTCAATTTGATGAAAATTTGAAATGACGTTTATTGCCATAACTGAGCAACCTGGCTGGGATACTCGGTTGCAAAACGTCCATCCGGTTTTAAGAGGCATGGTGGGTAAGAAAGCGGAGTCAGGCATGAGGAATTTCCTTGGCTATGTTGTGGGCTGATGGGGCATTTGTGCAGCTTGTTTTAGTGTTAATAGTGCCGTTGCTAGGATTTATTCTCCTTTATATACGATATGTCAAACGTCACTCGTGTGTAAACGGAAATGTGACCAAAAGGAAGTGTCCATTAACATCAATGCGAATATGCTGTGTGGCTGGATCTGGTATGGTTTTGTTGCAAATTACTATTAAATTTTTTATATATTAAATTTTGTATATTAAATTTTTTAACAAATGGGTACGAAGCATTTTGCGTTTTCCCTTGACTTTAATGTTGCAGTGGGAATAATACTTGATCCGATTGTCATTTTGAATCTGATCAATTTGTAATGGAGATATTTGCGGCTACCCGATTTTCTAGCATGATGCGATTTATTTCCAATCTTTCAGGTGGACATACTGCTGAATTACTGATTCTAATGTCTGCATTCAAACAACAGTTTGGTCATCGTATATATATTGTTTCCCATACTGACAGACTAAGCGAGCAAAAGGTAAAATATGTAAAAAATGTCTGCAAATTTATAATTCCTATTATCTTAAACATTATCTTAAACAAGCGTTAGGAACGATCTTGAGAATAATATGTTAAAAGTCTTTTGTTTATAAATTTTATGAAATTTAATGCAAAAAAGCTCTTGGATTATCAGCAATGTTTAAGATAATCGAATTTGAGAAGTCCCAAAGATTGGGGGACTTTCAAATGGAACGAATAAGAAGAAGTCGAGAAGTAAAACAGAGCTATGTCACCTCAATATTCACAACAATTTGGGCCTGCGTTGAAAGTTTATTTTTGATGTGGCGAATAAGGTGACCATTTTGTTTTCCACATAGAAGACAGTATTTCGAGAATTGTAAAGAAGTAGATGATTAGGATGATAGTAATATCATTCCAACGTTAACAATTTGTGAATTTTAAATCCGGATTAAGACTTTCTTCCAGTTAGGCTGGACTACGTTGTCATCCATTAATTGTAAAAATTCTTTTTATTTCCCAGTAACGTGTCTTTAGTTTGAACTTTGGAGTTTGAAGTTACTCTTTAAAATGTGAAAAATATTAAAAAAATTTTCAGCCTGATATAATATTTCTTTTGAGGCCTGATGCTGTGCTCTGCAATGGACCAGGTGTTTGCTTACCGATTTGTTTTGCTGTAGCGTTGTTCGATTTGCTGCGACTCTGTGATGTACGCTTGTTTTATGTAGAAAGTTTATGTAGAGTGAAAAAATTATCATTGACTGGACGGATTTTATATGAACTGCGCATTCCTGACATTTTTTTCGTGCATTGGGAAGATCTTATCCAACGTTATCCACGTGTTGTTCTAGTACCATGTAATCAGTACGAGTAATAGGCTATGAATTTCGAATATTCATTATAATTATAAATGATTCTGGTGGGAACTGGAGTTTCATGGCTGTGAGGTGATAAAATCATGCGATCGTCTAACATTCGATTTCGAGCTTAGAATCCTAAAAATCATTTGACACTTTGGTTTCTGAGATTTTCATGCTGTAGGTTGAAGAAATGTAAACTCCATAATAGTGATTTTTTCGTTTATGTTTACAGGATATTTAAAAAAAAATCATTTTTCTGTTAGTTTTCATATATTTTTGATTTTATATTTTTTTTTCATATAATTTTGCTGAGTAAAATCAAGATGGAAATTTTAACAAGTTTTTGATGAATCTGAAGTATTTTTCACCTGGTAAGACTGTTTTGCTCAGCAAATTCCATTTGCTCAATTCACTTTTTATGATTTTGCATTTCTTTTCACTTTAATAATTATTCGTCGAAGTGGCTCACAGTAATCACTTTGCTAGAGAAAGTTATAATCTCTACATGTAACTGTTGTAACTGCTAATGCTTATATTTGCAGTCATGGTTGTTATTTCTTTCTTATGTAATTATATCTAGTGATAATGATATGATATTGTATGAAAATAATAATGGATGTGCTCTGCACTAGGATCAGTGACAAATCGTATGTAAATTTATGAGTAATTATATGAGGATTTCTGAAAAGAAGTGTCGATCTTCAGAAATCAATTATTTCTTTTTACTTCCGTGTAATGATTCGTTTTTTTGGTGTTTAAATTTCATAAACATTCTTTATTACTTTACAACAAATGGATTTTTTACCAAAAAATATTCTGGAAAAGAAATAATTGCTTTTTATTGAGAAATAAGAGAAGTAACACTTTAAGGTAAGAGATTAAAAGGGGAAAAGCTTATAGAACTAATTTGTGAATTTAATTCGTGCTGTAATTTATTTGAAATTTGGATCATAACGGAATCTTTTTAGATTTCTTCTCCCGATAAATTCAAATATGAAAAGTCTCCCTGTTTAAATCAAGAATGGGTTTTTTTATGAATTGGTAATTGCGTGTAACAAATCTAAAGCGAATGGTGCACATAGTACTGGGTGGTGTGTGAGAATTTGTAAAGCATACCGATGATTAGCACTTACAGTTTAGCAATCATATAAATAAAAATGTTCCAAGTACAGTTGTATTCAGAGTGATCATACGAGATCATACTAGGTATTTACAGATAGGGAACCATACCTTCTTCTATCGTTATAACATTAGTATGAAATATGAAAATTGAAAGAAGGAAAGTTTTGCTTAGTACTTTTACTCTCTTCCCTCGCTTGTCAGGCCTTTTTCGTCATTAAAAAGAAAGTTAATGAAGAAGTATCAAAAAAAGTACAGGTAATGTATTGCGACTATTATTAACTTACTCTTATTTGAGAAAAAAAATCAAGAAAAGTTGATGTGTAGTAGTGAACTGAAAAAAGTGATATAATATCGAAGTTGATGATAAAGATGAATGATAAAATGAGACACATATAAATCTGAAATTAAAATGAAAAATTTAAATGTAATTTTATTTTAATCATATTTCACATATAGTTTACCCGGAATAGAGCAGAAAAAAGATTTTACTTCATATATGCTTCATAATACGGAACACAAAATGAAACAAAACTTATAAATCAGATAATTTTGATAACGAAAAAAAGCAGTCTCGAACCGGTTTTTCCCGCATCCTAATTTGTTTTCATAGCGTTCCCTCTTGATGTATGTGTGTATGTATGTATTTTGGACTTGCATATCTCATTCTACAATATGTGTTTGTTTTCAAGCAATCAATTGGATAGCTTGCATGATGAAAGTAAATATTGGGAAATTCATTCATTCCCGCTTGAGCGATGACAAATGAGAATTGTTGTCCGATAGAATGTTTGTATATCTTTCCTCTTCTGAATGATTCATCAAGCGAAAGTGAAGTAAATTCTTCTTTCCACTGATAATCGTAATGTTGCGATCAAAAAAAAGAAACTAAAATGCTTGAATAACTTGAATTTTTCGAGATTAAGACGAAGGATAATACAAATGTGTAACAGATGACCCCTAAATCTTTTGTGTATGTCAATTCCTAAAAGAATGCGGAATATTCATAGAGCTTTTATAAGTGCGTATGGGAAAAAAGAGCTTATTTGTAGAATATTATAGCAAAGATTATTGCTTTACTTGTGTATTGATTAGTTGGATAGAGAAATAATCTTTGCAACTTATTGTCTAACAAGGATGAATACTTCCATCGTCCGCGCCGGATCCTAATTGAGGCAGGAAGAATCTACGCATTCAACTTAACTGTATAATCATGGAGAACTTAAAATCAAATGTTGAGATTTTCCTGTCCTAAGAATTAAGTAAATTCGACATACACAATGGTCAGTAGTCAGAAGTTATAATGCTGTATAGTGAAATCATATGCCCTATTTCTGTTCAAGCCTCATGCATAACTAATTGGTCTTTTAGGTCACAGCTGAACGATAATTTTTTGTCCGGGCACTCCTCGAAGAATAGGTAACTCAGCTAATTTGAATGCATTTCTTCTGTATGCTAACTGAACATAAGGACAAATCTAACGATCATACCTCGGCAAAGCTCTCTCTCATATTTACTAAGATGCTTGTGCTGAAAAAAATAACCCGATAGGCAACAAGTCGTTCCAGCGATAGCTTATAATTTTTGTAGGTTTCACTTCTTATCCTATGTGCGCATCCTAAAAATAATGACCACACTGTCTAGTTTAGATACAGTGGGCGAGAAAAAAACTGTTTTAAATTTTATTTACAAACGTTAAAAAGATATTAAAATGATATATATAAAACGTGAAACCAGTAGTTGTAAATGAACCGAACAAAAAGTATGAACCATGTTAGTGGAAATATGACGTCATAAGACTGAATATAACACGCAGAACATAACAATAACGGGGTCAATAACAGGACTAAAAGGGAGACCTGCATTTAGAAACATATAAAAATAACTGAAACGAGAGAAAAACATAAAAGTAGAACTGTCTTTTCTGGATTTCAAGGACGCATGTGGAGCAAAAAAAGAAATGAAAGGACGAGGACAAGGTAAGCCATCAGAATCAATAGGTGGCAACTATTACTATCCAATATAAGGATTTCACCCTATCATAGCCCATACTTTTCTTAACACAGCTCCATATACCAGGAAATATCCTGCTTTGTAGTAAACCGTTGTAGTAGTAGAATTTTAAAAACTTATTTTTTGTACTTCGGTAATTACAATGAACTTAAAAAGCTAAAGATTGACATTTGGATTATCAAAAAACATCACTGTTTGATTGTACAACAAAAGTACTGAACATCCAAAACAACTGTGGAGACTGCTTCCGTGAAAAGAGAAAATGAACTTATTACGAGTAAACATAATAATACATAGCTTTCTTCCTATTCTTCCCGTACTACAATTGATACCGGTGTCAATCACATGAGAATTTTAAATATGCAACAAAGAAGTTTGACATCAAGTACAAAATTGCAGAATAACCATTAATTTGGCAATTTTACACAGACAATAGATTTCATAAAAAGTGAGCAAAATGAATTAATTGCGATCATAGTCCGCCTATAAACGCTAAAATGGAGCACATCCATTGCATCCAACACTCGTCCTTTTGAATTATTTTTAGATTCCAAAAAACTTAGCTTATTTTAGCGATTCATATAAGTTCAAATCTGTAAGCGCACCATCGTGCAGTTCCGGAAGATCCTCAGCAATCACCTGAAAAATAATCTAATATGATGTTAATAAAGAAGCGTTTCAAGAAGGCCATTTTTCTTAAGCCCCGATCAAGAGCAATTTTACTTTAATCGATATCATCACATCTATCTTACTCATTTTATAGGTAAAAAATAAACAGCATTGTCAAAAATTATCCATAATACAACTAAAATTTGAAAACACATTTAGAACATGTAATGAAGAATTTTACTAGAGAATTAAAGAGGTTTTCATGACACGAAACTGTTGTATATTATCAATAATTCAAAAATGTTCCGATATCATATATTAGCTTTAGTTCCGTATGCTGATCAACTCTTGTTCAGATGTAAGAGCGAAAGGACATAATTAGAAATTATTTCAAATGATACTTAAATTCTTTTTCTATTAAAATTAAGATGCAGTATCATTAATGAAATACTTACACCTTCCACAGAGTTCACTTTGCTTTGTTTCAAAAGATATTCTCTAATGTTTCCGAACATTGCTGTCGTCTCTTCAACTTGCGCAGAAACTTCTCTTTCATCAATATACGATTCAAGCATCCAAGTAAGATGATCGTTACCGAATATGGGCACCAGATTCCTATGAGGGAAGAGTAGGAAAAATAATATCGCGATTATTCATACATTTAGAGACAAAAATTCATCAAGACTTGTAGAAAGATGTTGTAAGTAGAAGGGAATGCTCAATTGTAAGTAGAAGGGAATACTCAACATCACATAGCAATATATGGGCTACTAATAATCTTAATGCTCCCACGTTTCTGTTAAAAAGCGAAATACAGAAATAAATAGTACATCATCAGGATCATTTTCCATGGATAGCGTATTTTGAGAAAGACTTATAATCAGAATATTAACATAGTGAAAAAATCTTGTTTTCCATAAAACTTGCAAAAAAAACTAACTCTTCCGTGCACCAAACTGATTTTTCCGGCAATCCCTTTGAAAGATGATTATTTTCAGCATAATGCTGCCTGAGCTTCTGTAACGAACCCAGATCACTCCTACCACACACGAAGCATCTTGCATTGTAGTTTTCTTTACGTATGTAATTAATCATTTGCACCCGTTCATAAACATCCAGCTTCTCCTTTTCGATGATTCTGAGAATATCGAAGTAATGAACATTCTGGAAATGACAATAGTATAATCTTAATTTTTTCTTTTGAAATAAAAAATAATGCACCCGTAATATCGCCAATAAAAAGAAGGCCACATGAGTTAAATATGTATATTTTTGACCTTCTCTACTCTTTCAAGAAGCTTTAACAGTAAAATCTTGATTTTTAAAACTATCCAGAAAAAGTCATAAACTAAGAGAAGTGAACTTACTTTTATATGTTCAAGTAATGGAGCAGCATGATCCTCAGTTTCTTCACAAAACAAACATACCACACGAGTCTGCTCCACATCGATATTATCCTCCTGCCATTCCTGCCAGGATTCCCTATTTATAAAAGTATTAATTAATTGTTCTTTATGACATTTCTTTATGACTACATTTTGAAAAACAGTAGGTAACCAATTTTGGGTAATAGCCACTATTTATTTTCCCATATCGATGTACATGATAAGGACAAAAAAAATCAATATGATTTAATGATATCTTCGGGAGATAACAATATCAAGAAATGCCAAGAGTTCTGGAACGGAATTGATAATTCAAAAAGAAATTGAAATGTCCGAATTTAAAAAATCGAAATTCAGCTTTGCTACAAACCATACTGTTCTGCATTTCAGAATATATACACATCAGGAACATTCCAGAAAGAAATATTGAACAATGAAAGAAAAAGGACTTACTCTTCTTCTTCTTCATCAGAATCCACAAATGTTGGCATACTATCTTCGAAGTCTTCTTTCAGTACATCTAACCAACGCTTTCCCAACTCCTAAAAAAGGCTCTCGGGTAATGAGTGCCTAATGGTTTGATATATATATATATATATATACTTGACCTTAAGATCTCAATACTTCGAAAAAATATTCTGGACTGGTATAATATAGCAGGTTATTACCTCAGAAATCCCAAAGAACCACAAAACTTCTAGCACTGTAACACGCAATAGATCTGACACAAAGATTAGTGCTAAACAAAAAAAAAAAAAAAAACAATGAGCAGTCAAGAAATCACTGTGAATTTAATAAAACATACAATACGGAAAGGAATACAACACCTACCAAGTAGTTGATAATATAGAATTTGTCATAGTAATTATTTTTTGGATTCACTTCCTTATGATTTCGTTTGCGCATATGATCCATTAAAGTGTTACGGTCACCAAACCTTTTTTCACAATAAATACATTCATTGCTGCAAATAAAATTGAACGATATAAATAAAACGCAATAAAAATGCAATAAAAAAGTCAGTAACGAACAAAAAAATCAGTCAATATCATAAACAGCAAAATACCTGCTCACAGCAGAATACCCTCATTACTTTTACCGCTCACAGCAAAACACCCCCACTACTTCGCATAAGAAAAAATTTTTTAATTATCAATGCACTATGAATATCAATGTTAATTTTAGAAATGACAACCTGAGAAGCTTCGATTTCAGGCATTCAATATACTCGGTGACAAAGACTGCAATAATATGTAATATTAATAATAAAGACATTACACAATTTAAATCAGACCAGCATTGAAAAAAGCAAGTAATATGAATTTATAATTCCCAGAAATGATTTGTTATATACTTAAAGAAAACGAAAGTACCTAAGTTGTCGGGTGAGCCAAGATTCAAATGATGAATCATATAGAGGTGGTGGATTATTTTCGACCGATTACCACGTGCAGTATATCGACAAAAAATGCACTGCTGTATAAAATTTGTATCTTCTCGTTCGCGTTGCTGACATGCTAACGCCTACAATTCCAAATTTTTGAATAGAAAAACTCAAAAAGTTTTGTTTTTCCACCTCGAATATATTCTGATAGATAATGATCTTCGTTAGATGTCTGTATAAATCATTATATGATTTATATATTTGCTCTACAGTGGATCTCTTATTCTGAAAGTTTTGTAAGAGAACAGTACCAACAGCACTGTTTTACACATCTTTTAAATATATACGCTTAAATAATGTACTTCTTCCAGACGTCTCATAGCAAGTTTCTGGCGTAAAGCATAATCCTCCTGTAGATTTTCGCCCATTTCATAGAAATAATTTGTTTTTCCGTAAAATTGGTCATTTTCAGCAGGAATTTTTTTTGGAAAAATTGTGTCAATACTTTCCTTTGCAAAACGCTGTCTCCAGTATTCCACATATCTCAAAAAATTAAAACAATTGCCGATCAATGTATGGAAATAAAATACACTAAACACTTGACGAGCAGTGAAGTTTATTAACCGAAATGAAAAGCAATCAATGCAGTTCAAAAATTTCGAACTGCAAACTTGGGAAAGTCTGTTCAGATTTTAAAATAAACGATGAACGGTTTACAGCACCAACCTTTTCGGATCAACAATCAAGTCGATTTCGACAATAACAATATGATGTTCATCCAGTAAATGCCTGCAAAATATTTCGTTAACGCCACGTGTGAAATGAAATGCTCTTTCGTTCAATATGGGAAAAAAAACCTCTGAAAATTGCGTGAGAAGAGAAGTGAATATGGGAGTAAAAACTAAAACACTAACTCCGAAAATTGTGCGAGATGTTCCGGAAGATCGAAAAATTGCAAACAGCTCAGACACATTGTTGGACCACCCCATTTTGGACTGCAAAAGTATTTTTTACTAAATTCTGCATGAAAAATGAACCATCATATGCTTATTTTACCATTGTGGCATTATCTCTGAAGCCACACTCCCTAACATCATGCTTGATTTTATGGCTTCTAACATATCATGTTTCGATATCACTCAATCACAGTCAACACTATAAAACACTAAAGATCAAATAAAAATTTGAAGAAACAAGTATAATGCAAATGGGCTCCTGAAATGCGAAGCATCAATAAAACATACCTACCTGTACCCCACTGCTGGAACAGTACCCGAAAGAGTACGTATGCGTCCCTGTGGAATGGTCAGCGTAAGTTTTTTTGGTCCCTTTAAAGTATCGTTATCGTCGGAATCGCTAAACGGTTCTTCCAGATCGACTAAATATGTGGAATAATTTAATCCTAATTATTATAAATCTATGAAACATTCTTGAACAATATTTTTGTAATAAATTTCGCACTCCAAAGCAACGACATACCTTCACCGTCATAAACAAATCCTTCCAATGTCATCGAATTTGTTGATTGTTGTGTATTCCGAGATTTGTCGACAGCTTAAAGATTTTAAATTAAAAACGCACTGTTCATTTCTCACTTCGTGCTTTCGGGATGGCTGATATGAATTCACTGAATAGAAACAATAACTTGAAGTTAAAATAGAAAGGAGATAAAGGACAGAAATGAAAAATAAAATTGAAATAGTTCCTACAAATGTTAACACCTTATTCTACTTTTAACTGAGAGCAATCATTCATTTTTCTCGGTATTTTACTCGGTTTATATTTTTCTACTTCTTTTCATCACAGATTTAATTTGCTTTTTCGATTTTTAATTACAGTTTTTCTAGGTTTCATATTAACAACTGAATTTGCTGCTTTGTTCTGAAGTCCTCAAAATCCAGAGTTATTCGCCATCATATGACGTTTGCTACAAGAAATCAATTAATATCAGTGGATCTCCCATACCTGTTTCAAACCGGGTCTTTTTACCTCGTTGTCATTTTTTCAATTTTCTTCAGCCTTTATCGAATTTTCTATATACGGACATTCTAGATCTTATACAAAGAAACAATATAAGCTGCTAACAGTTATAACGTCGTTTGGCCTGCATCGTTTGATATCGATCATCTTCTTCCTTCGCTAGATTTGTTGATTTTGAACGCGGTTTATTCTCTTTGTTCAAGTTCTTACCACAAGATTCTGCTTTACTTCCTGATGTGTTCCGTCGACTATGCTCTTTCTGCAATATATTTTTACGATAACAAAAAGTTCTAACATTGTATTTAACTCAAAATTAATATTTATATAAATGCATCATTTTATTCATAATTCATTTATATAATTGCTGGGTTTCAGGCCATCGAAACTTCCCCTAAAACTGGGGTTTGCAGCAGTAAAAGAATGAAGCCTAGCGAATGGCCTGAAATCCAACATGGCCTCGATCTATGGTGAAAAGTCATAATATAACAAATCAGACACATTTTTTGTCTTCACTTTCACATCAGCACTGCCAACTGCTTCATCGACAGATTCCTTCGATGCAACGCCGTTTATTAATTTTCCTTTCAAATTGCCAACAGTTTCTTTCTTGATATTTTTCGGAACATTTTCTTTTTCTCTATCTAAATTCCCGTCCTGAACTCTATCACCGCCTCCACCCATTGCTGCAGCCATTTTAACCTCAAAAAATTTGATTTTATTTAGATCACTTCGTATGACTCCTAAGCTTGCACGTCTTGTAAAGAAATATGGAATAATGCAAGCGCAAAAGGGATATTTGAGCTCAGAGGCGATATATCATACAATATTTGCTCTCAAATTGGAAAAAATCACATTTCAGCTTCATGAGAGGGTAAGTAAAGAAAGAGCTTTTGAACAAGACAAACAACGATCAAAGTTTTACCATGAAATGTGCTACTAAAATCAAAAAAGAACGATTTCTAAGAATATTTGATTTTAAAAGAGCTTGTGAAACTTTAGTTTCACTTAAACTTCACTTAAATCACTTTCACTTCAAATCACTTGTGAAAATCGGCGTTTTATAGATTTGTCACAAAAGTTATTCCAAGCGTAATATTGACGTAGAATTGAGCTAAAGACTGGGTAAAGCCGGAGACATCACAGTAATCGATACGATGTGAACTAGGAAAAGGTGAAGCAAAGTGTGAAAACACAGAGATACAAATAATCGGAAATGAAAAAGAAACTAGCAAAAAGCAGAAAATAACACCCTACACAAATAGCATCTAACAGCAATCCCACCGACGATCCTTATTAAGTTTAACACAACATTAGCACAGTACTGCAACGTGTTGAGACAATGCTCAAATAATGCAGCATAACAACTCAACGCATATCCAACCTTCTGGAATCAAGCGTACGTGTACTGCTTGTACATTTAACGTCTCTCTACTTGTTAGCTGGTACCTTCTTTACTTTATTCAACTAATCTGCTCGAATAGCCATTAGAAAAATCAAAAACAAAACATTTGATAACATCCTTGTTTTTCATATAGTTCGCTTTACTCAATTCACACATGTGTGCGGCAAAAAGTTGATTGCGCCTGAGCTGACCGCCCACTCATATGTTAGGATACACAGCTATTCGTATTCTAATACATACACATATTGAAAGAAGTAATGGCGGTTTTTAATGCTGTATGAATGAAAGAAAAGTAATAGGATGTCTATAGTTGGAGGTAGAGTGATCGTATCGGGAGGGATATCCAATGGAGAGGAAGATGATATTGTATCAGGAAAAAATAGCGAGAGGGCATGAGAGAAGGGTGATGAATATCACAGTCACAGGTTGTGATCAGTGTTTCAATCATTAGATATTGGCAGAACTGATAAAGTTTTCAGTTCTTATTCCTTCGTGTTTAATGAAGGTCATTGATCAGCTATTTAATTAACAAATCATTCTGGATGCATTAATAAACCTAAATGATATTTTAAAGGTGAAACTTTGACAATTATGTTTATTTTTTCCGGATGATCTCAATTTTCATGAACAGTGTAATATGAAAGATATTTTATAATTTGAGTCCTAAGCTTGTAAAATTTCCCAGCAAAAATTGAAATATGTATTTTGTTCTTTTCTTTAATTTTTTAGGAAAATTTGGAGAAAAGAAAACTTCTTGACTAAATTCATTACTTGGGTAATTAAATATCCATTGAAATTCACTATTATTGCTAGCCTGAAGGAAAGATATTAAAAGATTATTTAAATAACAAGTAAAGAGTAAGCTCATTAGGAATAGAGACAAAACTAAAATTGAGGCCTAGCTTTACATAATTAATAATATTGAAAGAATTTTAACAGAAATATTTGACAATAAATGACGAAATTAACAATGAATAAAAGGATAGTATCTATAAGTTATTATCTCATCGGATTCATTTCTAAGCAAGTTGCGTTTACTCCCAGTGATTACTCGTCTTTTAACAAGAATCTTTAACAAAATTTTTCATTCTAAACTACGATTTCGAAACAATTTCATTACAAATAAATTTGGAAATTTTAGTACTGCAGTTTAATTTTCCTTTATTACAGCCTAATTTGATGCATATCGTTTGTACTTTACTAATTACAAAATTCAAAGTAAATGCATCTATTTTCATCGATAAAAGATAAATCGCTGCCATTTTGCAGTTTTTTTCTTGAAGAAAATCAGAAATCTGCTAACTTTAGAATTGTTTTTCTTATCGATAAGACTTGCGATCTGTTTATCGTTGCAACAAATTGATCATTTACATAATCGTTTTTTAATTATAAAGTTGATAAGTTGAAATTACTAACTTTTACAGATTTTGGTTTTTAATATTTGGAACTTATATCAGTAATGGGGTAGTAAAAATTACTGTAAATATTGAGAAAATCTTTCATTTTTGTTGAAAATTTTCAACGCATTAATTATGAAATTTTGAAGAGGGCTATAATTTTCCACAAAAATAAACTGGAAGTAAAATAGGTGTTAGGAATCAATTATAGGCGAAAGGACATTCCGGATGCTGTTTATTTATTAAAATAGTTCGTTTTTATGATCATTTTTATTTACAATTACTATAATACTTTCTATAATATAGGAATGTCAGATGTTTTTGTTTTTTCGTTTTAAGTCTAATAGCTGGAAGTCTTAGGTACTTAAGAATATAATTTTTGCTTTTTGCATTTCTCAACTTAAATAATATTTCGATAAACAATTTCACTTTAATATTTGGAATAGCATGATCCCAATGGAATTTCCTCTTTTTCTTTCTCAAAATCTTGCCCACATTCTCAAAATCCATCCATCTGTAAAATGTCAATTGGTTGCATTCATTGTTTCCTCCCAATGTCCACATCATTTTCTAAAATGATCTTTTTTATTTAAGAATAAGAGAAAATCTGCGCGATTCGTTAGAAGCCTGAAATTATATCCTATAAATGATCAGTGTTACATTTAAAGTATTCATTGGATTTCATTGTAAACGTTAGTTATCATTTAGTCGAACTTCAATAGTCTGTATTAAAATAAAAAATCATCAAATTATTAGTCTAGATTCTATCGGGTAGCTAAGGAATAAAATATCACAAACCATTAAATCGTTCTCTCTCTGAATAGGTTGCTCAAGATAGGATCAACTTTTTTTTGAATGATTAAACTTGATAAATTTCTTTGTGAATTTTTAAGTCTTAAAAATTTTTTAAACTTAAATACTTTAACCATAAAAGTATTCTCGAATATACCTGTAACAATAATAATTTGTGTAAATTGCATGTTAAAGTGTACTTATGAGTTAAAATTGGAATACTTGAATATCAAATAATTCAAGACACCTCTTTACTAATCACTATTACATCATCCTTCAGTTTCTGTTGAAAACATGTTCACATGTGTCTTTCAATCATTTTGCTTTTACAATTCTTTTTATCCGTCTTGCTGTCTAAGCATAAATGAAATTTCAAAATATTCCAATCAATTATTCAATCAATGATTTTTGCAAATTTTATCAATTATATGTTTGTATGATACTGTGAGCAGTAATGAAATGAGAAAATAGTAATTTAATTGATATCAATCTGCAACAAATGGCACAACAAGCTGATTTCATGCGGCATAATAAAACATTTGCTTCATCTTTTTGTTTTTATCTATGAAGAACATTAATAATTCTTTTTCACTTTCTTTTATTAATAGTTCTTTGCGTTCAACTTTGAAATGAGCTTCTGTGATGATTAAGGATTATTTTTATTGCAGTATTTTCCTTACACAATTCAAAGGTAATTCTATAAATGTAAATTTCTTCAATAAAAGAGTTGAAGATGGGACAGGATGATTTAGAGTGATTCAGAATTCAATAGTTCTTTCGGAGTGTGCAAAGTTATAAGAACCAAAAGAATTTATGCACCATACTGCTAATGAAAGTTAACCATTTGAAATAGGAAACGTTACTGAATGTCAAATTTTTATTCCAATTATGATAAGACATTCTGAATTATCAAAATGTTATTGATCCACTTTTCGAATCTTACCAAAACAAACCAATTATTACTCAATAAATTTTGAAAAAATTTTATTTCTTTTAAATGATTTCCTTATCCATTTAGTGTTGCACGATATTTCTTGACAACTGCTTGCTTATCCTTCATTTACCCATCAACCACATATTTTGTCATTCTCAATCATCAGAAAATTTATTTGCCTCGAAATTCAATTCAGTGGTTATAGAAAACTAAAGAACACTGTCGTTATATTCTTCACCAAAGTTAAACTTAGAGGATATCGCAAAAAAATAAATGCAAAAAAATCACGAAAGTTTTCGAATCCTTTAAAACAAATGTGCGTTGACCTAAATAATAAGTTATATCTTAAAAGGAAGAATTTATCACTTCAGTAAGAAGAATGGAAAGAACTTTCAGAAGGAAATGATTCATTCCAATGCGATAAAGTCATATGTCGTATAAGAGACAATTTAACCTAAAAATGGATGATACTTATTGATTACTATCATCTAAAGCTAAAATTAATTATTTACAAATATTTACTAAATTGCTGTCAAAGTTACTTTTTCAAGAAATAAATGAAAATATGATTTTTTTTGTTTTCAATAAAATAATTTTTTCTTAAATTATCCATCTTTATTTCTTGCATCATACCTGAATAATGAATTGTAACGAGTATTCCGTAAATTGTCGTCCGGATTGAATTACTTGAACAATGAATAGATATTAGGGAAAAATATCTTCTTTCATATTTCTTTCTGCTTAAAGCATGTTTGTTATACGGTATATGACATTTGACACTTTTCAAAATTCTCTATTGCATATATTTTGTAGAAATTTTAAAACGAATATGCAAAAATGATAATTTCCATTTACAAATAGTTTTTTATTAAAAATTATTATTTTTTTTGGCTATTGATTTATCTATAACGGATGAGAGGGAATTTTAAGAAGTTGCTATCGTCAACCATTGATTATTGTTCCATAGTGTTCAAGCTGAAAATAATCTGCTTCTATTTATTCTCGCCTTTCCTCCAAAAACTTTCACAACTTATCTTCCATTTGCGCTATCAATCATTTTTCCGCCCCTCTCCTTTTTAGGCGCACATTTCATAATATTGTCTGTGTTATGCTTTGCTTAAAGCATTTAAAATTTAAAAGACGAAACTCACTGTATATAAATTAATTTTCGATGAAATCAACAAATATTTGAAGCTTTTCCGGAATCGTTACTGGTTGCTGACTTAATTTTCGGAAACTCATCATTATCTTCATATGTTTATTAAATGAAAAATATGCTAATTAACCACAGCAATCAGTCTCTCCTTCGAACATATCTTGAGAATAATCAAAATTTTCGCACGCTCTTTTTAGCAAACTTCTTATTATCTAAAAGTTGTGAGAATTTATTCGCTTAAATTTCATCAATTTTAATATTAATTATAATTCGAGTTTTACAATTCCCCTTGCAATTCAATGTTTACCTTTTAACATCTATTATTACAGGTAATAATGCAATTGAAATAGATTGTTTACTCTCTGTTAATATTTAAAAAAAAATCAAAGGGAAAAAAGAGTGACATACAAATTATGCGTTAATATTTTTTTATTTGATAAACTTTTTGCAATAAATTAATTATTGGATAGCTTTCGCAAATATTTCTATCATTTAGTTAATTTATATTTTGCATAAAAATCTTCAATTCTCTTTCAATCCTTTAATTTCAGTAGGAATAATATTAAAAAATTCATCAGAAAAGTGAAGAAGAAAGTTAAATTAAATCTCACGACTTTTTATCATATCATATAATATCATATACCCTGTTATGTTTTCTTCGTTCCAAAGATAATCAAAAGTATTCCCAAATTCTACAAATCATTTCTGATAATTATCATAGAATGAAATACTGGAATACATTTAGCAATATTAATTTCTAAATGAGCAATATCGACGGATAACGTTAGTTAAGAAATTTAAAACTTGAATATTAATATAAATCATTTTTTTCAGAATGTGAGGTCATAAGGTTGCGATGAACATTTTACTGAACATAATCATCTACGTGTTATCATTGTTATCATCTACCACTATTGAGATACACACTCAGTGGAATACTACCACAACAACCGTCTACAGAAGCAGTAAATTTTTATTTCCTAAAAAATAATTTAATTTCAAGATGATTTTTTTCACAATATTCAATAAGAAATATTTGATTTCAATTACATTCAAAGAATTAATGTACAAAGAATAGAATATGATTATTTGATGTTTGATAATATGCCGATAATCTTGTTAGAATCGTTGTCTGTTTGCATCATTGAAGGATATTTTAGTATGAATGTATTTGATTACGAAAAATTAAAATTTTGAAATTCATTAAGGAAATGTTTTGAATATAAAAATCATTTTTCTTCTTCAGATCATTTCCTTATTCTTTCAGTGCATTCGAATTTGTTTTCCTTTTTATATGCGCGTTTAACTAGTGTTATTGAATGACTGTCAGGAGAATCAAATTTCTTCAAATTTAAGTGATTTCGCTTTCTGAACTTCTTGATAACATGTAATTTAAAGTGTTTTAGATTCTTGTTTATTTCAATTAGTTTTTTTAAATTAATTCTTACTCATTTCTTGTTGCCATTTTACTTTGAATTAATTTTTCTAATTAGTATATTTTTGTCACATGACAAATGTCATCGAAATTAATGTTGTAAATTATTTTTCAATCACGATATATTGTTGATCAAAATTAGTTAACTGATATATATATATACAGAAAGATCAAAAAAGATTGAACTTGTGAGACAAATAAAATAAATGGAAGTAATATGGTTAGGGATTTGATGGTACTTAAATTGATGAACGAATTAAACTTATAAAGAAAGCCATTTAGGAAATCGGTCTTTTAAGACTCATTCATTCAATCAATAGATTTAATTGTTTAAATCTTACTTATTGAGGAAAGATTTATCTTATTATTTTCTATTTCCTCCTCCTTTCTCTTTCACCAAATTTTAGCAATGTATTCATTAAAATTTTTATACTTCCATTTAATTATTCTTTTTGTTATTCTCATAATAACTAACATTCACTTCGTGTAAAATGCGAATTAATTATCAGATGCATCCAACCAATTTCAATATCATCAAATTAATATGCCTGCTAGACCTGAGCTAATATTATGCATAGTTCGATGTTTTTCAACTTTGTTTTATTTTCAACCTGATCGATCCTCTCTCCCTCTGATACATTTTCTAGCTACTAATAAATGAAATGATAATGATTTGTGATAACATCTGGTGATCTTTTGCACCGTTGTTGCTTTATTTCCTAACAAAGATGTTGATTATTTTATTAAGAATGATTTTGTGTAATGATATGTAACTTAAAAAACTTGAATGGATAATTTATAATTTAATTTAAATTTTACGAATATCACCTGCCAACTTCTGTACATTACTCATTCTCCGCATTTTGATTAATAATGAACTGCGTTTGATAGAATTTCAATTCTTTAAGTTTCTTTTCGAATTAATCTTCCCTCTTTCATATTCTTCTTATCACTTTTCAGTTAAACTGACAATTTTTATTTACATTTGAAGAAAAATCTTCATTTTGAAATATAACTTTACAACAATTCCGTTCAATTTTGCTCGTCGATTAAAAAATATGATACATATACATGTGTAATTGTTGCATGTTGCAAGTGCTAATCTAATCAAGGAATAACTACCATTATCACTACAGCAATCTTCATTGTTAAAATGATCCTATATCATGAATTTATGTAATCTCAAAGTCTTTGTTAATCCATTCATCAATCCAAATTTCAGATACAGCACGTTGTTTCTCCTGTATATCGCAACTTTACGAAGCGGTTTGGCCTGCTCTTTCATCGATTTACAAAAAACCAAAAAATTTCACTGATCTATGTAATGGCAACAATCTTGACCCACAAGTTGTTCCATCCACTTTTTGTCCAACAATTTGCATACGAATGTGGGAGGAACTGGCTATAGCTGGTACCTTTTTTCTAATCAAATTATCGATTATCACATACGACCGAAGTTTAATTATATCAATACATAACACAAAGGAACAATTCCCTGAGATTAGAATGGAATTTCAAAAGAAGATTGCTTCAAAGAAAAGGAAAAGAATCAATTGGAGCAAATATCTCAAAAATCTCTCTCCACAGCCAATCATAAACTAAATTTTTACAATTATGCAAACGACAGAGTAATTTTATTGTAGATGAACAGTTTGTAGGAGTCCGAATAAGAGGTCATATACGTGGATGTCTCAATGAACTTCTTCATAATGGTTTCAATCAAACAATCGTCACGTGGTACAGGTGGATGCACCGCGATTCATGTCGTCAATATAGGTTTTTACTTTTTTCACTGCATATCAAATTATCTTAAATTAATTCAGAATCAGTAAGCTGAATATGTTGTAGAAAGCGTGAGCTATTCAAGTTACCAACAGAATTGAGTGATCATAGCTATATTACGGTATGTACATGCTATGCTGATTACTGTAACGGGAGATCATCCGCAGCAACAACCGAACAAGGGACCTTCCAGTGTCCACTCTTTCTTGTGTTATATTTCTTTATCATTCTGTTTTCTATCCAGAGGATCCTTCTTATTAATTTTTCACTGCCTTAACTGTCAGTGCATCTTTGTATATTGATTCTCATATTATTTGTGATTTTATTGTGAACAGTTTGACATTTACATTTCTGATGAGGACTACTAGCAAATTTATCCCATGACAAAATTATTGCTGTTATAGTTAGAGATCTTATATAATGCACACTCAAGATCACAAATAATGCTGAAATGTAATGATCGTTTTATGCAATATTTTGCAAAATGCCGAAATACTGCTTATCACATACAGGTGCTGAAATGTAGTAATTGTTTTATGCAATATTTTGCAGATTTAAATGACTTCAAATCTGTTCCAAATTTGCAGTCTCCTTCATTATCACTGTGGCCCTTTGCCCAGCAATGGCTGGAGTAACTGATTCGTTAGTTCCCCGCAGAAAAAAATAAAGCAATAGTTTCAGCAGTCATTTGCGCCATATTTCTGCATTCTGCCGACGGATCAGCTTCGGCTAGCTTCGTAGCATATTCTAACCAATCCATTAAGTTGTCTGAAGGAAAAGCAGTCGTTATAAAAAGATAATTTACGTAAGATAAAACTTGATAGATTTTGAAAGCTTTGGGTTTCGTTAGTTTCATTTCAAATAACAGTCTTTTCGATATCCAATATTTGCTTAAAAGAATCAACAAACACTTTAACTGGATAAGTAAGAAGTAGAGGGACAAGTATGGAATATTCGGATATGCAAAAACTCTAACACTAGTAGCGAAGATTATATCATTAGGATCCATAGATTGTATCATGAAGCGAAAATATATTTACCTGAGTAGAACTGCAGTACTACCTCCCTCGATAAGGACACACAAATAGAAGCATAGCAAAAAAGTACAGCTTGTCTCACAGCAAAATTCGTATTATGTCGCAGCGGAATGAGCAAATAAGCCAGAGTACTGCAATGAAGAAAGATGTTTTCATCATGAAAAGTAAAAAATACAGGAAGACACAGTATAGACAACTGATACAAAGACCTTCACATCCAATAAAATGCTACCACACAATCAATTAAGAATCAGTTTGTGAACATAGCATTGTGACCTTTATTTATTAAATTCCATTTTTTTATTCTTTTATTTTTTTTTGTCTTTATGAGTGTTTTTGTTTTGAAATTTATTTGGGTTTCTGATTTATTGAGAGGGTTAGTTTTTTATAGTTGTTGACTGTTTTTCTACAATTTGTTTTTTATTCTGGCAGTTTTTTAATACTTTATGTTTTTTATAAATTGACCATAATTCTTGTTTTATTTTGTTTAGTTGGCTATAGCCGACAAGTTGAAAAAATTAGTCCTTATTATTTGGCCATTTATATTTTGTTTTTTTGGAATGCCTAATTTGTTTTTGTATACCATGTTTTTTGATGGTAAATTTTGTTCATTAGATTTGTTTGTTTCTTATGAATTTTTTTTTATTAAGTTCATGTTTTAAGTTTCCTGTTTATTTTATTCATATATGATTACTAATGCCCACGTAGAGTCATCAACTATAAGTAGTATAATTTTGACTGGAATTATAGTAAAGTTAGGAGGATGTGTTTATGGATTATAAAATCGTTAAGGTTTTAGTGTGAAGTACTCTAATGTTGATTTTGCTGCTTTATTTTTAAAATACGTATTAGAAAAGAGATTAAATTCGGATTAGGTATAACATAGTTTGTTCTGCGAAAAAACTGATCTATATTAACTTTAAAGTCAGCGACTCGCTAACATACATATGGGAAGATGGCAGAGTCACTAAATGAGGAAAAACTTCTAGTTTTGTTTAGTATTGTTGAAAACCCGAAATTTGGGAGATTCTGAAAGCGCTTAGAAAAACAGTATATTTCTTTAAGAAAATAATGTACGCTTTTCTAGTTAACCTATTTTACTGCTTATCACGTACAGATATTTTTAAACAACCGTTTAAAGGTCACCTTATACAGACAAGAACAAGCACCAATTTTATTCAAAAAAGAGATTTTAGAAGATTTTTGAATGTGAAAGATAAGTTAAGAAGGATAATAATCCTCGCTACAAAGAACTTGGAATTTAAGTCATTCTGAGTATGATTTGATTGTTGCAACTCGAATTTTAAAATAATAATTTTGTAACTGAAATTAAAATAGAAATTTTTCATCCAATTAACATACCTAGTCATTTTGACTGTACATGGAGAAGTACCAGAACATCTGACCAAATGACCCATACAGACCAAAATCCTACTTAATAATTCCGAATCTCTTCCCTGGAATAAGAAATATAATCTCCATTTTGAAAAATTTTTTTCATATTCTGACCTTTAGTGACATCAATTTACTCACAACTATATTGAATTGCTCGAAAACAAGTAAATAAGAACCGCAAAGCAAGTTTCGCAGAACAATAAAAGACTAACAATGAGATCAAGATGTTCACGATGTTGATCAATTGCAGTCAAAGGATAGAAGAATGAATTTGCGATTGGTGTAAATCTGTTTTCCTTTAGCACCATAAGTTGTCCTTTCATGAAACGTCTTGTTTTGGAGACCAGTTCTATATCGTTCAAAACTTTGCCACCTGAGTAATCGCAAGGTGGATAAATTCATATTTGGCGATCTCTATGGAAAATTTTGCCAAAAATTCTCAAATTGCATAACTAAAAACTACCAGATATCTGCAGCAAAATCGCTCAAAATTTACAGAGAAGAGTTTAGTTTAGCTAAAGAACATGCCCTCTAACATTACCATCGTTCTCTTGGATTCTAGTATCAAGATTTTGAGCAACTTGTGTTGGAGATGAATATTCTAATGCCGCGTCAGACAGAGCCTTTAAAATAATATATCTGTTTATCATCGAACATCTGAAAATCAAATGACAGGAACAGATAAATAAAGAGACATATACACTCTTTGCAAATTTAGAACAAAAAATTTCAAAAACAATGTTTCTAGAATTTTTTCATTATATACATCAAACAGAATTTAATCATAAAGCAATCAAATTTACACAAACCTTCTCGAAAACATAATATCAATAGCAACGTTACCCAGGTGTGGACTTGTCACCAAACAGGATTCAATAAGCTGTAGTCGTTTCTCCTGCAGATAATGACATATGAATTTACAAAATATAAACTGACAGCATGCAGAACAAACAGTTCTTTTCAAAAACCTTCTCATTTATAACAAAAAATCCAACTCAAAAATTCATCATCTTTAGAATAATAAGAAAATCTTTAGAATAAAAAGAAAGAATGATTTTTAGGGTTCCCGACGATAATCACAATGTCAATACTGTAGCAGAATGACGCAAAACTGATTATTTTGGCAAGGTATAAATACATAATGTACTAATTAATATAAATACCTGAAAACGTTCAGTTTTAAAGTGATCACTAAGATCGACAAGCCGGCAAAGTAGTTCTTCTGCTGACTGCTCATAACCAACGGCTCGTCGTCTGAAATTAACCAAAATAAAATTTGTATCATGGATATTTAATATGCCAACCAAATTAAATTAAAAAATGAGGTTGGGAAATTGAGTTTTTTTTATGATTTGGATAGCATGGTAAGAAAATAGATCGAAATAGTATTATGCTGATGCTGCTTCGACCTACTTCCTGAATCCCCACTATTTCATTTCACTTTTTTGCTGGGGTGACTAAAAAATGGCTTAAAAATCACCAGATATGCTTGCTGAAAAACAAAATCAAGAAAATCAAAGACTAAACATGTCACCTAATCAATGGTTTCAAAGCCTTGAATGCAGCCTCGAACTTGGCATAATCGTGCTGCTCATTAAGTCCCTCAATACAATCCCTAATATAGTATGGGATCTCTACATTGCGATAGTCTTCGTCATTTTCATCCTGAAAAATAAAAATACAGAATGAGAAAGAAAAGTGGAGACAATTCTATAACTTAGATTGCCTAGACAAGCAGTTTTTTTAAAAAAGCCCACAGAAAAAAACATAATGTTTTCATAACGGTCTTATAATTTGTAATTAAGAGAACTCTCTGTATACATTAACAACGCAAAACCTTTTTCAAATTCAATTCTTCTTCAGGGATTTCATACTCAGGGAAGTCATCATCATCACTGTCTACTTTGTCTGCATCATTTCCCATATCCTGTACTTCCAGCTGTATCACTTTCTTCTCTTCACTGTCGCTTTTAACCGCCTTCACATCAACATCGTACTCGTTGTCCACAATTTTCCTCAAGTCTACCATGGTCTCACTTTCTTCAGCAGGGAATTCAAATTTCAGCTTACCCAATGAAAGCCAGTCCGTAAGAACTTCTAAAGAAATAATAATTTCAAAAACGTAATATCAATTTTTTTTGCACTATTCCGCATATTTTTATTTGCAGTTATAAAATCTATTTCTCTCATTCTGTTGGCATTTAAATGTCCTTCGAATGCAAAATGGCAAAAATATGTCGACCTGCTACATACATTCCTCTCAGTCTACGTCGAACGTCTGAACACTTGAGACGGATGTCTACACCACCAGCCATTTTGGTAACAACTTCGGATGAAATAGAACGACGGATTTGCTCGCTGAAAAATTCCAGCCTTATATTCATATGATGTTGAAGTTCCAACGGTCTTACAAAAACAATAACTTCATTTTTTTTTAAGTATGTTATGCTACACATCGCAACAAGATGTGCAATGATTCTATATTGGAAGAATCAAAGTATCAAGGCGAAGCAAACACATGTCCATTCGAAAGCTGTAATAAAAAATTCAAATCTTCAGCATTTTGGAAGGTTGCTTAAGAAAACATGAAAAATCGGAAATTTAAGACAAACATTTACTTTGAGTATGTTTCAAGTAACTGTATTTCACAAACTCATCACTATTCCTTACAACTCATCACCTGATAACTTCAGCAAAATAAAAGTTACTTTGCGTATTTAACAAAGTTGAGAAGTACAACATCAATATAATCCAGCTGTTCATCGGAAGAATGGTTGACGTGGATACTACTGGCCCAGATATTCAGAGCTGTACAGATTGTATCCCGATGCAGTGTACTCCATGGCCCGTCACCTATTATAAAAAATCCATATAAAGTGTGGGTATGAATTTCATCCTGTCAAAGAAAACTGAATAATTTATTAAAATAATTCCATATCAAAATATGAAAAACAACACATATAACATTTTCTAATAAATTAAAGCTGATTAAACAGATTAAATACAAAAAAATACAGCGGAAAAAAACTGTTACCAGAAGATTCATTGTTGCTTAAATGCAAGCAAATAGCTAATTTTTCAGGAACTCGTTCTGTCGAAGGGAATATTTTAACAAAAAGCGTTTTTTCAAAGAAAATCCGTCTTACTATCCGATTTTCGTATATTTCATTACCAAACAATTTCTGCAACATATAATCTACCGCATAATTTCACCAAGAGAGGAAGTATTAATAAAACGCTCGGAAATAATGGATGAGGGTGAAAGATTTAAGCCGCTTTACCTCAGTTAAGCACTAGTACTCTTAATTCTCAAAAAAATATTAGTCTTAATTTTTAATCAATTAGGCTCCAAAAAATATTTAATGCATGATTATGTAGCTTCATTTCAAAAGCATTCTGATCTCTATCTAAAGTTAAATATTACTACTTTGTTTATATTTTTGCAAAAGATATCCATGTATTCCTAATAGTAGGGTAGCAAAACACACCTGGAGCATTTCGCCATCTTTTGCTGCAAGTAAAACAAATATAAGCAGGCTTTCTGAATGGGCTATACCGTTTGAAGTATTCGTAAGCAGTTTCACGCTAAGATGGCTCCAAATCATATTATCCGCTTGAGATCCCAACCAAGTTACCAGCGTACGAAATGTCTAAAAATAAAAATTAGGTGAAAATGTTGAATGAGGAATCGCAAACCATATTCGCAAGTTACCAATCTGCCTCAAAAAAAATTTTTGTTTTTTCTAATCAAAAAAGATTTTAGTTTTGGCACAAAATCTGAATAAAATAATAACTAACAACTATATCTCCACGGCTCAGCTCGTAAGTAACGCCTGCGAGAAATTCCATGCTTACATTTTTCGCATTTCGATATTTCTTCGCTGCATTCATGAGAGCAGCTTTAAGTGAATTCAATAGATATATCCAGTGATTGTTTAAATATGCTTTCACAAGTGCGTCATTCACCTTAAAGCAACGTTCTTCGCAGCTACCACAAAAAAATCTGATTATTTCAAAGAATTGAAGTTTCAACACATCGATTTATATCCCTTATAAGTGAATAAAATAAAAATGAGGAATTGAAACTAACCAAACTTGAAAGATGAGAATTTCCGAATACATTGTGCACCAAACATGTAGTCTGACCTAAAAGTCTGCACAATTCCCCCTGTTTAGCATTCCAGTTCACTAAATTGCAAGAGCTATGTAATATTTGCGCACAACATTACATCAAGCAGGGATGGTTAGCACTATGCTTGACATTATTCTTTTAAAAAAAAGAGCTAAAATACCTATCAAGAAAAGTACTAAGTATGAAATATGCGTGATACATGGACTACTTTAAACTCTATTTGTGAAAATTCTGAAAGCTACTAAACGTTTAGATAGAACTTTCTGAAAATGGATACAGTACTAAACTTAAGAAGAAAACTGTTTGTTATATTAAAAAAGTAGTAAATGAATAGCTGTTGACCATCATTCGGGTCCTTCTCAATACTGTCCACGAGCAACGATTCTAGACATGTTTTCTCCAGATCATTCAGTAAAATTATTATATGCTGTAAGCGAAACATCTGAGAGCTATCACAGGAATGTAAAGCACTGATCAAAACCAGGAAAGCATCGTCTATTGCAGTTGAACGGAATAGCGCTGTGAACAGCTCCTTGAATTCATTCGTTGTCAAAAGGCCTAGAATTTCGGCGGAATGTTCTTTTTAGTATAAATTCTAAGAACTCATCAGCAAAAAACGAAGGAATGATCGGCGATAGTTATTTGATACACAATTCTGATCAAGCTACCATTTTAGTGAAATCTATTAAAGAATATAACTGATCAAAATCGGAACAACTTTCCTTTTGTTTGTTACCGTCCCTATTTAATAACCCCATTTCCTCCTCACACGCTCAGTATTCTTTCACAGCTTTGCAGCTTTCAGCTTTTACAGCTTCTCACAGCTTAACAGTTTCTCATTTTCTACTTTACTACACTCTGTTAATATTCACTATTTCCGAATCTATTTGTCTGTTTTTTCAGCATCTTATCAAAAATAACAAAATAAAAGAAACATTTACCAATTATGGAAGGATGAAAAATGTCAACCAACTGAGTGAGTATGCAATTTTTTGAAAACGGTGACTTTTTCGACGATGACACATACTGAAATTACATACATACATGGTGATTGGAAAATGGGAAAAATTCATGAGTTTCGGTCTCGACTTTAGGGATAGCAAAAAACTTTAAGAGCCAATGTGGCCCACAGAATTACAACTTAAGGTAAAGTTACCGATTTTAAACCCAACGCTTAAGTAACTTATAGTTATTTCTATGTTCGAGATGTAAGAAAAAATGGAAAGCATTTACCTGCAAAGCATCTTGAAGAGCAGCAAGCAATTCGCACCTATTCCTAGCACTGCTCAAAGCATGCAATACTTCGTTACACATCTTAAATCACACCTTTTGCACATTTAAACAACCAAATTAAATTCCAGTATGATATCATGCTGCTCGATTCTTTCATCTTTAACTTCTTTACTCTGTTTCGTTGTTAATTCATCCGCGTAACGTGTCTCCTAACTCAATCTCTAATTATTGATAGCCACTCACCAGCTTACTTTCCATACAGCATGGCAGCAAGCCGTGAAGTACTACTCGGCCTGTTGCTCAACTCTATTTGGGTTGCTTATGAATAGATGAAAAAGAAGGTGGGGGAGTTGAGCGGGATGTGAATTTGTCCTGGAATCAGATTGATGTGTATGGATAAATTAGTACTTAACACGAAATCCTTAAAGTTCTTTAGATCTTTTAATATCTAGGAATTAGAATTAATTGTGGTAATCACGTGAAAAGTTTAACAAGTTCATTAAATCCGATATTAACGTGTCATTCATTTGTGATTAGTGTAATGGCCTCTCACTTGGAAACAAACCTTGGATTATTACAAGAATTGGTACGCATTTTTTTCAAGTTTCTTTTTTATTGTATGACATAGGGCTGAATTTCATTGCTTTCTTTTCCACTTCAAATGGGAAATGCATTTCGTTAAATCGTGCATGAAAGCATAACGAATATTTGTGCTGATCCAGTTTCTGTGGCGATATTTTACTGTTAGGAACTTTTAAGTGAAAATGTCAAAAGCACAAATATGTTTGTGTGTATGCAATTGTAGTATTGTCTTTTTTTCTGTAATTGCAGTTCTATTTTTGGTTGTAAAGGATAACAACATGTCAAACTGTAGAACCGTATGTCACGTTTGAAGAAGAGTGTCATTGTTGTTGTCAATAAGAATATATAATGATACGCTGTCTCAAAGGATATCTAAATTAACATTCATGTTAATTAGTAAATGTAAGAGATGGTTGAAGGTATAGGTATTCACTCTATGAATTCGCTTGACATGGTAAAATTTTTTAGAATGATTTTAGATAAACAAAGATCCAGAATCATACAAGGAAGAATTCTTGGGAGAATACAATTTCTATATCAAAACAATACAATTATTGAAATTGCAACCGAATTTAAATCATGCGGATCTGCAATCACTGCAGGAACTGATTAATTTCTTAGCGTGTACCAGTAGCCACTATCCAAGTTAGTTTAGGAGATTTATTTATTTGAACTAAGGAATTTTTTGTGGTTTGCTGTGATATATATTTCTGTTCTCTGTATTTGAAAAAGTTCTGTAGGAGTGTTGATATATTGTAAACTTTTGTGTTGCGAATTTGGCGGTAGAAGTTCTATTTTGCAGAAGAGGGCAAAGAATATGCGGCTAGTATTATGCAGATTCTGGGTAGTCGAATGACTGGACTTGACCCGGAGGTAATTTTCTGAACTTTTTAAAAACTTCAAAAAAGATTTTCCTTTTTTTTGAAAGTGGAAATGATATCATATACTACTAGAACTTGTTGAGTTCTCACCTTACTATCAAAATTACTCTTCAAACAAACTTTATAGTATTTGAATAAAATCTTAATTATAAAGTTCGACTTCAGATTCGTATAGCATTTTGTAAAGCTCTTATTACACTACGAAATCGTAGAATCATCGATCCGTTGGTTGTTATCGATTTGTTTTTTACGCTTGTTCCTTGTGAGGACAAAAATTTGAGGTTAATTTTTAATTCTTGTACTTGAATTGCATGAATTCTACACGTGAATGTTCCCATTTTGGGAATTGGAAATTGGATCAAAAGTGCTAAATTTATCTTCGTATCAGCTAATGTAAGAACGGAGAAGAAAATAACCGAGTTATTTGAACTTCAGAAAGTTCATCTGCGGATCCATAAAAGCCTTAATAAAAAAACTTACGCTACAATATCGGGATCAGAAGACGCTATGCAAAGTTCGAACTTTTTTGTTCACGAAATTGAAGGACTCTCGATCTGTTGTGGTGCGCACAGCTGCATTGGTAGAGTTTCGATTATTTCCCAATTTTTATTCACATTTAGAACTTCCGTTTTGTTCATGTTTTAATTATTTAGTTTCCAATATCTTTCAGATACTTATCGACGGATTTCGGAAAGGTTTTTTGAAAGATGCTAAAACAGCAAATGCTTTAGCAGAATGTTGTCTCCACAAAGTTGCACGCATTCAGGTTTGTTACAATCCCATCTTATAGCAGAAACACAGAACTTAATTAGTTAAATAGGAGGTAACCGGAATAGAATACTTTCTGAGCTGTATTGTAATCCTCTGCTAAAGGATTACATATCTCATCCTGAATTTTGGATTAATACTACAGCCGTCGGATTGTATAAGTAAACACTCTTGGTGACAGAAACAAATAGTTGTTCTGTTGAAAGAAATGAGACATGATTACTTTACTACTTAAACTGCTGCGCTGCCTTAAAATTCATCAAGTTTGAGCAGTGCATTTCTTCCGTTTACAGATTGCAGCAATGAGGTTTTTCCTTGGTTCGTTGGAAGATGACGATTCCGACGGCGATGAAAGTGGAAATGAAGAGGAAGATCAGAAAACTTTAAAAGAGGTGCGCCCTTTACCGAAAAACTTGAAGATTTATTGGGTCTTCAAAAGCTTGAGTATTAGATGTTGGTATTTTGTTTGAAGAAATTTAAACATGGGAAGTATTTTTTAGATTACCGTTGCATACAAAGCTGCAAAAAAGACTCACAAAAAGAAGGAAAAATTCATGAAAGCAAAAAAACTATTGAGCAATAATAGAAAATCCAAAAAAGAGAATGCCGGAAAACTCTGCAATCTAGTAGCAGTTCGCTATCTTTACGATCCTCAAACATTTGCTGAGCGATTGTTTGGCTTATTGGAGAATAGGAAGAACGAGAAATTCGAAACACGTCTTCTGTGCATGGCGCTATGTGCCCGAATGATTGGTATTCACAAATTGCAGGCATTATCATTTTATTCTTACATGCATCGCTTTCTCCAACCAAAACAAAGAGAAGTTCGTTCTTTATCACTAAACTTTTTTATGAATGATGTTTTTGAAGGCATCAAAATTAAAAGATAATCTCATTTGTTCCGTTCTTCTAAATGCTAATGTTAGATGGAAACTCCAGTTACAGTACTGCAGAACACTTTAAACATGTTTTTCAGGTTACCAGAATATTGCTTTATGTAGCACAGGCTTGTCATGAGCTAGTGCCGCCAGACATTGTTGAACAGTTGGTGTATGTTATTGCCCAAAACTTTGTTTCTGACCGAAATACACCGGAAGCAGTGACAGTTGGATTAAATACTATACGTGAAATATTCGCAAACTGTCCATTTGCTGCAACGGAGGATCTGCTTAGAGATTTGACTGATGTATGTATTGACTTTCCTTTTGTTTTTTGTCTTTTTGAAACTTCTCTCCGTTCATTGAAATAAACAATTTAAGAATAATTATCAGCATTGAAATAGAAAGACACCGGAGATTTTTGTATTTAAGTATGATTGAAAATGGTAGTTTTCATTTCTTCATTATGCCGCAAAAATGATGCAACTAGAGGGCAAATGAGTAAGAAAATTATTTTTGAATTGCAAAAGAAACATCATAGCTCAAGAAGTGCAAACCACTGTTTTATAGATAAAATTAATATTGCTTTACCTCTTTATCTTTGTGTATTAGCGATTTTTCAGTATAAGCGTTTTAAAAACAAGAATGTATCCATGGCGGCACGAGCTATCATCACTTTATTTCGCGCTATCAATCCAAAGCTCTTACATAGGAAGGATCGGGGAAAGTTGGTGAACTTGTATATTTTTAGTTTTTTTTATCGTGATAAACTTTATGATGTCTTGAAATATTTTTAGACCGACACAAAAATTGAAAGGTTTGAAAGTAGCTGAATTCGGTGTTGAACGTCCAAAAGAGTTTGTAGAAGGAGCAGAGTGCTTATCAATGGAAGTTAATGCATCTGATGCTGACCTCGTATGTTTCTTCATTATCTCCTAGGAGGGGTAAAATGTTGCATCTTTTGCTTTTTTTTTGGATGAAATTTTTCTTGGCTCTAAATACTTTAAAGAAAATTTAAAGGTTTTAATTCAGTATGGATTCTTCGTAAACCACCTTTTTATATTTTCTGATATGTCATATCAGTTCTGTGACGACTTCTTAGTGCAGTGGGGTCACGCTCAAGATAATTTACAGTTATTTGTCGTAATGTTACGATTTTATAATAATGTCATTCAAAACGTAATATCATTCTTACCAGATGCAAAATAATGAAAGCGGTGAAACTGATTCTGACATTGAATTTGTTGAAAAAGACTCAAACTCAGATGGAGATATGAATTCATGCAGTAGTGACGTAGCTGCAACTAATATTTGCGCAAACAATGAAAATTCTTCGAATAAAGACACTTGTGGAACGGTAACTTATTTTTGATTTTTGTGTGCATCTATTGACGACTCGATTTTGGAACAGATATCGCATTTTTTGTGACTTTCATGTAGTTGAGTAGGACCAGCCGAAAGTGAAAGTAGGGAAGAAAATGGAAATTCCCCTTAAATCACTGCTTTATCTTTTATTTCTCATTGTCCAAGATTCTGGTTAAGACCTTTTCTCGAATTAGCTAATCTCATGTTTGATTATTATATTAGAGATTAACCAAGTTATTATTATAGAATGATCAGAAAGCCACATCTTCTGAAACAAAAGAAAAAGCAAGGCAAGTGTGTGAAGCTCGAATTTTAACTCAAGACGATTTCCGCAAGATTCATGCTTTTCGTTTGAAACAACAAATGGGATGTAGTGAGAAGCGTAGGAACGATGATGTGAAATTAGAAGAAGAAGTGGAAGAAATCATTGCTAGGCAATTTTTTATTATTCATTTAGGTGATTTTTGAGAATAGAATGCTAAGAATTTTTATGTCTAATGAAAATCTTTATTATTTCTAAATATGAGAGGAGAGGAAAAGAGTAGAATTCAATATTTAAATTTGCTTTTGGTTGGATGAGTTTATTAAGGAAATACATTATGCAGGCAAAATGAAGAAAATGGTTTGACACGGCTTAAAGACATTGAAAAATTCCACAAAAAATTGAGAAAGGAAACAAAAGAAGAACGAATGGAGACGGTAAGGAAAGGTCGAGAGGGACGTCAACAATTTGGAAAGCCCAAAAAGACGGTAATAATTTAATAATTCGTAGTTGAATTTAACTGTGAACAAGATTAATAGCTAAAAAATTTTGCTAAGGATTTCAAAAATTATTGCATGAATTTTAGGGAGCACATGTTGGACGAACAAACAGAGAATTGATGAAGCGGAAGAATTTCCAAATGGTGCGGCATAAACTGAGGGGGAAGAATCGTCAGAGGAGTTTTAAAGAACGTCAAGAAAGCTTGCGGAAATATCTTTTGCGTCAGGCAGGTCGGAAGGTCTGAATGAATATTTTATTTTAATGAATGTGCCATGTTGTAATTTGTTAAAATAAACGTAAAATATGTCGTATTCGTAAACTACATTATATTAGTTGAAAATACAACTTACATGTGTACCTTCGCTCATAAAAGTTTTCACATTTGATGTGATGGTCCGACTATCTTCCGTCTCTTATACAGGTACATTTTCCTTACTGCTTGATAAAATTTTATGTTTACTTCTGCTTGTCGTTTTATGAAGTCCTTCTCAATCTTTGTGGAAAATGAGAGACTAGAACTTTTTTTAACAGATGGACTGGAATTTCAAAGAAAATCATCATAATTGAAAAATATACCTGAGGCCAAAGGTTGTTTATGAGTATCCTACTTTGCCGTCTTAGATTATTTATTACATATTCTTGTTATAGATTATACTTCTTCAAAAGGCTCTTTAAAGTATTCTGGATTTGAATCATGAGGTACTGCTATAAGGAATAATTTCCTTGAATATCTTTCACCAACTTTGCGAAGTTTCAGGGCCAATATAATGAGCAAATATAAATTTAGGGTAGATAAAGTAAGTGTGAAGTACCTTCGCTAACTAATCAAAATTATTTTTGAATGCCTTATCAAATGAAAAAGTGATGAAATGCACAAATGAACAAAGAGATGAAGAAAATAAATTAAGAATGCTTGAAATAAAGCAATAAAAAGCAAAGCAAATCATATTTTGACTCTATTACTCCAAAAAGAATAAATGAAAAGAAAATTGTATATGGTCAAAGCAGACAGTTTAGTAATTGGTAGTATTGGGCATAACAAGGTGCTATAATTTCTTTATTCAAATCTATTAACAAACGGATAATATTATGATTTCTATTAAGTTGGAAAGATATCATTGCTGTTGTTTGGTTCCTTGCTTTATAAGATCTTTATTTCATTTTTATATTCTCTTAATTCCTTCTTCTTTTACTTTTTTTCATTTTGTGTTTCAAGTAGATCTAACATTCTTATTATATTTGGAGAAAATTGATGTTACCAAAAAATCTTTTGAAAAAAAGTTATACCTATTTTCTCAGGAAAGTTCTTTACTGATTCTAGTAACCATAAAAAAATATTTACATTGGAAAATGAAATTTGTCGAAAGGTTGAAAGTCTTGGTTATTAGCTTTAATATTTTGTGATAAGTTTCATGGACATAATACAAATAGTGAATTGATAATAATGACAAAATTATTTGACTGCATTTGATCAATCATTATTGTGATTTCAAATTTTGTGAATTCCATTTTGCTTTACGCTTTCAGGATATGAAGTGATTCAATATCACTTTTATTAAAATTATGGAAAAGTAAAATATGTTGTATGTATGTATCCCATTTTAGAAGTAAATATGGAATGGAATGGTTTCTTCGACAAAAGAGATAATTATTTCCTCAAAACAATCTTAGATGTTATTGATGACAAAGTTTCTTGCTATTCCGATTAAATCTACAATTAATTGTGCTAAATTAATAACTTTCAATTCTGAGGAATTTCTAGAAATAATTCTATCTCATATAGTAGTTAATCGTAGTAATTTCAGTGCGGATCAACTCTTCTGCTTTAAAAGAATTTACTCTTCTTCCTCAATAAAATTATATTGTTTGATCCTTTGCTTTTTCCTATCACGTTTTTATCAGCACAGAACAGATGAGATGATATGAACGAACACAGGGAGATATGCTTTATATAGCACGGAAGATAAATTTATTTATGCTTATCAGTATTTCTGGATTATACATGTTTTAATAGTTAATAATTATTTATAAGGAGTAGCACAGGTTGCAAATCATTTGTCAAATAATCGATGGCTTTTTACAGGTTTGATAAGTAGTTTTCTCTATATTTTTTGTTGCATATAGTAAGCGATTAGTGCAATCGATGTGATATTCGTTAACATTTGATTTTGCTGCTCAAAAAGAATTTTAAAATTATTATTACATTAATGTAGGGCAATGAAGGGAAATTTGCTGAAAATTCCACATATAATTTAATACATAATTGTCCTATAATATCTAGAAAGAAAAAATTCTTCATCGATCAATCAAGCTGTCATTGAAAATATTCAATAAGTGATCGTGCTATCAGAAAACTGAAATAATTTTATAAAATAAATATGTTTAAATTATCAAGGTTTTTTATGTTGCAGAAATCTATACCATAAAAATTATTTTGTTTAGAATATTCTCAACTGAATGATTTTTCGTTTATTTAGCTTTCTTTATTCACTTAGTTCTTAATTTTTGTGTCCAAAAGGATTATTAATATAGTGCTTATCAAGCACTATCTGTAGGTCTTTTCATAAGCTTCTATCTCAATTAATGATCAGTAGCCTCAATGAATACTACTATCAGTATTCAACAATCAACTACAACCAATCATATTCAATATAACGACTTTAATCATGATTTCCTATAAAATCTAAAAAGAAAAAATTTTCTACCGATCAATCGAGCTTTCATTGTAAATATTCATTGTAAAAAACTGCATCATAATTTCTAAAAGAAAAAAATACGTGCATAATATCTGGATGATGCATTTTGGACATTACCAAGATATCCTTCAATAATTTTGCTATCGTAGAATATCGTTAAGATTCTTGATAAATATCATTTCTTTTCTTTTTATGCACTAAATATTCTATCTAATGTTGCGCGCAAATATTTTCGACACATATCCAGTGATGAATGGGTAATGGTAGTGGCGGATGAATAAATTGAATGTAATAATTATGACAGTTACAAAGTAATGTAAAAGGGAAGTGACAAAGATGAAGATAAAGGATGAATTTGGATTAATGAAATGTGGTCGTATAGTGAACGAAGTAGCGCTACATTACCGTTACTTACTTTATTTCATATTCTACCGATCAAACAGTTAAAGTTATATTTCTTCGATCACTGATCCTTTTATACAATTTTTTTATTCGGATATGACAGTAACTATAGCGTCGAAATGAAGGCGCAGGATTGACTGTTTCATAGAGCGCCAGTCATTTCTCGAGCTTGCTAAGTTTTCAAAGTGTAGCTGATGAGGTGTTTATTGACGTGGAAGGAAGATAACTGGATATGGGTGGTGGTTTTGAGGGTCATGAGTTGGTTAAGGTTGATTTGTTATGGATGGTGGTTTTAACACTAATTAATTAAGCCTACTCAATGTTCATAAAATAGTAGAAGTGGTAGATTTAATGAGATTACTGTTCAATGTTGCGAGAAAGGAGAGAGAAATGGCCTATCTTATATGATATAATTATAATGGATTTGAAGCGGATGTTTCATCTCATCGTTGTGGATTATTAATTACGTTTTGACCAAAATTTATTCAGAAATGGGGCAACAGCAGTCTGGTTTTGGTGGGAAACGCGAAGACCGAGGAGGCGGTGACGCGGATAAGGTTGATTTTTTTTCTACTGTTTCTGTCTGCTATACATTAAAAAAATTAACAGTTTTAGTTTTAGTGAGACATGCTTTGTGGATGTATTATTCAATCAAAATTTGACGTTTAATGTTTTTAAAGGAAAAGAAACGAAAATATGAAGCACCAATTCCAACACGAATAGGAAAACGCAAGAAGAAGGGGAAGGGCCCGGATGCTGCTATTAAACTACCGACAGGTAAATTCTTCACTGACTGTTATACCAAAACTAACTTCAGTTATATTGAATAACTGGTAATGCCTAGTGTAAGACAACTCGTTTAAGTGTTATTCCATTTCAAGTAACGCCTCATACACGCTGTCGTTTGAAGTTGTTGAAATATGAACGAATCAAGGACTATCTATTGATGGAGCAAGAATTTATTCGAAATCAGGAGCGCCTGAAACCACAGGAAGAGAGACAAGAGGTAGTCCTATTTCTTGATAATTCTTATCGATGATCGGAAGGAAATAACTGTTTTTAATGCTTCTTATTAACTGGGAGGAAAAAATATTTTAGGAAGAGCGTAGTAAGGTGAATGATCTGCGTGGAACTCCAATGGCTGTTGGAAATTTGGAAGAAATCATCGATGATCAGCATGCAATCGTTTCCACGGTACGTCTCCATACTTATCATGACTGCTGTTAGTTGTATTGTTATAATTTCTGCATGCTCTAATCATATTTCAGAATGTGGGAAGCGAGCATTACGTGAATATTCTTTCATTTGTTGACAAGGAACAATTGGAACCTGGCTGTGCCGTGTTGTTGAATCATAAAACTCATGCTGTGATAGGAGTTTTGGCTGACGACACTGATCCGATGGTTTCTGTAATGAAATTGGAGAAAGCTCCACAGGTAAGGAGAATACTCTTAACAGAAGTTATCTTTTAAGAGTATTTTTCTATCAATTAAAATGTAAATTATTTGGCGAAGAAACCACTGAGGTCCTGCTTTGTTTTGCAATAGACGGACAAAACTCTTCTTTAGAACTCTATCTATACTTGAAATTTTTTGCTGCAGGAAACATATGCAGATGTTGGAGGATTGGACCAGCAAATACAGGAGATTAAAGAGTCTGTGGAATTACCTTTAACTCATCCAGAATATTATGAGGAAATGGGCATTAAGCCACCTAAAGGTTTGCAAATTTGAGGGGCTTAAATCGGCTTGAAAGGGCAGGCTTAAATTTCCCACTGTTTTTTTTTTTGATGGGGATCTAGAACAGATTGCGTTTTCTTTATGATTTTTGACGGCTGCCAGATAGTTTACTATCTTTTTTATTAAATGATTGTTTTGCTACAAATGAGTTCTGAAGTTGATGGAGCTGTTTTGTAACAAGTATTGAAAATCTACTAAAAGTTCACATTCAGTGTTGCCTAACATTCATGATGCTGATTATGATGCTTCCTCAGTAAATTTCGAACATTTATTTTTTTGTTATATCCAGGTAATTAAATACTTTGTCCCTTTAGGTGTTATCCTCTATGGATCTCCTGGTACAGGTAAAACTTTGCTAGCCAAAGCAGTTGCTAATCAAACATCTGCTACATTTTTGCGTGTTGTTGGTTCGGAACTTATCCAAAAGTATCTGGGTGATGGGCCCAAAATGGTGCGCGAACTTTTTCGAGTTGCTGAAGAGCATGCGCCTGTGAGGATTATTTTTCATCTCGTGTTACTATTTTTGGCTCTGATTTCATTATTTTGATTTCCCCTGCTCCATCATTTGATAGTCAATATCCCTCTTACTTTTAGTTTGGAGTTATAGTTGTAGAAATGAAGCGAATGCTTCTTTCAGTCAATAGTATTTATTGATGAAATTGATGCTGTTGGTACGAAAAGATACGATTCTAATTCCGGAGGCGAACGTGAAATCCAGCGCACTATGCTTGAATTGCTCAATCAGCTGGATGGTTTTGATTCGCGTGGCGATGTGAAAGTGATTTTTTAATCATAAAGACTGATTTAAAACTGCCTAAAATTTAAGCTATTATTCTACGTCTTTCGCTATAGTCAATATTTCTGCTTATTCCGAAATTATTGTTTAAAGAGAGATATTTATAAAAGAAGTTACTCTGCTGTTCCAGGTACTCATGGCGACAAATCGTATTGATTCACTAGATCCTGCTTTGATCAGGCCAGGTCGTATCGACCGTAAAATCGAATTTCCATTACCGGATGAAAAGACTAAGCGTCGCATTTTTCAAATCCATACGTCACGAATGACATTGGCTAATGATGTTGATCTTGATGAATTCATTGCAGCGAAGGATGAACTTAGTGGGGCTGATATTAAGGTTGCCCTTTCAATCTTATTTTATGGATTAAATACAATCATGAATAAAAAATTTCCTAAAAGTATTTTGAAACCGGCCTGCAAGTCTCCTATTTTTTTCTATGAGTTGCTTTAGAGAATTTAAAAAATGTGCTTCATTTTTGAGCTGGATTCCACAAACGCGGTAAAATTCAAACCATTGATTTTGGTATTCATTCTTTAAAGTAAAAATAAAAACTGAAAAACTGAAAAATAAGTTTTTTTTTTGACTTTGCACTAGTTTAAGTTAAAACTGGAATTTATAGGGATTGAGTATCCAATAGAAATTTCAGGCGATGTGTACAGAGGCAGGTTTACTTGCGCTGCGTGAACGTCGCATGAGAGTAACAATGGATGATTTCAAGAAATCAAAAGAAAACGTACTTTATCGCAAGAATGAGGGAGCTCCGGAAGCTTTGTATTTATAAGAAGCATGATCTTATGTTTGAAATTGATTATAGAAAGTGGTGTTTTTGATACATTTATCGATAAGTTGTCATAAGTACATCGTAATGCTCATTGTTCACTAGATTAGATTTGCATTTAAAGTTGGATATGCAGACTTAAAATGTCTTTAACCATGCATTTCCGATTTCGAATGTAATACTGGAATTGACGACTATTAATAAGTTAAAAAATCTGTTACTATTCATTGCTTTATGATTTTTTATTTGGGGCAAATGGGTTTTTAATGAAGAAGTAATTAAATTCAGTGCATTTTGATGAAATGCAGCAGTTATTTTTATTTAATTAGTTTTGATGGTATATGGGAGAAATTATTGAAGGAAATCCTTATTTACAGTGAAGATGATGATGATGATGATAATGTTGCTGTTATGCTATTATAAATAAGCTAATCGAAGATTTGCTTTATTTGGCAAGGTTGAACTTGCATTTGGTAAGATGATTACCTGATACAAGTACGGCTCTTCGGAGAATGTAAGAAATGGCAGCAAAACAAGGATCTGATTTGTCAAAACAAAGCATGCACGAATGTATCTGATAGAGAATTAAATCGAAATCATCCAGATGCAAGAAAATGTATATTCATCATACAGCCAGGGTCATGCATTAATTCATCGATTTATTCTGTTTTCATAATTTCTAGTTCCATAACTTTTAATTTCAGTAATTCTTAATGAATATTTTGCTGAATTGGTTTTAACAAGCTTTTTACTCCTAATTTACTAAGATATCAAAATTAGTATCGATGAGGCTAAGGTGTGAAAGAAATGCAAATTTTTAGCAGTTTTATGGGTACATGTCTCCTTGATCTCCTTGATCTGTATGGATAGTTGTAGCTCTATTCAAAATTTGCAATTTTTAATTTTTTAATTATTACTCCGTTTTTACCAACGGTAAATCCTACTTTCCAGAAGCTTAGTGTATGTAAAGTGGAAGATTTGGGTGGGCGGGGAACAAGTAGAAGTAGAAGTTTCCTTCGGGAAGTGATATTCACTGATATTACTTTCCTATTAAACTGCTTAGCAAACCATTGATACCTACACCGATAGCACTGTAATAATTTACTATTCTTCTGAAAATTGATTGTTAAATGATGTAGCGAGAGAGAGTAAATCTCAAATGATAGGATTTTTCAACGTTAGATAAAATTATTACCCAATAGAATTTTCATTGGCATTGCTCAGATTCCTCTCATTCATCCTATAGATGATAATCATAATTATAATTGAGAGAGAAACAACCGAAAAATGCTAACTGATCAAAAAAAACCATCAGTCCAAGCAGCTTATCATAAATCAATTCCATATTATATTTTCACATGTGATAATTTGTAAAAGAGTTTGAATGCATTGAAGATATTCAAATAAAACTAAGTTAATTTAAATTTATCAAAAGTTTTAAGGAGTAAAGATATCTGCCCAAAATATAGTATGGAATCTATAAAATTGAGGATAAAATCCGTAGAAGTGAGAAGGATAAATAGGAAAGAATGAATCGGCGATATCTTCATCAATAGTATAGTATTAGAGAGAAGGGAACAGGAATGAGGATTCACTTTTATTACGATTTAATATTATTATTATTATGTCGAAAATATATTATATATAAATATATTAAATCAAAAATTTGTAAGAGAAAAATTTTGAAAAGATTTTTTGAGACAAGTAAAATAATGCAAATTCATTTTTTTAAATTAATATTTTTGCAAATTCGTTTTTTCTTTTTAATTTCTACATTAGCAGATTTTTGCATTTCTCAGCCTTTTCATTTAGTAATTTCAATTAGTTTTTAACACAATTAAATTATTTCTGAAACATTTCACCTCACAAAATATATCCTAAAATTTAAATAAACAAGATAATTATGAAAAAAATAAGAATTTCAAAAGCAAGCAGCTCAAAAAACAATAAGTTACATATTTCAGTGAAAGTAGTTTTTGCTTTTCATTTACCTTGAAATAGGTTTGCAATCAAAAAGATAGGTAAATGCATGATGTGATTAAAATGCATTATCTGATTTCAAGTACAAAAAAAAAACTAATAATTACAACCAAAAGACTATTAAAAGTAATTACTGTTAAAGTTTTTAATGATAAATGAAAGTTGCAGGGTTAATAAATCAAAAGTAAATTTACGATAAATCGAAACGAAACTTTATCGCCTTGTTGAAATTTTTGATCTATGAGCATTTAATGAGGTCAGTTATAATTATTCTGTAAACATTAAGTATTTTGCAAATTATCACATTTTCATGCTTACATTTAGTATTGCTCAAAACTTTTGACAAATTACATTGCTCAAAACTTTTGACAAATTACATACAGCAAAAATTGTACAGTTTAATAAAAAAAATTAATATTATTAGTGATGATGATGATGATGATGATGATGAATGGTGATGATGATGATGATGAATGATGATGATGATGATGATGATGAATGATGATGATGAATGATGATGATAAATGGTGATGATGATGATGACGATGATGATAAATGGTGATGAATGATGATGATAATGATGATGATGATGACACTATAGAAAGCAACAATTTTTATTTGCCCTTTTATTCTTATCAAAATTAAAATGTTATCGCTTATGCTTCTCCAACAATTATTTCCAAGTTTTTCACTTTCCTAAAAGTAATAAGTATGTTTCGGAATATGTTTTATTTTAGAATATACTTCGGAATATGTTTCAGAATATATTGTATAATTTATAAAGCATAACGTTTAAGAAAAAAATGTTTTTATTCTTTTAGCTATTATCCAAGCATTCCAGCAATACCACCGATCGCAGCACTAGCACCTGCATCTTTTAGCGCTTTATATGCGCCACTCTCTAACAAATTTCTAAAGCTAAAATTATATGATTAAAAATTATCAAAAACATAATTATATTGCTATAGTTGAACAATTATAATTATCGCTAATATCTCCGAGGTCAACAAGTGTTTTACTCATTACAATTAATAATACTTTAATACTTTTAGAAAGGTAAGTTAACAATAAATATGATGCTAGCATTAAACCTCTATAGTTCAATAATAATAATATTATTGAATGTAAAGTTTAATTAAAAATGTCCTACTCAGTCTTTTGATATCTTAAGGTATATTCAGAAACATATATATTAAACCTACTTTTAAATATTTTTTTATTTAGGCACAGCTCATAAGTTTTGTCAAGTTATCAATGGTAAAACTGACTGTGGCATATAGTGATAGGCGGGATAGATATAATTTCGAAAAACCCGCAAAATGCCATCAATGTTTGAAAGATATGGTTGATACCCATAGCCATATCCATTCCCATAGCCATATCCATTTCCGTAGCCATATCCATTCCTGTCGCCATATCCATTCCTGTTGCCATATTCATTTCCTTGGCCATATCCATTCCCATAGCCATATTCATTCCCATAGCCATATCCATTCCCATAGCCATACCCATAACCACCATTTGCGCCATTATGTGGATAAATCCAACCGTAATTCATCCCAAAACTCAGTGCCGGAATAAGAAGAAATGTGCCCAATAGCAACATTTTTACTGGGCTTTAAAGAAATGCTACAAATAAATAATCAAAAATGAATTTTAGCGAGAAATTCTTTAAAGCTTCAATAAGTATGCTTTTTTATTATCTTAGTGATAAGTTCTATTTATCATCTCTATTTTTAATATCATTTATATTTTTTGATTATAAAAAAATGGCATGAATTTAAAGAATTATAAATTTTTCAAGAAAATGTTAAAAGACGTAATTTAAATTAGAGCGAATACTATCAATTATTGACATCACTACTCTTAACTATAATTGTTTTATATGCAGGAAGGATTGCTCAAGGTCAGAGCTCTTCTAACTTTTCCTAATTAATGAAAAACGGGAAAATAAAAACTATTTAGTTTTACAAATATTGCAAACATTAAAACTTTCAGGAATTATTCAAAAGAATTATTGATTTATTATTCTGTTTCAGATTATAAGCGAAGGTTCTTTATTTGCTGTAAATTTTTGTCTTAAGTCTACTTTTAAATAATCTTTGCACAATTAATTAAATTAGCATATTACTTTTTTTCTTGAAAATTTTTTATATTTCCAGTATAAACATTTATGATTGATAATTTAAAGATCTTATGATAACAAAGTGATAAATTTTTTTCATAATTTCCTTCTTCGTTTTATTAACGTCTGGAGCAGTTAGAAGAGAAAAAGATAGGGATGAGAGGATACGAATGAAAGGAGTAGAAAATGTTGGATTTTTCATTAAATGACCTTGGTCCATTCCTCTCCTGTACAATCCAGTTTTTGTATTTCAAATTCAATTGTAAATTTATATAAAATAGTTAGTTTGAGAAAAAAAAACGATCAATTGTCGATTAGCTTTTCCAGCCACTACTATTCAATTCTCTTCGTTTCATTTTAACAATGTGGTCCACTTCAATGTCCTTCCACTTGGCTATTACTGTCGTCATATCGGTGATCACAATCTTTTCAAGTTCTGCTGTATATGCAATAGGTGAAGGACCAAACGGATTTGGATGTTGCATGTTAGTTGGTTTTCGAATTTTTGTTTAGTAATACAACTTCATTTACTTTTCGTTATTTTTTCTCTTTCTTTTTTTGCAGTAAAAAACCTGAAAAGTTATCTTAAAAATTTAAGAAAGGTTATTTTTCTGAAGACTTTTTTTGAAAATAATTCCAACACATTTAGTATAGCAGAAGTTATCGTTGAAATTTGCAAATGATTTTTATTCGGAATTCCCTCGATGGGATAAGCTTCTTTTGCACTCCATTTCACATATGAGGAATTTTAAAAAAGTGTCTTTTTTCTTTTTGAAAATAGTTTTAAATATTTTGCGATTAAATAAAAAGAAAAAGACTATGTATTGGCCAGAGATAATTAGTGATGAGAATTTTTTAGTAATATTTTACAATTTAGGACGCCATGTGCGCCTCAAATAGGACCCTGTGATTGCCATTGTGGACTCCCAATGGCACCGCAATTTCCGCCTATGCCACCGCATTTACCATCCATATTACCTACAGCACCCGCGTTTCCACAATTTCCAGCATATCCTAGTGGTGGTGGTAACGGTGGTGGTTATGCAATACCTGTACGACAACAGGTTTTTGAAAATGGTTACATGCAACAACCATCCTCATACAAAACATCACCAGGCATTTCATACCAACAACACCTAACAGTGAGCTTTTTATTTTCAAACATTTTTCATTTGTAAAATTTTTCTTCACTCAAAAAGGCGAAATGTTAATGTAATTTGTGAAAAGCAAGAAAAAGAAAAATTCATTGCCTATCAACAGATAATAATTACTTCGAATGAAACAAAAAAAGAAGTTAATTGCCATTCAATCTACAAAAGTGATAATGTACCTATGTCTATAGCCTAGAGAATAATTTAGGCCATAAGAACCTAGGCCATGTTATAGATACTAACAACTTTTTCTATTGGTATTTTATCCCAAAAATGATATGACACATTGAGAATGAAATAATATATACTGATATAATATAATGAAACTTTTTTAGTACAGCTATTTCTTCACAAGAGAAAATGATACTAGAAATAATAAATTTTGTAGTAAAATTAATTGCGCCAATAATACTAAAATATTAGTAGAAGTCAAAAAAGCATTTTTATTGAATTTATTTATGGAATAGCTTTTTAGTTGTGGAATAATTTGCATATTATATGAAATAGTTAACTCAACTGACCTTAATTAGTTGACTCAAATGACCTCAATGAGTTGGCTCAAATGACCTTAATGAAATTTACTGTAATACAATCGCATTTAATATTTTTCACTCTGTATCTGAATTAAAAATATTTAATTAATTTCTATAAGTATTATTAATAGAAACATTATTGGAATGCAAAATTAGTTTCTGAATTTAATTTTACTTTATTTGAAATAATAATTAAATACAATATAATAAAACTGATATCATTTTCATCTTTAAATTTTTCGTAAGTGCAATTTTTTACAGTATCAAAATGGAGGATCATATGGTTACAATATGAAGCAATTTGAACCAACTGGTGGTGCCTTTGGCGGTTATGCAACCAATCCATATGGTGCTGAAAATGGTAATTTCGGTGATTCTACTTATAGCTATCCACAGAATATGCAAAATGAGAATAGATTTGGAGATGTATCACAACAAGCTTCTGGTTCGGGACAACATACGTCTTCTGGAACCGAATATAATTCATCACCAGCAACAACTGATACCAAGTCATTTTTGAAATTGCACAGAAGTCAGTTGGCATAGGTGCCAGGATTAGATTCATAATCTAAATTTCACGATGCTTAAAATATTAATTCAAAAAAAGTTGATCTCTTTGCTAAATTTTATTTCATCCCATAAATGGATCAACGATCTAATGTAATTTAATTTGCTTAACGCGAAATTTTAAATTGTAAGCTTGTAGTTTATAAATTTGCAATTTATTGATTCATATCAAAAAATTTTGAAATATATGCTAAACTTTTGTTGCACTGATAAATTTTGATGTAATGCTATTCTTTTCTTGTTGGCTTTTTTGTTTATTGTTATTAACGATAATTACCTCATTTATTGTTTGTTTAGAATACCTCATGCAGTTTTATTTGTAACCTTTAACACACCTCAGATTTATTCCTTCTTTGTAATCATATAATTTAATTAATAATTACATCGTTTTAATTCAAATTCACACGTACATCAGCAATGATATATTTATCACTTTATGCTAAGAGTAATTAAATACAGCAAAATCTTCTGATAGTGAGTGATGCAATCGCATGTCAAATATGAAATCGCAATTTTTGAATAATTTTTTTTTAACCTCGTTATATCAATTTTACAACAAACTTCGGAAACACTAATGTTAGCATGAGAAATTGAGATGAAAAAAATCTAAATCTCTTAAAATAATGTGCTTGCAAGAAGTTTCTGTCGCGTAGAAAATTAATTGTTTTATTTTTTTGAACTATATCGACAGATGGGTAGTGACAGGCGGAGCCATTTTCATTACAAAAATTGGGTGACAATTAATCTGGCACAGTTAGCATTTTATTATACGTCTCAACAATTGAAATTTAAGCGAATGCATCACAACCTTGGACATTGTAAGAAACAAAGATTAGTTTCTTTTTTTGTAATGTAAAATCATATCATTTGCACAAAGATGCCGCTCAATTAATAATGACTTATGGTCATCATTGATAGAAAATCTATGATACATACTAAATCATTTGTGTCGGTTATTGAACTCATTTTAAAAAAGTAGTAAAAGTTTATTGTCAGTTAATTTCTCCAATGTTACTGTCAATTCAATCATTTCTATTTAATTTCTATAAGTGATAAATTGCGAAAGTGTCCATATAAACAATGAAATTAATTACAATGAATGATATAAGGAAATTTTGTAAAAATGCATTTTGTCAAATAGTTTTAGCTATTAAGGAAGAAAACGGATGATGTTTGATTTAAGCAAATATATCAATCTGATAGTAATAAGTAGATCGGAGTCAGATAATATTGTTAGGCTATTCAGAATTGCTAAAATATTTGATAAGGGATAAAATTGATCTCCGATCTCTTTTAATTTATCGTTGCGAAATTGCTGTTAAATCAAGCGGATAGTATTCTTTATTTTTTTTTTTAAATTTATAATAGGTAAAAGCTACCTTTCAAATATTCTGATACTAGTAGTCAGTATAATCTGGAAAAAAAATAAAATACAGATATATTATCAAAGTTTATTCTATTATTGGGGTTTTGTGTAAGAAATGTTTATGTAACATTTCCTATTTAAAATGATCATTTTGTTATAAGCTTTCAAGTCTCAATACATGTCGCATAATTAATGAATTGAGAAAAGTTGCAAATGCAAATTGATGAAATTAATTAGCTAATCGTTTGGCATATCAAAATAAAAAGAAAAAGAATTCTAAAATAATATCTGATCTGATCATGCCAGAATTTACTTTACTGATTTTGGAATTAAAATACATCGAAACATATTATGGAGATCATCAATGTTTTTTGTCCATTTAAAAAAGCGAAGTAGCCGAATAGAATCTAAAGTAGGAATAAAAACAATTCTCTCGATGGTAGAAATTATTTTCGATTTCATTCGGCTGGTATGAATTGAAATTATTCTAATGCGGGATCATTGTTATTGATATTTTTCGTACAATGAGAAATAATCATCATCGTTATTTGCGTATCTTTTTACCATGTGGTCATTTTTCGATAATTATATATAATAAAATTTGGTATTAAATTATCTTCCACTGATAATTATTAATATATTGGCGGATTTTTTGATGCATCGATTATTGCTTATGAAATTTTTCTAATTGATTTTATGATAATTAAAAAGTATTGTGAAGTTTTATCGTTAAAAGTGAAAAGTTGAAATATTTGTGATGGCAATATATTATTGTATATGATATTTCTGAAGAAGAAATTATTTGTGTTTTTACCCTAAATGATTGTAGTGATTCAACAATGATGAAAATGAGCAAATAAGAGGAAAGAATGATGCAAAAAGTGTCCTTCAAACCAAATATGAAACTGAGAAAAAATCATTTTTTTTCCGTCGTTTTGGAATTTCCAACAATTCACCGATATGATTTACGAAACTTTCGATTGATTCGTTGTAGTTTAATGAATTAACAAACCTGTTTGATATCTTTCTGATTATTTTTATTATTTCTTTTTAAAATGTGTAAACTCATTATTTCATTGGTAACAGAGAAATGAATGAGTTCATTTAAATTTCAGAAGGAATTGCGGCGCTTTCAACGGAAAAAGAAAAAAAGATAAGTGAAAGTAAAATTATTAATATATTATTTTAAAGAAATTATTATTCGAAATATTTTTTTGGTTTACTCTAATTGCTATAATTATAATAAATAGTTTTAAATTATTTATCCAAAAGAGATATTGATCTCTTTCATTTTTCATTTTTAACTTCCAATATATCATTTTGCTTTGTAGCAAAATTTGATAAAATTGAAGATAGAGAAAAGATTGTAAGACATCAGATAAATTCACATGTAATAAGGATCGACAATTAAACTTACATTTAAAGCATTGTATCAATTCATCTTCTATTGTCATGATGATCATTTAAAGCGCAAATTCAACTCAAATAAGCTCAAAGCAATTTTTGCATTTGTTACAGTTACATTGATTCAACCATGTATGTTATCATTCTCTTACTATTACTAATTTCATGAACTGTATTAGTACTGATATTGTAATATTAATATGTGATGCAAATAATGTAAATGATATTTGAGCGTGACGTGATAATGGTCAATGATGGATATATGAACTTAACATTAAGATAATTTTCTTCCTGCTTATCAATAATCTGATAGCTTACTGCCATTTCAAGAACAAATATTCGCTTAAAATTTAATTACATAAATAAAAACACTATAAAATGGTATGCTGGGATTATTATTATTTCATCTTTAAAAGGATAAATAAAATTTATTTGCGAAGCAAAATTTTGAATATTTGAAGAAAAAGAAATAATTTGAAGAAAGATGAGAAATACTCGCAGTGATAAATTATCTAAAATTTTAATTTTTCTTCAAAAGATACATTTTTAGGAGATGGAATATTGAAAGTGAAAATCGGAATTGGTAATGGATTGCTTACCGTAATATAACCGGTTTATATGTCCTGAATTTGTAGCTAATCCTTTCGTTGAATATTTGTTGAAATTTTGCATAAAATCGCATTATAATTTACTAATAAATTTGATTAATAACTGAAAAGAAAAGGAAAAGGCAGCAAATAATTAACTGATAAATACATTTAAAAGTATTAATTAAAATATTAAAAACAATGAAATTTTGGATTACTATAACAAATATCTTTCATTTCTTTGCAATTTCTGTTTTCTTAAAACTTTCCTTAAATTTAATTTTTGATATAAAAAGGAAGAAATGAGAAATTATTAAAAAAGAATATGAAAAGTATTTGGGTAAAGTTTGCATAAAAAGCAAATTAAACTAAATAATTTGCGAACTTGCAAACACTTCAAATATTTTGCAAATATTTTCACTTTCTTTCTGCTTTTTTGTTTTGCATTTCAACATGTAAATATTACAGAAATTTTATTTATTATTGTTTTAAAAGTAATTAATTAGTATTGAATAATATAAAATGCTTGAAATGAAAATTATATTTCAATAATATTATTCCTTTTTATTTAATATTTCTATTTCCCAAAGAAAATAGAATGGAAAGTTTTCTGAATGAATGAATTTTGACAAATAATTACTTTAAATTTTGTGTCGTCAACTTCACGCATTCATTTTTAAGGAAAAATTTTTTCATTTTCATTTAACTCACATAAAATAAATCAAAAATAGAAAAAGGATTGATTGAAATATTAACAATTTTTTCATTTGTCTAAAATAAATTATTCTAATTTAAATAAAACAATTAAAAGCTTAATTAATTCAATGGGAAAAATTTGAAATAATTTTTGAACAATTTGTTGAAAATTTTTGAAAAAAAGAAACAAATGAATGAAGCATAATAAAAATGAAGAAATTCTTTCTTTTTGTTGTTTAAAATGTTATAGCAATTTAAAATAGATTTGAAATGTTTGTCAACATTTGTTTATTCAAAAGGAAAAGTAGCAAAAAAATTAATTGTGAAAATGCTTCTGATATTGCTGTTGTTTTGATCTATTTCATTCACTAGCATTCTGAAAAAGGAATCTTACACAGAAATTTCCTTTAATCGTTAATCTTCTAGCAATATAGCAATATGACTAACAAAGAACATTTCATCATTTTTACGGATTAATAAAAATTTATTTATCTTTCAAAAAATGATGAATTTAGCTATTAATAAATGAGAACGAATGTGATTACGTTTTCAAAACTAGCAATAATAAATTGACATTGACAGGAAAAATTAATTGTTGACCTTTCAAATGCTTTTTATAAACAATATTGGTTTCACTTATCCAACTTTATACAGTTCTTTCTTTCTTTCTTTAACTTTTTTTAAATCATTGAAAATATTTGAAGAGTTCCATTTGTTCTCTCTATTTCTGAATTCTTTCGGCCAAAAAAAGATTAATCAATTGCTTCAAACCTATAGATTTCTTAATTACCTTAATTATAATTAAATTGTTTTTTTTTTAAAAAGGAAACTTTTAAAATTTCATTCTTTTTTTAAACAAAAAAGTTGATACAATTAATTTATTTTATAACATATATAACAAATTTTTCAATTGTATCACCGTTGTTGAAAAAGTGAATCAAATGAAAAATTGATAGTTATCGAAAATGAACAAAAAACTGTCAGCAAACAATATTTTTTGTTTCAGCTTTCGATTAGTATGCAAATTCATAGTTCTATTATAAATTGTTACTTATTTCGTGTAATTTGAGAATATAACCTTTGATATTTTCGTCTTTATAATTCGATGCTGAACTTTTCATAACAATTTGTTACATTTTTTAAGCATAATGAAATTATTGTGTTTTTGCTGCTGAATGATCAAAAACAAAATGTTGCAAATGTTAACATGAAATTTAGAGGTGATAACACTCTTATCACTTAATTTCTAAATTTAGCATATTAAATGTTACGTCATCACTGTTTCATTTATTAAAATCATGTTAGAGAAGAGTGTGATAGTTGTTTACTTCTGTTAAAACCTCTTTAAACTGTTGAATTCTTATTAATTTTTCTTTTATACTAACTCTTTTATATAACAAATCATTTAAAATTCCATCACGCAATCCACACAAACAATACTTGCATGCTGTGTTTGCAAGATGCATGCATGAATTTGAATTGTGAATTAGACTATAATAATTATCTTTATTTATCAAAATAATGGAGTAAAATTTGCTTAATTAATTAAAGCATCTAAGTTTAGTTGGATGTAATAATCATTCTACAGCACTACAATAAGTTAAAATATTTAACTGTTATCAGAGTATCAAATCATTTCGATGTATGTGAACAATACGATTTTATAAATGGGAAAATAACAAATGGAATTTATCATTTTCACAATTAAAGTAAGGTTTCTGAAAGAAACGAAAGGACTTCTCCTATGCTTTATAAATCATTCAAACATTATTAAATTTTGGAAAATATTAGGATCATTGTTGTTCAATAAACTTCTAATTTTTACAATCATTTTCTTACACCTCTTCTTGCAGGTTGCAAAATCCCTCGAATTTGACCATAAAAATCATAAACACCGGTTAGTAGTTGTAATATTTGTTGTGCTGGTGCTGCCGGTGCTGCTGGTGCTGCTGGTGCTGCTGGTGCTGGTGGTGGTGCTGGTGGTGGTGGTGGTAATAATGGTGGTGGTGGTAATAATGGTGGTGGTGGTGGAAATGGTACGGGATAAACAACAGGATAATAATGAGGAGGATAAGCTGGATGACTTGGACGACGAGTAGTGGTTGTAGTTGGAGGAGGTGCAGGAGGTGGGCAGCATACACAAGGACAGAAGTATTGAAGCGTAGTTCTAAAAAAAAGTATTGAGGTCGTAATCCTAAAAAAAACTGCTATATACAGCCATTAAAATTGAGACTTCAATACAATCCGGAAAATTTGCCTCTATATCAAGCTTATAATTGATATTACATTTATGCATAATTCGGAAGTAGTATGTTTGAGATTTAGACACATACATATATATTCAACTTTAGACTAATATTTTGGAAATTCTAAAATAATACACTTACACGCAACAGAAGCAGCTATTAGTTGGTAGTACCATATATGAAAATAGGACCAAGCAAAAATATACCAAATGCATGACTTTGAAATTCAACACTATTCACTGTTCTTTCCTTCCACCAAATTCACAATAAATTCTCATCAATGAATTCGTTTTGTTGAAACTTTTATAGCACTTTAATAAAGTGTAAAAAAATTTGAGAAACAGGAAACAATGAATGTAATTGAAAAAAGTGAAGGTAACAGATATGGTATTTCTCAACAATGAATGATATTAGACATAAATTCTATCATTTCAATTTTATTTTTAAAGTAATTTTTTCTTTAAGTTCTTCATATAAATAATGAAATAACTGATTGAACATTGCACATATAACTACTGTGGAAGGGTCATTGTTCTTTCTTTTTTTACATAAAAATCTTATCTTTAATTTTTTGCATTAAATTATTAATTAATTATAAGTTGAAGGATGTCTAATATTACAGAAAAAAATGAAGTTGATACGGTTGAAAATATTTACTATTAAAAAATATTCATAAATGTTAAAACGATCCTTACTTTGTTATCAGCTTTTTTTTATCAAGTGATCACTAATTAACCTAATTAACATCACTTTCGCCTACAAATGAACTGAAATTTTTCAAAGTTTTATCACTGTTTTAATACTAGATTAATAGAAGAATGTATTAGTTTAAAGAAAATTACCATGAAATTCATAACAGTCTTTAATCTTTAAGTTTTATTTAAATTAAAGATACTCTTCCAATTAGCTTTTTTTATTTGAGAAATATCTGTAAGAAATAATAAGTTATATTGGATATAACTAAAACTAATTTTCATGTTTTTAGTAAAAACTTTTTCATCATCGGCTTTTCTTATTCCATCTATTCATTCATTATGCTTTTTTTGACTTTTCTTTTTTAGTCTTACTTCATATAAAGCTTTATAAAGACAATTTGATAATTTGCATAATTTTATTGAAAATAAAATTAATATATTCCGGTTATAACGTCATATTATTATTAATAATATATGATAGGTGTCGTGCAAGATATGGCACCTGATCCTATTATCAATAAACGAAACTATATGGTAATTATTCGTGATAGAAATGTGTAAATTGCATCATACACTTAGATTTAGACTACGTAGTGTAAATTTTGGTGTACGCTTAGATTACGTAACGCAAATTTATTCTGATTTAATTACATCAACTTAAATTCAAAGAATTCAGGAATATAAAATGGAAGTTTATAGAAATAAGTTAACTTTTGTTCTCTGTAAACTGCAATTGAAGAAAATTGCTTGATCTCTTATATATAGATTTTGATTTCCAATGCTCACTCTATTTATTTTGTAATTCACAATTAGGCAATGATCTAATTATAGAATATAGCGATAGCATTATCAGCAATTCAAGAGAGATTTAACTGATGTCAAAGTATCTTCGATGTTGTAACAATTTTTCCAGAATGATGAAATATTCTTACTGATTGGGTGTAGAGTACCATTCAATTTACACTATGAAACAGGCAGAGATACTGATATTTCTAACTCACCCTTCTTGTCCAAATTTGGATTCAATGAGAGGGAAAAGATATTCGTCAGGATTATCCATTCATCGTCTGATAGTGCATATAAATTTATTGTGATTAAATTTACTTCGTGAAAATTCAGACGCAGATACACCCGATGAAAACTTCCAGGAATCCACCGAGGGGGTTGCAAAATTCCCATTCTTGACCTTTAGATATCATTATCCTGTTCCGGCTCTTTTTCGCTACTCGAGCGCAAACCAGCTGCGCGCACATATTCAAGACGATGAAGATGATGGTGTTTTCATTTTTCATCATTTCCCTCAATTTAGAGGTCATCGCTGCGGATATTGTGGTTGCATTATAGCTTGCGTGATAACATATGATGTTATCATGATTATACTGGGTTATCACTATTACCATCTCCATATTGATCCGACTAATAGATTCATTGTTTGTTTTAAAATAAAAGGAATACGGGAAACAAAGTTAGATAGGAGACTATAGTGACGTATTTTATATCGATAATGCACATTTGTTGTAATTAGCCTTTTTTGACTTTCGCTTGAATTCAAATAAGAAATTCGTGTAAACACCAACAGAAAATGGTAGCAGTATTTTGATAGCATTTTGATTTTTACTTCAAACTAAATGAACTCATTTTAGTTTGCTTAATACAGAAAGAACTTATCTGTATGAAAGAATGACCATGAAATAAAGGAAAGGAAATAAAATGAAGTCTGGCGTGGTCCTCTTCATCTTTCAATTTTATTCCGACTTGCAACGATAATCATAATTTTATGCTATCATTTTCTTTCATTGCGTTTTTATTTTCAGATGTCAACTTCAGATTTGCGCGAACGTCTTCGTAAATTAGCTGAGCGTACTGCTAGAGAACTGCAAGCCTCTCAAAATAAAAAGGAACAAAGTGACCAAAGCACGCAGAGTGCGTTTTTGTTCATTGTATTTCAAGATTTTTAATATATGATTCCAGGTTTCTGGGCATGTTGCATCATATCACCATACATCTTATTGTTAGACAAGCAACCTTGGAAAAAAAGAAACTTGCTATTGGAGTTGTCTCCTTGTTTCTTTAGAAGTGGATGTTGTGAATGCATATTTATAGGTGATGGCGATAATGAAAACAGTGTATTTACCGCGCCGACACATACGCGCATGGCTCGTACAGTTCCAATCAAACTGCTGGAAAATATTAACATGATCAAGACGCCAACTGTTCTGGAATTTGCAATACAAGATTCGTCACAGGAACCGAATATCAATGTGGAACCTGCAGTAGCGTGTGCTTCCGCCATCAGGAATGCAAGAACTGGAACATCTGACACTCGTTTAGAACCCATCATTACAGCATCAAAATGTATGTTTATTTCTTCTATTTTATCTCTTTCTTATTTGTGTCTTTTTCAATTTTTATGAAATATTAAGTTTTATTTATAAACAAAGAGCGAATTTTTGATAACTTATTCAAAATAAAGTTAATTTATGTTAGGATACTAAAAACTATAAGCGGCTTTTCGAAAAAAAAAGTGTAACGTCCTTAAATTTGATTAGAAATATATTAGGCTTTCCCTATCATTTTTGAGCAAAATTTTCATGCATTAATTTTAAACGAAACCAGTGACTAACTACTGATATAGCTCCATTCACAAACATATTTGTAGCTCCGGATAAAATCGAGAAAACTAATGATCTTGTTGCTAGAAGGAATAGGTCAGTAACTAGATCAGCGGAAAAGAACAGCCAAAAACGAACTGTCAGCGCACACGTTGTAAGGAATACATCTTGTAGTTAAAAGCTTCTAAATATACCCTTTTTTCTTTTCTATTATGAATTTAGAGTTGTCAAAAAAATTCAAATTCTTCAAGAAAAATGCTGAGAGCAGTTATCAGAGGGCCTCATTTAAGGAACAATCAACGGGTCCAAATGGGGATAGTGTGGCAACGTCGACAGCACTGCGTCGTTCAGAATCTGCTTCCAATTCTCGTCCTAACCGTTATATTTATGTAAACAGTCATCCATATATTGTGATCGATTTATTGGGTAAAGGAGGCTCCAGTAAAGTTAGATTTTCTTGCAGTATATTCAAATAGTTTAACTTTTCATAAATGCCTGTGATCTATTTATTCAGAAAGATCATATCTGATTTTTTTAGCAATTATGATTTCTTCAAAAACGTTTTCCTTCTTGATTAATTTGTTTTAAAAGGGAGTAGATTTTTTATCTATTTAAGGTTTATCAAGTATTAGACGAGAGACAGAAGAAACTGCGTGCAGTGAAATGTGTGGATTTATCGGAAGCTGATCATTCCTCTCGCAGTGCCTATTTAAACGAAATCAAACTGCTGCTTAGTTTAAAGGACACAGGATGTGTTGTGGAAATGTCTGATTAGTATGTAATTTTAATATTAGTAAAAACTGTGGGATAAAAAGATACAAATTACTAAATAAAAACAAATGACATGCATGATCTTGGAAGTTTTACTATGCGTCGTTGCAGTTGATTTTTTTAGTGAGCTTCGTGGTGATTTTTTGTATGTAGTGATGGAAAAAGGTGATACCGATTTGGCAACTTTTCTGAAAACTCGGAGAAATCAAATTGATGATATATTTATCAGATTTTATTGGAGTGAAATGTTGAAATGTGTGCGTACTATCCATGAAAAAGGTGAGCGAGAATTCATGTTTTTTTTTCTTATCGAAATGGGGTAATTTTTTTCCAATAGTTTCCAGATATTGTTCATTCTGATCTGAAACCGGCAAACTTTCTTCTTGTCGGCGGAAATCTCAAATTGATCGATTTTGGAATTGCATCTGCCATTCCAATGAATAAGACATCAGTCATAAAAGATACGCAAATGGGAACGCTATCTTATATGCCACCAGAAGCTATTGCAGGTCCAAGCGCTTCATTGCATGATGGGAAAGAAATTTACAGAGTAAATTTTGCAAATATTTTTGTCTGTTAAATTAATAATTGAGAAAAATGAAGGTTTAAATTTCTATCACTGAGGCGAGTCGATATTTGGCAATAAAGAAAGGAACGATTGCCGTGAATTGGCGAATGAAATGTAGGAGGGAGTAGGGAAGAGCGATCTTCATTCTTTTTTTATTGAGACATATCGAAATTTGGAGACTTTGCGAGGTGTTTTCAAACGTATTTTAGGTTCGTAAGAAATGTGATGTATGGGCTTTGGGATGTATATTGTATAACATGGTTTATGGACATACACCTTATCAAATGTGGACAAACCCGATCCAAAAGATGCACGCTATTTTGAATAAACCAGTAGTTTTTGAGAAAATCGAAGATGCTGATTTAATGGATGTTTTGAAAGTTAGTGTTCTTGTAATCCTTGCGCAGGAGTTGATATGTCTGCTTGCCTTATTGTTTAATATACTTTCAGTTCTGTTACCATAAAATTTTTCTAGCGATGCTTAACGAAAGATCCCGATCAACGATCTACCGTTGAGGAGTTGCAGAAACACCCATATTTGACAAGTCATTTTTTTATTTAATTGCGTTTTATGAAATTATATTTTGTATTTTCTTTTCTGTAAAGATCAAATAAGAATAAGAAGCTTTCATCTATTCACTTTCGGCAGTCCTTAGATGATAAACTTTAAGGGGGACTACTTTAATATTGGTTGTCATTTAAGGAAAAGTTCGCAAATGTATGGATGAATCAATATTACTCCAAGATGACAGCGATTTAATAAAAGTGGCTGAAGATTTACGAAATAGTACACCGCGAACTTCAGCTCGAAAACTTCGTGATCTTATGCAACGACGAGGTCCAAGAAGCGCGAGAAAAGACGTAGGGACGAACAAATTCACTTAAGTACGGATGAATTCGTGCCTGTTTTCCCTGTATACTCTAGCTCAATGTTAGGTATCTAAATTAAGATTAATATGTGTTTTTTTAACCATATTAAAATAAGATAGAGCAAATGAAATTAGCGGAGATTATGATTACACTTTATGAGTAAAAAAAATACATACATGGAATTTAGAATGTTGAAGGTACAAAGGAAATGTGAGGTATGAAACTATACGTATTGGGACAAATATTCATTGATTTCAAATTAATGTTTCATTTTTGTTTAACACTCTCAATCCAGTTTAGTTTTTGGAAAATTTCCTTTCTACTTTTTGTTTCTGTGATAAAAGTTTGAATATTAATGAAAGTGGTGTTAATAAAGATTATACTTTGGACAGTTAATCTTAGATACATACCAGTTTTTTTGGTTAGTTTTATGGTCGTTCATTTGTAATAATATCATCAGTACAGATTTACTATTGTTGTAAAAATTTTCTAGCCTATGTTGTTCATTTTTCACTCTATAATATTTCCAACTACATTCGTCGTGTATTCTCTTGAGAGATCGCATAGAAGAGCTGCATTCCTATTCAAGAAATGAAAAATTTGTTTTATTTCAGACCAATTATTGATGAATGTTTTAATGATATGTCCTGATCTCTTATGTAAACCTGTCGTATCATGTCGTTATCATTTTTTATTAATATAATTTACTTAAGTCCTTAGAAATATGTCGGATTTAATGCACGGATCACATATTTTGGGAAACATCGTGCTATTTATGAAGTCAAAAACTATATGAAGTTGCAAATTATTTTGATTTAAGAGAATATGATATTAACTGAAGGAAATTTAGAGGGGATTCAGTCATGTACATGTGAGAAGACAGCATGCTGATCAGTTTCATCAATATGAGATGTAGTCAAGTGGGACTTCAAAGTGTGTTACCTGAACAAAAATCGATGGAAGAGGATGATTTCGGAGAGTTTCCTGACGGGGTTGAGAAGTGCTCTTGTATCTAGTATTATTTTGCTAAGCGCATATGCTACTTTTGATTCTAGATGTCTTTCCATCATTGAAAGGTTTTATCCATCCAGTAGTGTCTAGTTTTAGATTCGCTGACTCACTTTTATCATTTAAAATTTTTGCCATCTCATTTCCACTGCAATTTCTGCCGTCTCATTTCCATTACATCCTTTAAATTGCTGCTGCTTGATTAATTTTATTCGATTAATTCATTGCTGAAAGTATAGTTAGTATAATATGCAGTTGATTTAACTTGTCGTTATAGTCTATGCAAGTAGAAAGGTTCTAAACTCTGAAGTTAATGAAATTGGAGAAGTGTTTTGGAAAATTATTCAATTCTTACTATGGCTGTGCATCCATGTTCATTGTTCTAGCAAGTGGCTAAAAAATGAGCATAAATGCTTTGGTATTTCTTTTCAATATTTAGCCTTATTTCGACTTGAAACTATAATTTTCTAGTTGAATCGCTTTCCAGTAATTTTATAATTAGTTTCAAAGTAAAATAAGAATGGTAGTGAACAAGTTTTTAGTGCTAATTTTGGTGTATCTAAGTAGGGAAATGAATAATAAAAACAATATATGAAAACCAATATGAAATTAAGAATCTGAAAATTTCAGTAGCTGAGTGGTAATGAATATCTTCGCGTTCTAAATGCTTTTGGATGATTGGTTGATCGGAAATAGGTTTGCTTTTCAAATAATATTGGTAAATATATCGTTATGCCATAATTTGAAGTTACTATTGTTTAAAAGGGTTCATCCTTTCATCATAATGAAAAGCATTGATAAATTTCGACGAAATCCTCTTTCCAAAATTTTTGGAAATAGGTGGAAATAAATGAAATGTTTTTGATTTGCTTGTAATTATTTATTCATTTCAACTTTTCTTTTTTTAAAAGAATAAACGATGGTGATGTTTTTTGCGAATTGATCGTATCACCTGCTTAGTCACTGTCAGTAGGATGCTTCTTCAGAGAAAGTCAAGGCTCAAAGTACCACAGCGTTAATAACATTTCTTGCATCTAAGTGCTAGAAGAAATGCAGAAATTATCCGCGTTTAGCAGGAATGCAATAGCTCGACTGCTACTATAGATTTGACGTACAGTGTTTTTTACAAAATATAGTGTTTTTTATAGAATCGAGTCGGTTACTATCCAGCATCAGCGCCATGAGCAAAGGACAACCGGATGAAGTTGGTAAGAAAATTTTCCGCTCTGCGATTTCCCTTTAAATTCCTTAATTGTTCTTTGGTAGCTTCTTTTAAATTCAACTTTGCAGTTATCGAGACGATATGCAATTATATGCTGCAGCAAAATCGACCATATAGTGCTGTTGACGTATGGAATAATCTACGACAAGAATATCCTAAAGCTGTGAGTTTGTTCAACCCGCTGAATATTGGTTGAATTTTTGTTCCAAAAGTTGAAGATTTTAATGTTTGTTAAACAAGAATTTTAAATTTTGAAAGTCTCAGTTTTTTAAATATTCCACTTTATTTATTTAATTGCCACATGGCTTATTTTATAAATAGAAGGGAGGGTATCAAATGGTGATGATGCATTTTAGCAGATAATTAAATCCTTGGATGTTGGGGTGGAACGGGGAATTTTACGCGAGAAACTTATTTCGAAACAGAAGATCTATTTCGCTGATCAGGTATACTAACATTTATCTTGAAGAAGTAATAAAATTCAAAATTTATTCCGATTCCTAATTGCAAATCGATACAAAAAGTCTAAGGAAGAAGATTTAAAGTATTTGATGTGAATGAGAAAATTATTTCCAGAGTAAAATTGAAAAGTGTTGCGAAGAGGAGCTCCAAGTAATGAACGAATCTATTATTAGAAAGAAGAATCGCTTGAATGAACTTAGCAACGAGATAAAGATCGCGAAAAATGGTAGATTTCAGTATTAGAACTTATGTTTGATAGTTGAATTTTCGTGTTAGTAAGCTATCTAGGGACATGATGTGGAACCAGAATACGCATTTTACATAAGCAATATCGCAGAGTATTTTCGTTTTTCATGTTTTACATCTTGTCAGATTATAGAGGTCTAGAAATTACAAGAGGTGATATTAACTTTTTTTTTTTTTTTGAAATAAAATTTAAGACATTTCGGTACAGCCTGGACTTTGTTTTTTAGAGCTGAAAGAGTATGGAAGTGCATTGAGCATGGAAGAGATGACTGCGTTGCAGACGACTTTAGAGGCACAGGTACCACACATGCAATCTGGACATACAATCTGAGAAAATCTGTGATTATGAACTGTAGTGATAGTTTTGACATCTAGTGATTGGACGTGCTCAGAATAGCTACCTTATTGTTTATTTACAGGCTTCTAAAGTAGTGATTTAAATCTATTAGATTGTGTATTTTTAGATAAAGGAAATGGAGGAACGTATCAATGGCATGGCGACTGATGCAAAGAACGAAGTTGTAAATGAGAAAAGAAAGTCTGAACTTATTGCAAAACAAGAATCTTATAAAAGACAGTACACGAAGCGGAAGCGAATTGCAGATCAGATTGTTGATGCAGTTTGTGAAAATACCAACATTTCGAAAGACAAACTGATGGTAAATATTCATTAATTGAGAGCATAATTAGTAAAATATAATTAATTGGTCTTGCGATCAAATCTATTCGTAACCCCTGCTATTTTTCAAGTCTTGAATAAGCAACCGTGGCACTATAACTACAGGTAATTTCTACAAGTCTAAGAAATAGAAGGTAATAAGCTAACATTACTTCACTCCTCACTCTGAGTTGTGTATTTGGCCATTTATCCTACACCAATAAAAACTCAAAATAAAACTTAATAAAGAATTTCTCTTCCTTGTTCTCTGATTCTGATAATGGAAGAATTTTTCAGGAAGATATGGGCTTTGAATTTGACTGATTGCCTGCTAAAATTATCTCAGCAATGAAAATCTGACTCTTTTTTCACTCTTTATCAAATCCCAATATTGCATAATCAATGAATAAACAGCGAATAAACTCTCTGTTGTTCTATGATTTGGTCCTGTATATGTTGTCAAGAATTTAAATATTGTTTTAATCACTCGTTTTTCAATAGTTTATATTAAGATCGTATAATAAAACGTGTAATAAAATTTGCCTTTTGATTGTTGAAGAAGGATTTCTATCTTTTCCAGTTTGTAACTTTTCTGTCTTATAATGAACCTTATTTCTCATGCTTCTGCAGTTTTTGTTTCCAAGTTTTCATATTTTGTGTAATGTTTTCAGAACGAATCGTGACGTGTTCTAGTATGAATGACATCTTTTAGCTTTAAATATACTACAAGATGCGCTTTCACATCTTACAAAATGATCTTTTTTTTGGTCTAAAATTATTTAGTCTTTACTTTTAGTTTCTTAAATTATAATTGCATGAGAAATATATGAACTACAGGTTTTGTTTTGTCAATAGTCCTAAACAAAAAATATTTGCGGTCTTGGAACTTATTGAGAGTTTTTCAGCAGTCGTTTTTAAATAATTTTTGCCACTTGAACTTATGTGAAAATGGAAGTGGATGAAAATGATGCATTAGAGAATCAAACATCGAAAAAAGATAATGGAAATATTTCGTGGATGGCGTCATTACCGAAGAACAATGTAGGCGATGTGCGCGACATATCCAATCAAGCATTCTGGACCTTATCCAGTTGTAAAACAGGTTTTTTTAAGCTTCTTTCTGAACTTAGCTTTCTACAATGAGTGTTCTTGCTCCAATTCGCTGTCTTGCAACACTTTTTAATCCGAAGAATTCAGCTAGTGACGTTGAAGAGGAAGCTAAATTTTTTTTGCTCTCGAGAAAACTAGAGAATCGATGATAACTATTTTTGAACCAGAATGGAAACAAAGTGAGCAGAGATAATTATCTTTTATTTAACTCATTGATTATTTTTCAGATGGATTTGGCATCCAGCAATTGTTAGATGATGATTTAGAACAGTATTGGCAATCAGATGGCCCGCAACCGCATACGGTCACAATAGAGTTTAGCAAAAAAACAAATATTTCATACCTATTATTATATTTGGATTATAAAACTGACGAATCTTATACACCTAGCAAGTAAATTTCTACATTTTTACGAACCAACTTTTATTAAAATTATCAATAGTACTATCTTAAGGGAATAAAAGATGGGTTGATAATTAAAGTTTGAGTATTTCGTTTCTAAAAGCTATAATTTGATTTGATTATACTTGAATTCTTTGAATTTACTTGAATTGTTGAATTCCTTACTTGAATTCTTTGAATTTGCGTAAGACTGTTAGATCAGAAACTATTAGTAATTTTAAAGTTTTTTTTATGTTTCAAATTTCAGTAATATTTTCTTTTCGTTAGGGTAGTTGTACGCCTTGGTTCGTCAGTTCTGGATGTAGATGAAGGTTTAACAGTTGTGTTTTCTGAACCAGTTGGTTGGCAGGTTAATTTTTTCATGTTTTTTCCTTTTAAATAAATTTAAATAAATATTTAGTTTTGTAATTTGAACGATAATCTTTTAAAAACGAGATCTTTTTTGTCTTCAGAATCTTTGCAAGCAATTAAGACTTCGTTTTCTGTTTGAAAAAACATATAAAATGGCAGAAAAAAAAGTTTAAGTCTTCATTTTTTAGGTTATCGACCTACGCGACGCTGATGGAGGCCCATCTCGAGCTTTTGTATTACAATTGCAAGTTGTACAGAACCACCAGAATGGTCGAGATACTCACATAAGGTATGGTGTCACTTTCAAATTACTGTACTTTGAAATTAATTACCAAGACTTTTTGTAGTGAAAAATGAATAAAATATAGCGTTTAATATGCTTGCCAAATACAAGATTTACTTTTAATCATTCAAATCTATTTAAATTGAAGAGAATTGTAAGTCCTCATTTTTCTGAGAAATTACAAACTCTTCCCTGTTGCGTATTATTCTGTCTAATGCTGTAAAATTTGATGAAGTTGGAAGGATAGCAAAACCATTAAATTTATTTTCAAAATTCTTAAAAAAGTTGCATATTTTTCAGCAGGTTGATTGCAATATTCTCTTGGTATTTTGCTGATATGGTAATCTGTTTCGTGGCAAATTCTTTGCCAATTTCTATTTTTACATATAATTGATTAAATTATCGGAAAAGTTAACTAAGAGATCGAAAATAATAACATAATGTATTTAAATTGTTTGTATTTACAGGCAAATGCGAATAATTGGACCAACCCAAGCACGATTGGACACTGGCGTGAAGACATTGATTAATGCTGGAACAAATATAAGCAATGTTCCATTAAAATTTACTTCCCAGAGAATTGCTCAGTTTGCTAATATCCGCTGATGATTTTATCAAAATTTTGGCACCTTGAGGATATCAATATAATATACCCCATATATAGAGAGATAAGACGATATAGACTTCGAACTTTTCTATGGAAAATGATGTTTGGGGCTTTAAACTAAAGAATACATTCTTAAATAACTAAAATTTCTTTGTCCATAGGATTGGATTGTTTTTAAAAATTAGATCTTTGCGCGTGAGCTTGGTCTTTCATTTCATGACTTTATGATACACAGAGATAATAAGAGTTTCCATTTGCTCTTATTGAATTCCACTACTCTTATTATCTCTGTTTGAGTCACAAATGTTACAATAATTTTGAAATGATTTATATATAATTTTTTTCTGTTACTGAACTAAGTTTTACCGAAAAATAATATCGCAAATGATCATGTTCTACATATTACATATTAGCGCAGTTATATTTGAATTGATTTCAAGAATTTTTTTTCGATTTGAATTTCAATATTTGAAAGTTAGAGAAAACATTTATTCATGGCTTCTTTTAAATCACAAAAATGAGCCAAATTTTGAGGTAAGAGAATTTCATTGAAGTTTAGTTATTTCCTTTAAACTGGAAGTATCGAAGGGGGCGTAAGTGAACGAATATGATGAGATGTGGCATATATATATGAGTAGTTCAAACAGTGCAGAAATTTTCATGATCATCTTCGAAGGGTTTTTATTACATCATTTTCTTTGCATGAACTACTCTGATTTTATTTTATAGTGTTTTTGGATGAAACTGTAAAGATTGTTCACATTACTTAAACCATAGCTACTTCCGCTTAGATATTGCAGGAATAATTAAGCATTTAAACTTGCTTGTTAGTCATTCTATAATTGATCCGATTAATATATCACCGAAATTGAAATTTTCAATAAAAATTAATGAATATATTTTCTTACACGTTTCATCACATTTAATTAAATGCACATATTATCAGTAAAGAGATAGAGATGCACTGAAATGCCACTTATATTTAAGGGTGTTTCGTTCAAACATGATAATTCTGCGAAACACTATAGCATTGTCATCTGTAGAAAAATTCTCCTCGATTTATCCGATTGTTTAACCAGTTTCGTATCAATATTGTCACGAAACTTTCCTTGTCCGGAAAGAAGAATGGATGAGTGCTTCAGTATTTATTTGCAATAAACATCCATTTGTATCTTTCAATTAGATGATGATTGCCTTTGGGTAGAGGTAAATTAAGTTTCGTAGGATTGTTTTAGTTCCAACTGTTTAGACATCAGTAGTAAGTAATAACAGCAGCAGCAGCGGTTGTTATAGTTGTAGTAGTGATGATAAGCGATAGTAGTAATAGTTAGTGATAGAAATAGAAGATAGGTATGAAGACAGTGTAAGAGTGAATGCATGAAGGGATATAATCATCAATATAAAGAGGCAATTGACCTCTGAACCATAGCCAAATAGCAGACATTATGGTGATAGTGTAAAATTCAATGGACAACAGCAATCTCAGACATACATACATTTCATACCTCACAAACCATTTTCCACTTTACTCATCTTCGTCAACGACGCTGGTACGAAATGCAAGTGGGATCAATTAGAAGTTTCGAATTTTATCATTTTGTAAATTGTGTCTTATAATCTATAATAATTATCTATTATTATCAAGAATGGCTCACCGCTCTTATTCTATTCATTTATTGTCGCTCCCTACCTGCATTATCAACTATCACTATCAACAGCAAACAAATACTAAATCACTTTCGCAAATACCAAATCACTTTCGCATACCATCACTTTTGAACATCTATCCTATTAGATTCTATTTCTAAATTATCTACTACACATTATTTGTATCTTTCTCTTCCTTCGAAATATTTCTTGTAATAATCAGCAATATATCTGTAGAAGATTTACTGATAACTATTAGCTTATCTTCTGTATTTATTAGTATCACAACTATTTGACAGCGATCGTATCGCTATCTCATTTTTCAACTCTTCACTCATAATCAATTTCTGTTCAAATGATCGAGTCTTTCTGAATCACGTTTTCATCCTTTTCAAATCATTAAACATCTTTAATCCATCCATAAGTTCATTTGTCCATTATTTTCATTCCGTCGCTAATGATGCTTTTTTGCACGACAAAGTCGTTTCAAATTTTGTGATGTCAATGTTGAAAGACATCACGTAATTGTGAAGTAATGTATAATTGTGACGTACGTAAGTAATTGTACGTTCAATCAGTCGAATATGTTATTTATTAAAGCTCCTCCAAATGTAAATATGTTCATTTTAAATAGATATAAGTGAATTTATTCACTAAAGAAGCAAATATTAGTTTCTTTTTGTTGTCTGATACGTTATTGATGAGTTCCTCAGGATTAAACAGGTCATCAATGAGGTCATCTTTAGATGTATCGAAATTTGCAGAAAAATTGACATAGGTTAGAAAGATACTGAAATACAAAACTTCATTAGGTGAATGTATTATAGTGTGAAAAAAGTAAACGAAAAGGGATGGAAAGAAGTGATGAAATGGCGTAAATGATAAATGTTTTTAGTAGCGATGATCGTCGCACTCATAACTATTATCAATATAATAGCTTAAATAAGCTATTATATTCTATTATATTATTATATTCGTTAACTATTGTATTATTACATTATATTCGTTAAGCTACAACTATTTTATATGGCAACGTAACGACGGTGAAATTTGATTTTAAAAAAAATTCTTTTTAATTTTTTTATTGCTCCAATCGCACTATTGCCAATTGTAATTCTATAAACTTTATAATCATTAATTATTGCAGAAGATATGTTCCAGAAGAGATTTTAGTATACAAAAATTTACAGGTCAATTAATTCTTCCTTTTCTTTTTTCTTTTTCTCTCTCTCTCCCTCTCTCTCTCTCTATTTCTATAGTTACGTGATATAATTATGATAATACTACAAGAGTTTCGAAAATTGATCCTAATTGATAAGAGATCTTGTTAATCTGTCTATTTACATTTTGCCTAATCATATAAGAGTGCGAAGAAAAAGCTGATTCATTATAACAAGCGGAGAAGGTAAGGTCATTTGCACGTAACATATCTATTATGCATTTTATACATAAGAGAGAAAGAGAGAGAGAGAGAGAGAGAAAGAGAGATTTCGGGTTATTCAATGTATACTATTTGTATAATATTTTGGTTGATGACAGATTTCTCCTTCTTGCTGATGATAACTTTTTTCTTTTTTATAGTGTGTGTGTGTGTGTGTGTGTGTGTCAATGAAATTGTCCAAAATGAATGACATGAAAGGACATTTCGATATGAAGTGAAAGATGACCAATGGAAAAGTGTATTTATGTATCAGTCATGATAACATGATACTTCCGATCTTTTTTCCTTATTAGATATTCGGATAATCTCGTCATAAATTTAATTATTTAGAAAATGATTTAAGAACTTATTGAAAATAAAAGGTTAAAGAGAAAGTTGCAATTTCGATTTATTATTTTTTGCATATCAAAAGATAAATATTCAAAGGCTGTTTTAATTGAAAGTGAATTATTAGTCATTTTCCTATTGTTTCTAAATTGAATAGGTAAGTGTAAAGGACAAAAATTGAAAGATAAATAAATGTTATTAAACAATTTCCATTTTCGTTTTCTTGCGAAATTTAAAGAGAATAAAAATTTCAAAATGATAATATATTTGTTATTGTTTTTAATAGAAAATTGAACAATTCAAGATTTCTCAAAAGAATTTTCCTATTAACAACAGTTATTCATTATTTGGAAAATTTGATATTGATAAGAAATTGATATAAAGTTTGTATAGATTAAATGGAAGTTGATATCCGATGGTTATCTTCACTATTATCTCTTTATTTATTCATCCTATCATTTTCAACTTATCATCAAATAATTCTTTTTTCTTTATGCAACTTTAAAATTATATCTTAAATATCATTTCAGAAATTCTATCTTTCTAAACTATGCAAATTGCAAAACGCTCAAAATTTCATTTCTATAATTTCTTTAATAACAATCTCATAAATAAATCGTTTCTTTGATTATTTCTTTGAATATTCATTTCATAAACTTTTTTGTTTTATTTCCTTTTTAAGCAATTCGAATATATTAAATGGAAGAAAAGATTTTGATATGACAAATGTGTCAGCGACAAAAAATTTTCTCATCAAAAAGAGATATGACTGAGTGAGTGAGTATAAGGACAATATTGCAAATAATATTTACATCGTCTCGCCATTATCAGTGAACATTGATTTTTTGATATAATTATCAATGGAACTATACAAAGCATTTTTGATATGAACACATCGTTTCTTTTCTTATTTCATTCATTCATTCAGTAATTAATGATTTATTAATTATTCATCCAAATTAAGTTATTTGTAATATTGCATTTTTTTAAATTGTTATAGCAACGAATAAAACATTGAAATATTATTTATTTTGAAAATATTTGTTTAAATATGAGAAAATATTTAAATACTAAATATGAGAGAATGTATTTACTATGTAATTGGTATATGATATGATAAATTATGCCTCCTATTTGAATACGTATGATAAACTTGCAAATTTTCTGGATCATATTTTCAGAAAGCATTTGTCTATTTCATCTTTTACTTCCATTTCCATATATATAATTCCAGTTAATTAATCATATTTGTTTAGTGATCAACAATCATTCACATTCCTTTCCTTATTGAATTTTTTCATTGATCTTTTACATATTTAAATTTAGCATTCTGGAAATAGATGTTAATATGATTAGGAGATACTTAATATCTGAACTATAGTTGACTTTTGCTAATTAATTACTAGTATTATTGAAAAAGAATTGTTGAATGATATGTTAACGTTTTATGGAAGTATATTATATGCATTTAAATTTTAAATTTGTATTCCAAAAATTTCATTTGAAAGGAGGAAGAAATATTCTGACTCTTATCAGTTTATAGTCGATAATGTCAAAGGAAAAAAATTATATTAACCTAATCAAATATGACCTTTGAACGTTCTTCGCAACCCTTTTGAAACTTTTAATTTTTGAAGAGTGATTTTTTTTTGTTTACTCTTTAATTTACTCTTTGCGAAGTGGTAGCAGTAGGCTACTTCAATAACTGACTGTTTGCTCAAAGGTTTTCTTTTCTTTTCTTTTCTTTGCAATCTGAGATTATACTATGCTTCCACTTTAGCTTATCATTTATCTTCAATAACTTCTTAAAAATATCAGGCAATTTTTGAAAAGCTAAAAGTAAAATGAGTAAGACGATTTTATAATAGCATTTTATGTTTTTTTTTATAACTTTGTTTGTTTCTTAGCACTTAATGTTAGCAACATTCTAATTAATAAATTTCATATTTAAGCAGCTTAAAAATTAATTGATGCAAAAGCGGCAGATCAAAGATCTATTCGTGAAAATTATATTATATCAATGTTATTCAACTTTTCCTGTTGCACTAATGACAATTCAATTCTAGGCAGCAATAAGTAACAAAATTTTAGAATTTTAAACAGTATTAAGAAAATTAGGATTAGATGATGACAAAGAGCGCTTACCTCTTACATCATTGTAGGAGAAACATTTTTGGGAGCTTATCGATTATCTCAAATAAAATGCGACCATGCGGTAACTTCAAAGAAGCACTGATAAAAATAATTTCATCACTTCTTTGATGATAATGAAAATTTTATTGACAGTCAGCTTCCAAAACAAAAAAGCTAAAAATCAGTTTATTTATTATATTTTATTCTAAGGTAAGAATAGAAATCTCAATTATTAAATTAATTTCCTTATAGATGAATATTTATTAGAAATAATACTTTATATTAACCTTATCCATGCGATTTTCTGCGATTTCCCTTTGTATTGACCTTATCATATAATAGCACAGCGAAAGAGCGGTAGAGAGCGCGGAAAAGCGGGGAGTTAGCTATTTAACGAATAAAAGCATATCTGTTTAAATTTTTTCTTACCTCAGAATGAAATATAATCAATAAACCGGTTTTTTGTTTCTTTTTTGGAAGCTAATTGTCAATAAAACCACGAATTTCTTATTATCATTTAATATCTCTCACAAAGTTTTATCATTTTAATATTCAAAATTATTTTCATTCCTTCGCCTTCAAATCAAAATTATTTTAATTTTTGATTACAAATTGCTTTAGAAGCATAGAAAATAATTTTTATGTTAAAATCCATTGGCATAAGCTATTGCATAATTTATTTTTGGTCAAATGATGCAATTGAATGAATTTAAAAATGGCCATTGTCAGCTTATTGTGAGAGAATAATTCTTCCTTTTCTAAATCTTTCAATTTCTTCTCTCATTCTGCAACTTTAGAACTTTTCAGTAAATTCAATTTCAATCATTTTGATGCCACCCGATGATTTCATACTTTTTTTTATTAATAAATTTGATTTATTCATTATTTCAGTTTATGAAATCTAATCAAACTTTTTTGTACTTCCAATAGTCTTCACATTTAAAAGCTAAAAAACTAATTAACAAATGTGACAAAAGTTGCGTATTATCGAACTGTACAAAAATTCATTAATAAAATATTCTATTATTTCAATTTTTTTGAGAGAATTATTAATTCAAATTATTTGCATTAAATTGTAACTTATTTAATTATTAATTAACTTATTGTTTAAGTTTTTGGTAATTTTTAAACAATTAATTTTTAATAAATAAGTTAAATAAATGATAAGTTCAAAAAAATTAATTTACTTAATTGATAAGAAATCTTAGATTATTTCATTAATGTTATCAGAATGAATGATAACATGAATATAATTTATTTTTAATCAGTTTAGAATGTTAGAGAAAGATTTATGCAATGTTTAATATCAATAAAATGCAAAAGAGCGAATAATACGAAATTTACTTCGAAGAAAATGAATGAAATTTTAAAAATGAAATATTTTTTTATAGGAATTTTAATTTATGGCTCTGTGTTAAGTGAACTTCTTGTGAATTATTTCAAAAAGCGATGCTATTTTTGCCCTTTTTATACGTTACAACTTTTTTAACGACAAATTCACTCGGAACAGAGCTATTTGAATACGGTATTGAACATGGTGATCAGGTAAGCAAAATATAAATAAATATATGCTACTGTTTTGTTGCTATTGTATTAATGTTATCTGGATGAATATCATTATGATATTTCAAAAATAGATTTATCAAAAATATCACATACATTTATAATTATCGATTACCGTATCCCTACCGTGATATCATTACTTATATTTTTTTCGCAATAATAACCCATAGTAATGATGAAATTAACAACAAATATTATTACTCTTACATTTTTATTTTTTATTATTATCACAATGATATCACTACTTTTTAAACTAATGATTAATCTTTTGTATAACATAACATTTCAGTTGCTATCATTTTCAAATGACTCATATGCAATAACATTGGATGTACCAATAATATATTTTGAAGAGAGTCAAACTGAATTATTCATCTCTTCAAAGGGTATTGTAACATTTGGTAAAGCTGCCGATTTTACGGAAATAATCGATTTGGATCAGGAAAAAATTAATGCAATTGCAATATTTTATGCTCCAATTAATGCTGGGAAAACTTTTTATCGGTGAATAAATCTTTTTTCCTTTTAATAATAACAAAAATTTTTGATAGAAAAGATTTATTGGCTTGGAATGTGAAATAATTTAATTGGTTTAATTGTTTTACTTCTTTATACAACTAAAAATATTCGTTTTGAAAGAAGCAAACATTGTTTGTTTGTTTTTCTAAATCAAATAATATTTCTTTTTTTCATATCAGAGCAACTTCAACTGATACAAATTTATTGTATGATTTGACGGATAAAATTCGAAAAAATTTTCCGAGTCGAGAATCATCTGATTTCACAGCTCTTCATGCTGTTGTGATAACATGGATTGATATAATGACAGATGATATTGAGCAAGGCTCAAATCAATTTCAGGTACTTCTTACTTTGTTATAAATATTTGAAAAAAATTTTCCCCGAATTTTGATATTAAAAATTTTAGCGACGAAAGCAATATTATTTTTTCTTTAAACATTAATTTGAGAGATATGAAATCAATTGGCTATTCGTAAAAATTATAGCACTAAGCATTTAAACAAATAAAAAGAAAATTTTAACTAATTGATAGCAACTTATAATGATGATAATTATATGATAACGATAATGTGATAATGATTTCACATAGCAATATTATTTCATTGTTAAATTTACTTTTTTGTTGCACATTTCAGATGGTTTTAGTAACAGATGGAATGAGCTCTTACGTTTTTCTCATTTACAATCAAATAAGTTGGACTGGAAAGAATGAACAATTTGCACAAGCTGGTTTGTACTTCTCCGATGGCAGGCGTGAAACTATGGTCAATAGCGGGACACCTAGTATTAGGGAACTTGTGAAGTATGGGTTGATTTATTTTAAGCCTTAAAATTAATGTTGCAAAAGTTATAGAAATGGTAAAAAGAATTACTTACTTTCGAACCATCAGTGATATAAGAGAAAAACTCTTATTCTCAAAATAAAATATTTTGACATTTTTCCTCTTTCGAATTCAACAAATTTACCTGAACTCTTGACGTTATTAATTGGACGTTTCGATTTAATAACAACAAATAATAAAATATTATCACAAATACTTTAAACATTCTTCATTTTATTTTTCATCCATTTTGCAAAATGTTACGAGTAGAAGTTTCTCTTAAACTATAATGATCATTTCAGCTTATCAAATAATCAAAATGAAGGCACTTACATTTTCCGAATATCAGGTGCTTCACCAGAAGATCCACGAGGAACACTGATTGAGGATGATTATAGTTACAGTGATTATGAATCAGAGTATGATCCTGATAGTGAACATAAACGACAGAATAGTTAGTAGAGTTCAAATTTTTTCATTGAATTATTTTCATCGATTGTTTATCGATTTATATCAAAGTAAATTTCCACTCATTTAAATATTCATTCTTTCCGTCTTTTTCTCAAGCTGAAAAATTTCTAATGTCAATTTTCAATACAATATAGAACGAAATGTGATAAAATTTAGCGCTCAATCAAATAAGGATGGCTGGTAATATTTTAATATCAAATTAGGAAATACCTCGAAAATGCTATGAAATACAAGCATTGAATTTAATTCTAAATTGATGGATAAAGATTTAATATCTGCATTTATCTAATTTAAGCAAAGAAAAAGAGTTATGGGTGCTATCAATGAAGGTGAATTTCGGCATCTTTTTTTTTAAATTTAATTTCTAGAGCTATTATCAGAATATTGCCCAACAGATCTATATCGTGACCAATGTCCAGTGGAATGTGAAGTATTGACCGACGACCATGGATGCTCGCTTTGTGTTTGTGAACGTCTGTTTTCCCCTTTTTTTCTCGCTCTCTCTCTCTTTTCAGGATAGTACCCGAAAAACGAATTAGATGATGTAAGAAATTGCATGATAAGATGATAAGATGGGCGATTGGGATATTTGGGCCATTTTGATCCACCTGAATATCTCCCATTTTTCTCGAAAATTTAAGGAGTGAAAAAAAAAGAAGGAAAAAAGAGAATGAAGAAACATCTAAAATATCCTCCTGTTGATAATTTAAACTATGGATTTTGTGGACCTTGGCTTTGGCTTCGACATTTTTGTCATCACTGGCGCTAATGACGGATACAGCTTCTGAAAGAGTACATTTAATACAATTTCCATGTATTTCCTCTGTGCTTTATTTCTTTTGTCATCAGCTTAATCGTAAATCCATCCTCTGTTAACTTCAGAGACTCTTCTTCATCAATTTTTGTTACTTCGTAGTTTATATCTTAAGTAATTTTGCCATTGCATTTTCTCTGAAATAACTGAACCTTTCAACTTGTCTTCTTATCCATTTCTAAAATTCCTATTATCTTCCTTTACTGTTTCATCAAATGAAATTAAAAAATTAGTAATTAGAAGTTCTGAAATATTGTGATGGTTCAATAAGGAATATTGAAATTCAAAATTCAATAGAAAGATTCAAATATGAAAATATATTTGATAAACAAACAAATGAATAAATGCAAGCTGAAAGTAAAAACGAAAATGTTTTTTATAAAAAAATCATTTCATTATTCAAATTTTATATCAAATAATAATTATATTATCAATTAGTGCATAAGTCAAGAAATAATTGCATTTCCATTAACGAAAGAATAAACTTCACATTTCAGAACCACCAGAATCCAGCACAACATGGAAGGAAGATAATAAAGTAAGCGAAGTTGTAGTGCCAAGCCAACATGAGGAAATTGATGTGGTACCTGAAGAATCTACAAGTAAGCTTTGAATTTCTTGAACTTGCTATCTTTAATCATTATAATAATCGAAAAATTGACTAAAAATTTTAGCTTTGATTTCGAATTAAAAATCAAAGTTAAATTTGAAATCAAATTCAATGAATTTATTTGTTTAGCAGGTGAAATATTACAAGAAGAAGAAGAAGAAGATATCAGCAAAAAACAGCCAAAGCCAGATGATGAAGATGAAGGAGGTTATATTTATTGGTGAAATTTGCGAGATTTTTTTTGTTGCATTTTATTATGGATGATTTTATGTTTAATTTATTTATAGCGCTTGTTATGATAAAGCATTTATCATAGAATGCTTTTCAGAATCAAAATTGATTGCTTCAACAGATTCGGAAAATTTCGAATCAATTCAGGATGTTGAAGGCATTGAATTAAGTTGTGCTGCTGCGAGTAGAAAAGTTTGCCTTATAATGTTGTATATTTTAAAGTGCTTGAAATTTTTCAACAAGATATTAAAATTTGATAAAATTTAAATTTGATAGTTGACAATAATGTATTTATTGATAACACATTGCTAGTGGTGTGATAGAATAATAAGATGATGTTAATGACCTATCATTGCTTATTTTAACTGTATAAAGATAAGCAGTGATGTTCGTGAGATATCAATGATAGCAAATGAGGTATCATTTGCTTGCCTCAACACAATTCTAGTAACAGTATTCTATTAGGCAAGGAAAGTGTAAATAATTTTAATAAAAAAATTTAGATGCAATCATGTAGTTTGCATGGGAAATGCATTGATTATAATCCGGGTTACTGTTGTCAGTGCTTATCCGGCTATTACGGTAATGGTGAAGAATGTTTGAAAGATGGTAAGATTTTATCATATTTTCCATTGATGATTTCTGAATCATTTTCAGGAATAGAATAGATAGAAACTGATCTTAGATCCAGGAGAAATATGTGGCAAAAAATAGATCTGAATAATTATTACGAATTTGATCTAATAGTTTAAAATAATTGTCTGATTAATATTTTAAAATGATCGATTATATATTTTAATTTATTTAACTCTTTTTTGTTGTAAAATCCTTTATTTTTATTTTTTGTGTGATTTTCTTAAAGGATTAAGTAAGTATAAGGCTTGCTTAACTTAATAGTGTAACGCTAACAATTGAAAAATTTCAACAGGATATTAAAATTTGATAAAATTTGAATTTAGTAGTTGGCAATAATGTATTTGTTGATAATACATTGCTAGTGATGTTATAGAATAATAAGGTGATGTTAATGACATATCATTTTTTATTTTAACTTGTATAAATTTAAGCAATGATATTTGTGAGACACAATAAATGTAAATTAGGCATTTTTAGGCGAACCACAAAGAATTAATGGTGGCTTTGAGGGTGTAATAAATGGAAAAGAAATAGATCGGACTGAATTACATACTTATGTAATGGTTGAAGAAGGTCGAAGTTATACAGCACTCTCACAAATACCACCAGAACTTGGGAGATCGTTATTGTTGCTAAATGCAATTGGTAGTGCTATGGGATGGTTATTTGCTAAGGTTTCTTTAACAGTTGTTGAAAATTTTGCAATAAATTTCTAGAAAATTAGAAGAAAAAGAGATTAAATGAAGCTGAAATAAAATTAAAATCCAATTTTATACAAAATTTCATAAAATGATAGCATACTTTAAAATAAATAATTTTTTTGATAAAAATTTTTCAAATGAAAATTAGCTTCAATTTAATTTTTACTATTTACTTAATATGCTCTGTCAATAACATCATAATTTATGATACATAGGTGAAGCAGAGATAAACAGATAATGAAAGTGATAAATAAAAGGATTGAAATGCAGACATTCTACGCATCTAATCCATCAAATGTGCAAATAATCTGGCATCTTTTAAAATATGCATTATTATTTTTAACTTACTTATAAAATATATAATTTAAATTGTAGTAATAGTTATAAATTTTTAGGTAATGTCACCAACATCTTACAATGGATTTATGATAACAGGTTTGTTTCTTTATTTTTTGTTTTAATTTCAATTTACAAAGTTTATCTAAAAAACTAAAATAACACATTTTTTTCATCTAATTTCTTTGGATGTTAAATTTTTGCAGGAGGAGTTTTTAATCGTACGGTGAATGTTCATGTTGGTGATCAATATACGGTAACAATCAAGCAACAATTTTCTGGCCGTGATATTTATCATTATTTCAAAGCATACGTAAGTGTTATTATGTCAGTTTGAAAATGTTTTCGATGGAAATCATTTGTTAACAGTGTAATATCTCTTGTTTATGTTTGAACTTGTTTATAAAAAAAGAAATAAAGAAGAAAAAAATTCAGATGTTCATATCAGGGACATTGCCAACATTGGCGGAAGGTGCAGAGATAATTTATTCAGATCATGACGAGGAATATAGACGTGAAGGACCTGGTAATGAAACTATTTTTTATTTTTATAATTATCTTATCAAATATAATTTATGGTCTTGAAATCTAAAAATATCATATATAATGAAATAAATTTTGAGGATTTATACGATCATACTCATCGCAAATGGTGGCAGTTAAGGAAGGCAGTACGGAAACACAAATGAAATTATCAACTGACCAACAAATACATTACAAAGAATGTTCATTTAGAGAGGTAATTTTAGATTTTTTATAATAATACTACCAATTAATATTAAGAACCAAAAAACAAATAAGCTATGCGTAAAGCTTCAACGTGCATTTACAATCTTGAACATACCTTTGCTCTATTAACTCGATCATAGCAATAATCACTAGCATGATTTATCAATTTGTTTATGATTGGCAAATTCATTTCTAAATATTGTACTCAAAAGATAACTTATTATTAAGAAGGGTTGATAAGAAAAAATTACTGATTTTCTTAGATCACAATTATTACCAAATGAACGTTCACTATCATCATCAAAATATTTATTACATTATACAAATTGTAGTAATATTTCAATTTTACAATATCAAAATAATTTATGAGATTCGGTTGATGTAATTTAAATCCAAACTGTTCTTTTTTCAGTTTATTGAAGATCCCGTAGTGGTAATTCACGTTAATCGAATTCATGTTGTTTACGATGTTGAAGAACGTATCGTACGCTATGCATCCGCAAATATGGCAATAAATCGCGACAGTAATATCATGATAGCGTCATCTGATGCTGATAATCAACAGTCACAGCAATATCATTACCGTAACCAAGAATACCATCAACAAAATGAAAGTGTTGAAAATCAAAGACCATCATGTACCAATTGTGACCAAGTAACTTATATTTATCCATTACATTTTTTGTTCATATTATATTTGAATTAAATTTTGACTTATTTTAAACTCTAATACTTTCAATATATCCGTATTTCAAGTGGTAATTTTAATAATTTAATATTAAATGCAATTTGAGAATGCTTGTGAAAGTGGTCGACATTTATGTAATTCACCAAATATGTTTTGTACACCGGTGGAACGATCGTATCGTTGTGAATGCGTAAAAGGATATCAAGCGGAATATGACAATGATACGGAGCTCGGTTGGAAATGTGTTGGTTAGTTTCAATCAAAATCAAATTTTTATTTTTTGATGCACTTTATATTTTATATTTTATTTTCAAAAATATTTTTGATTTTAATGATACAATATAGGGTTTCTAAATGTTCTAATTATTTAAGAATTGTACTTTGGGAAATTGCGGATGAGAACTTTTTGACAATTTTAAATTTAAAATCATTTCTTTGATTTTCTGTCAGTAAATTAAACTCACTTCTTTGAATTTCTATCAACAAGAAGAATAAATGTAATTAAATAATTCGGTATGTCATATTGCATATCATATATATCATACTATGTGTCATATTGCAAATATACTGTAGATATGAATGAATGTGAACGAGGTGAGCATAAATGTGATCGTAATGCTCTTTGTATCAATTTGGATGGTACATTTGAGTGTCGATGTGCTGATGGATACGAAGGAGATGGACATCTTTGTCGAAGTAAGCATTTTATCCTCTTTCTTTTATAGATACAATTAAATGTTGGTTAATTCTAATTCAAATTATAATTATATTAATACCTCTTCCATTTTACATATTAGGGATTTTTCACATTATTATGATCACTAATTATATTTGAAATAGATCTTGCATTTCTGCATTCTATAATTTCATTTTCCAAAAAGATTATATTTTAATACTTATAGATTTCTCGGATTCAGTTTTCATTTATCTCTAAAAGCGCGCATGGAATGTTCTATAACATTTGAAAATCGCCTTCAAATAAGCGTCCTCTAGCATATCCTCTAACTTCAATTGATTTGAATAATCAATTTCAATTTTTATTTTTTTCTAACAAATCAACACTTAATTAATCTTTGATCATTTCTTATTTTAATTTCACTATTTTAGCAGCTTATGAAACTTTTGATTTTAAATTTATGTGGTATTACTTAATGTTCCAACAAAAAAAGACTTTTCAGAAGTGGGAGTTAATGGTGAAATTGATGAGAAACGACCAATGAGTGGGAGCGGTTGTCTTGATCATCGAGAGTGTCATCAATGGGGAGAATGTGTTTTTGGAAAAAACGGAGAAGTAGGTTACTGTAAGTGTCGTGGATGGTATACAGGTGATGGTGTGCATCATTGTGGACCACCAAGAGGTTTATTTTATATATTTCGATCGCGCTTACTGGAACGATGTTGTTCATGACATTACTCATGCATTATAATTATGATAACAACGCATTTGACGGTAAAAATGTTATAACTTTTTAGAGACAGATATTAAGCAAGTAGTAATTGATGACTCTCAACAAGAAGAGATAGGACAAACATGCGGAGGTTATAAATGTGATATGAATGCTTATTGTAACTCTTCCTCAGGACACGTAAGTTCATATAACTTCGTTAATTTCAAAGCTAATCAAAGGATAAAGCTTATTTTCAACTTATTTTGATCATGAAAAAATTTTTTTTTCAAACTACATATATTTATGGCTGTGTTTACAAGAATATTTTTTAGATGCTGTACGATCTTCAAAAAGCATTTTCGTCAAAGTACCATATAAATGTATTAGTCAGTTACATCGTATAGTAATCCTAAAATACGGGAAATGATGAAAATGTTTTTTTTATCACCCAATTTAAATTTCATCTGTTTCATTTTTCTAGGAGCAATGCGTATGTCAGAATGATTATCATGGGAATGGAATTAGTTGTGTCCCGAATTCTAATAATCAAGAAAAGCCAGATATTGTTACAGGAGATCACGGTAATGTTGTTGATGACATTAGTTTACAGTTTTAATATTTAATCATTTTATATATGATTGTAAATCATTTCAGTTTATAAAACTAATCATACTATTATCTTTATTGCATTCAAAACTGATTAAGTTAAAAGGCATAAAAGTGAAAACGTTTTTATGTAAATTGATAAAGTGCTGCCATAAACTAACACATCAACCAAATGGAAATAGTAATATTTGGAAGTGTAATTAAATTTTTAAATTAAAAACAATTTAATTTGAAATTTTTTTACAGGTAAAGTTTGCCGTTCACATGAAGAATGTGGCGAGCATAGTAATTGCGTGTATAGCAATGAAGTTAACGCTTATCGTTGTATTTGTGTACCGCCATATTTTCATGATGGAGTGAAATGTGTGGAATCAAAAGGAGAAAATAGTAAGAAATAGAAATTCTGCAAAAAAGAACTTTATAAACAAAGACTAAAGATTACAAAACCTAAATTAAGCATTACTGGCATATCAATCTATTGCAATTAATTTTCCTCTACCCATCGTTAACCCTTTGATTTCAGTAGTACAAGAGGTCACTCAAAAATGAGTCATCTAAATGTTTAAAAAAGTTTGCTGAATCGATTTTTTCATTTATCTTTTTATAAAATATTATAAACTTTTTAACCTTTGTTTTTTTTTTAATTCTAAACTTCTTTTTACTATCCTGCTTCTCCAACTTCTTTTTGCAGATTCTAGTAATGAATTTCTAGAAGAAGCGCCATGCAATATTTTAAATAATTGTAATATTAATGCTGATTGCATCTTTGAAAAGAATGATCGTGGTGAAAGTGTATATCATTGTCGCTGTCGTCCAGGATTCTCGGGAGATGGTTATCGATGTACGATGACCTCTTTGGATAATCTTCCTGCATGTACGCTGCTTAAATTCCTATGCTTCTTCCAATGATTGCATGCAAAATTGACCGAAAAAGAGAATAGTATAATGTTAGTTAGGTATATAAATCTATTTTTCAAATTTCTCACCTTTCCTTCAACAATACAACTGTTATTTCGATAATTAGCATATTCACATATAATTAAATTATTAATTCAAACTATATCCAATATATCGAAAAAAACTTTCCAAATTTCGTTCTTATCAATTAAAATGAGAAAGAAAAAAGAAAATTCATTTGCACTAAAAGACTTATCAGTATATTTAATGAACTATGTGATAAATATAGATGATTTAATTCCGACCTAAATCACTTTACTGATATTTCTTTAAAAAAAAGCTCCCTATGTGGCATTGACAACATTGACTAGTAGGCGAATTTTTTACAGATGCTGTATTAGGATGTGATCAGTTGGGTAATTGTGATTTAAATGCGGTATGTGTTTTGGATGCATATACCAACCGTCATTACTGCCGATGTTTGGATGGTTTTGATGGTGATGGATATATGTGTGAAAGTATCACACAAGAAAATACCCTTAAACCATCATCTTTGCTTCCTGGTAGCTTCTTTCGAACGCTTCTCCTTACTTCGCTTTTTTCTTTACCGCTCATTTCAATGAATATTGATAAATTTTAATTTTAATTCGATAATTATTCCATTTTCTTCCATAGGAAGAAATGGAATAGTTATCGAATTAAAATTCTATGGAATCTATCCTATGGAATCCGGAAAAACAATTTCTTGATGTTAAGACAAGCAAGCATTTTCTTTCCTTCTCTATCCATTTTCTCATATTTTTCCTTTTTATGGAATTGCTTTTATCCATGGGCTTTAATTTATATGTGCCAAAAAGTAAGATAAAAACAATTATGATTAGATATTAGGCAAATTACTCTCAGTGAAGATCCATTTTATTTGAAATCGATCAATAATTGTTGTAATAGTATCAGGAAATTTCTCAATATGTACAAAATTTGCAAATTTAAATTTTCATAACAGAACCAATAGATGCTAAAATTTGCCGCGAAGCAAGTGATTGTCATCAGAATGCGCATTGTGTAATTCGTGAAAATTCATTGGATTATTTCTGCGAATGCTTACCTGGCTATCGGGGTGATGGTGTTACGCGATGTACTACTGCAGGTTTGATTTATTTTAAAAATGAATGGACACCGGTCATCTTGAATTCATTTCTCACATTTACTCTTTGTTGGACACTTTATCGCATGTTGTTACAGCAAATTCCAGTAAGACTCTGGTCGGTTGAAGAATTTAAAATTCAAATCTATCAAAAAATAAGTGTTCACAAAAGTTTTCTAATTGCTAATTATTCTATTATTTTATTCTTATTGTATGATAAATAATTATTAACTAAAAAAAGTACTTCAAATCACCAAAATTAATTGATGGACTAATTTTTTTTTGGATTTTAAACAAATATTATTATGCTACACATCTTTCTGCCTTCTCAGCTATTCTTTGGAATAATTAATGAATTAATTAGTCGAGGGAGATAAGAAGAGAGAGAGAGTGAGAGAGAGGAGAAGAGAGTTGTTCTTTCGTATCAGTTTGTTTATCGATTTCATTCGTAAGTTGCTGATGCTGAAATTATACCATTTTCTTTTATTGGAATTTCAAATATAAATTGTAGATAATTGCATACCCGGTGATGAACATACATGCCATGAGAATGCTGCTTGTATATTTGAAGAAGCTGAAAGAGTATATACCTGTAAATGTGCACAAGGTATGTTTTTTTCTTTAAAAAAATTGTTTAGGTTTTAATTTTAGAAATTCGAGCTTCTTCCCTCTTCTAAGAGTTATCAGTAAAAAATTGAAGGTTTTGTTGGTGATGGACGACGATGTGTAGCGCAACATGCGGTAACATGCGATGAACAACCAAGAATTTGTCATCATAATGCACAATGTGTTTACAGCAGCGATGAGGGACGATATAAGTGTGTTTGCAAATATGGTACTGTTGGCGATGGATATGGAGATTGTCATGAAGAAGGTTGTTTGTTTTCATTTGAAGATCAAGAAGAGTCAAGGTTAATGCAGAAGGAAGTGGGAAAAATGTAGTACTAAATTAAGAATTTTAAGATTTCAAAAATCTTGAAACAAACTTTTAATCTCAGATGTTAACTTATCCTGAAGGTAACTGCATACATAAGTCCTTTAATCTCAGGTAATTATGTAAGCACAAAGTAATTAGTTGTTATTGTTTTAGAAATCAGTTAACATTTTGCTTAACTTTTCATATTCTTATATGTTAAAGTCCTAGTTTGATCGTACCATTCCCGTTCTCTCTTTAATTTCATATTTCTAATTTAGTTTTTCTTTTATTCACATCACTCTTAAATTTTGCTAGCCAAATTAAGCCCAATATTAGTTCTGGGCCAAAACAATATTTATAGCTTATTAAATATCATTCAAAAGTAGCTTGAATTTTTTTTAAATTAACCTCTCTCGCATTTCGTGTATTGTTATTTTAGTTGAATTGCACCGTTGCGGTGAATGTTCATCGCATGCACGATGTGTGCACATTAAAGCGGATAATTCGTGGAGGTGTCGTTGCATGCAAGGATATATAGGCAATGGCCATTTATGCACATTATATAGTTTGTTATTAATTCTTGCACTTTTATTTCATTTTGCACTTTTTCCACTTAATATTTTGCTGCTATTAATGGAAGTTATAAGATAATCAATAATTTTTTGCTGCATCTATCTGATTAGAATTATCAAAATGAGGAAAAAAATATCATTATCTTCAAGTATAAGAGAGAGAAAGAGAGACATTAACATATGAAAGCTGATACTAATATTGCGATATTTATAATAAAGCTAACATTGCGATATTGCGATATTGATAATAAAGCTAACATTACAATACTGTGCAAGTGTTTTATACACTTATTCGCATGACTTACAAATACTGCATTATTCGTCATTTGCATTGATATTTATGTTAATGCACTCTTTTAATATTTATTTTATCGAGAATGATATTAAATTTGAAATAATATAAGCAAATATTAGCTTAAAATTGAGAAGATATAAGTGAAAATTATTATTTATTAACGAATAAAACATGCAAGAACGGACGTAAGTTTGATTGTATGATTGTAACAAATTTTGAAATCGTTTAAAAGAATTATTTTATCATTATAAAGTTTCCATGATATTTGCAGCTAATTGTTTGGATGATCGATCATTGTGTGATGAACACGCGGAATGCGTACCAAACGAATATGGTCATTATATTTGCAACTGCCATTATGGATATCATGGGAATGGTCGAACTTGTACACGTATGTAATGTACAATAATAGGAATTTGATCTTTTGTAGAGAATGAAAAATTTGAAACATTAATGATCGGTCATTCAATGATATAATGGAATAATGACGCGTAGCATAATAAAAAAACAGTTTTTTATATCTCTCATTAAAATTGATAAATCATTGTTTTATATTTTCTATTGTTGGCGTTTTTTTCTTTTTTGATATCATCTAATAAGTGGTGGTATTTCGAACAAATATAATCAATTTAAAATTACAATTATAGCAGATAGTGAAAGTCGTGATGAAACGTTACTTATTTGCCGCGGTATGACAATAATTCAGAAAAGTATTAATCCTGATTTACCAGGAAAACAGGTATATTTCCTAGAGAAAAATATCAATATTTTATTATGATAAATTTAATCTAATTAACTGTTTTCATTGTTTTATTCTTTTAGCTCGTAGTGGTACCGCATCAAATAGCCGTTGGTATTGACTTTGATTGTCAGGAGGAACGGATCATCTGGAGTGATATTGCTGGTAAATAATAATTAGAATTGAATTTTAATTTAAATTAGACGGTGTTATTGCTGAATTGATTGAATTTTTTTCCACATATTTATGAATACAAGGAAATTTAATTGGTATAAATAGCGCAGAGTGAAACCCATCAAGGAAACTAAATGTTTTTCTGATGTGAAGATCAGTTTGCGTCGTAGTTTATCATTGTTTTTGCATATGAAAATGAAAAAAATTGGTTTAAATTATCCTGATATTTTCCTTGTTGTTTAAATTATTATTATTACAGGTCATTCGATTTTATCATCATCAATAAATGGAACAGACGAACAAAAATTTATGGATTCGGTGCTGAAAAGTCCGGAAGGTGTTGCTGTTGATTGGTCTTCACGTAATGTATATTATGCAGATTCGGTTAAAGATGAAATTGGCGTGGTCAGTCTTGACGGGAAATATTATAAAACGCTTATCAATGAAGGATTAGTAAATCCACGTGCTTTAGCTATTGATCTCACGGACAGGTAATAAACTGATTAATGTCAAGTTTTTGATAATTAATAATTTGTTTTAAAAAAATTTGAGATCAAACGCTTTTTTAGGTATTTGTACTATTCGGATTGGCATCGTGAAAATCCAGTAATTGGACGCGTGCGTTTGGATGGTACTGGAAATTCGCCGTTTGTAACCACAGGAGTGAACTTGCCAAACGGTTATTTTATTGTTAAGCTATAGTTAATAAACGTAAATATGTAAATTAGACATAAAATTAATTTGACTCTTATCGAAGTCGATTTCTTGCATATATCCAAACTAATATATGTTGATCTAATATATGTTGCTACGTTATTGTTGAGTACAATGGACTTAAAGGAGGTAATAGGTCATTGATATCGTGCAGTTTTCCTGTGCCGAAAACTATATCCGTTGGCCAGTTCAGGACTTGCCGTACTTATGCAGCGACGTCAATTATGCTGGGTAGATGCTGGTTTACAACATTTATCGTGTATTGACTTAAATGGAGACAATCGTCGAGTTGTTTATGCTCCACTTCAATATCCATTCGGATTAACTGTCCACAACGAACAACGTTTCTACTGGACTGATTGGAGCGAGTGCGTCTTAATTTTTATTTTTTCCAATTTTTTTGAACAATTGAAAAATATCGATTGATTTGATTGATTTTTCGTTTAAAAAAGAAACAAGCTTACATTTTCCATTTAAAAAAGCGAAACAAAACTGATTTAATTATTCTGAATTGTTCAACTATATTTTATTATAGCAATAAAATTCATTCGGTATCAGTAAATGGGGATGGATATATATCATTTCTGGCAACGATCGGTGGTGGTTCAGGACGATTGTACGGTCTTGTTTCTGTACCGTTACAGTGCAAAGGAGGTTTGCTTTTCTTTTGTAATAGGTAAATTACTCTTTGAAAACAATCAATAATTTAATGAATAATTTCTGCTGATAAAGTAATGATATCGTACATTGTCCGATATTTCTCATTTTTTTAGTGAGAATTTCTTTTTTGTTCTAATTTGAATTTTTCATTTAGAATCTCTTTTTCAGTTGCTACAGCTTGTGCAGTGAATAATGGTGGATGCGAGCATTTATGTCTACCGGGAAAGACAGATGTAACTTGTGCTTGTCCTGATAATATTGATAGGTGCTGATCAAAATCTATGTTAATGATCAGCTAGGGATCAAAGGAATTGTTTGTTTTTTTTGCGATTAAAACCTTGATGGTTTCATTTGGGAAATTTTAAAATTTTCTAAATGAAAATATCATTTTTCATTTAATAGTGATTGGAATAAAATTCAATATTAAGTAATTGATCACAATGAGCTTAATGATTTGATTATAACGAATAAATGACCTCTTGCAACTGTCTCTTAATGATGCTTTTTTCTTGTTTATCCATCGAAGTATTTTTCACAATCAATTATTTTTGTTTTTGGGAAGAAAATGTTTACATTGTGATATTTGCTTTGAATTGAAAAGTTCAAAAATAACTTTTCAAATTATTTTTATGACTTTTAAATTATGTAATTTTTTTTAAATTGTCTTTTTATAAGATTACTTTGGTTTAATTCTTCCCAAAATAATTCCTATAATTATTTATAAAATATTAATAGAAAGGAATGGAATGTTTTTTTGAGCCATTCTTTTTCTTTTATTTTATATTTTATTCATATTTCATAATTTTCAATGTTTTAATATTTAATGAATACTATATATGAAAAACTATTATCTCGAAATAAAATTTTTGTTATTTAACAGTGATGAAATATGCAAATTATTTGGCTTCCACAATTTTTTAAATAATTAAAATATAAATAAAAAAATGAAACAAAAGGCGGTTTTTATTAAAAACATGGTGATAATAAAGCTACCAAATAAATAATAGCAGTAGTAGTAATAATAAGAGTAGTAGTAGTAATGTCGAAGAGTGTGAACTAATTCTAATTAACATCAAAGAAAGCCGTGAGTGTCAATAAAAGATCGTAATGTATTATTACGAAAATTATATACATATAAATAAATTTTCATGCCTTTACAAAATGAAAGCCTCAATTGTGACGCATAAATGAATAATTATTCGAATAACGAAAAAGAATGTTCGTCATTAATGATCAAATGAAACAATGCGAAATTTACATAAAATGATGAAATCCATCTTTTTGATTTGAAATTAGCACAGCTGGTTTCGTTACAATACAGTTATGGTTGATACAAAAACGAGACCATCAAAATGTTTAACATGGATTTTAAAAAAAAAGTTGGAAGCGTAATTTTTGCCGTATGGAATAAAACTTTGTTAAATTATTTGACGGAAAACTTCGAGAATTGGCATTGAAAGGTTTGAGAAGGAAAACTTCAGATTAATCATAGAAATAGTATCAATCAAATTCTTCGCATAATTTTTGTTTTCCATTCTTCTCTTACCCTCTCTTTCTACTACAACAAATTAATTCCAAATTACGCATCACAAAATAAAGACTAAAGATTAATTGAATTAATAAAAGTAGTAATTATAAAAATTATTGGTCATTAAAGTGCTAAACTATTAGACAAAAATATTTCAAAAAAAAGCATTCATTTCTTTCTTACAGCTTATATATATTAATGAATAAAGGAAAAGAAAAGTAAATGAATGTGGTTGAAACAAAATTAAAGTTAAATTAAATAAAGAAATAATAAAATATTTATTTTTTCCTTCGTTGTTTTATAAATGAGAAAGTTAAAATAAAAAATTAAAATTTGTATATTTGAAAATGATTTTTTTTTGCCTTTATGTCCATAAATTTGTGATAGAAATTAATTATAATTGTTTTAAAATGATCTGAATTGAAAAGTTTTAATTCTTTGAAACAATTCTTATTAATTGAAGCAATTAATTAATAATTTTGAAAGAAAATCAAAATCCTATCATGAAAGCATTCATTCAGAAACACATTAATATGAGAATGGAAATAGAATCGGAAGTGGAAAAAGATAGAATTAATTATTTCCATCTTTCTTCAGCAATTGTTTCCATTCCTTTTTTTTCAAACTTCAATTCTTTAATTTTTATAGTAAATGTAACTGATCGTATAAATATGAAATAGCAAAATGAGCTTCTTATATGCTAATTTTCTTTTTAAATAAATCAACCAATTATTGCTATTCTTTTTTACAACAAACTATTTATTCCTCTATCATCTCATCCAATATTTCCACCTCAGTACTTACCAAAATCTGGCAATAAAACTTCCAAGGAGCTAACATATCAGAAATTTTATATTACAAATAAAATACTTTAAATAGTAATTTAAATTTTTAAAATTATTTACATTAATTTATTTGGCGCTTTTTTGCTATTTATTTTAGTTCAATTCCCCTATTTTATTATTATCAAAAGAGAGAGAGAGAGAGAGAGAGATAGGGTGGAGAGAAATGTTGTGAAGTTTGTTTAACATTCAATTAACTGTCAATAAAATGATGCTCGTCAAAGAAATAAACTGAGTAGAAATTAAATAGAAACTAAAAAGGGAAAAAAATTAGTTTTGTGTGCTAAATCATTAAAGAAAACAAAAGTTTGTTCCTTTGTGCATTAATCTAAAGAAGAGAAAAAGATAAAAAATGAGCGGAGATAATTGGTTGGCATTAATGCATTGAGTAGAAACAATCCTTTAAAAACTATGCCAATTATTTTGTTATCAATTTATCAATAGATCAATGTATTCCATTAACATTCTCTTATCAGCATAATGTCTATCAAAAAAGTGATTTCTTTTTTGGTCAATGATAAAATAATTTATATTTTATTTAACAAATATTTTCTATCTTACAAGAGAAGAAAAACAAAAAGGAACTATATAAAATTAAAATGCATTAAAATTTTGAGAAAAAAGAATGAAACAAAAACTGAGGTGTTAAAAGTGAAACGCAGTGCTTTTTGTTTTAGAAACAAATATTTTGTACCTGCGATAAGATAAGATATCATTTTGGCATAAATGCATAAAGTTTTTCGAAAAGCGGTAAATTAGCACCAAATGAACGCTTAATTTTAGGCGCATTAGGCCAAAGGTTATAATCCGAACAATACAATAGCCGCATCCATTTGTAGTAATGTATCATTTTTTCTTCTCTCCATAATGGGCAGTTCCTGAATAAAATTTAATAACTATTATTCTGCCACACAAAGAGACAATATTGAAACTAATAGACAATAATTACATTAAAAATACTCGAAGATGGGATACTGTAAGATACTGTAATTGGGTAAGACACTATATATTATGGTTTCATCACAGTAAACTAGAAGCTTTTAGGAAATAATGGCATTAAATTTATTTGACTTGTTTTCACCTACATTAAACATGTAAATTGACTTGATTATATATTTTTTACCTGTGTTTTTTCAATTATTTATTTATGTCTTTCAGGTAGACAAGCTGTTTGAAATTTTGCCAATAAGTGATTTAAAGACATAAATGATTTTTTTGGAAGTTTAAAATACCAGCCTAAAAGCTTCATCTCGTGCTTCATGTTCTGGACTACAGTATGCTCGAAGTTGTGTATTGTATTGCCTGAGAATTCGTGATAGATTTCGTTTATCTCTGTCCATATCTTTCAGAATATCTGGTGTTAATTTTTCGCGATTCAAATAACACTTTTCAACCGGTAACACTTCAAACGGTGCTTCATCCTGCAACTTCTCTAATTTATTCAAAAATCGAGTGAAATATGATAAATATCTCGAAAAAATGCATAGCATTACAAATATAAATAACTTCGATAAAATTTTTCAACTAAACAGCCTATTTTAATGATTTAAAACAATATGGCAAATAATAATTATTAGTAAATCATCGCGTGAATTTCATTTAAATTTCATTAAGCTAATTTTACTTCACTAAGACTTTTAGGAGAAAATTTTTAATGAAATTCTTCTCAAAGGGACTGTTTCATGGAGAATAATTATAAATTATTTTTTTCTTAGTTGTTTTTATTATAAAGCATTAAATTATGCAAATTTGATTAATAGGATGAGAAATTTCCAAAAATTCCATATTTATTACTTCTGAAAATAAATTGGCAATAATTGACTATTTGTAATTTTAATGAAACTAAACATTTAAAAAAGTAATGAGTAACAATCCAATTGGATTATGATTATTAAATTAAACGACTGTCAATACAGTCATTAGTATTTACCGAAAAAAAACTAAATGATTAAAAAATTAAAAACAAACATTTTTGTATAACATAAATTATTGTATCATTCCGTTTTTCATCTTTGTATTTTATTTAGTTTTTCGAAAACATAAAATGTTGCGTATTAAAAAAAAAATATTTTAAGCTAAATTGTCAACAACGGAAGAAATTTCAAAAAAAAAAAGTTCACCTCATCATCAATATCAATTGGTGGTAAATCATCCACATATTCAGGCTGTGAAATGCTAATTCGATCATGATTATCCCATCGACGATCAGATCGTGGAACAATATGCTGTTCCACTTTTCGTTCAACTTTAAGTTCAAATCCACCTAGCGATGCTAATTTTTGTTCATCCGTTTTTCGTTTTTTATTCCCATTACTTTCTTTTAAACTACTTGATTCAATCATTGAATTATCACTTTCTTCATCACTTGATGCTGGCGTTGTTTGCACTGATTTCTGAATATCAATAACAACCGGTTGTGTGGCATTTTCATCCATAAGCCGTATCTCGATCCGCTCAATTGGTGTATCCAATCGCTCTACTACAAATTCATCAACACTACCCATTATTTAATTAATCATTCCGGAAAACTGAATTTTTTTTCAAAAGGTGAAAATTTTAAATATACTGAAATGTTTAAGAACAAATACAATTTCTTCATCTATTTTTAAATTAAATTCTATTTGATTAGAAAGTTTGAAATTGCTTTATTAATATTTCAACAAAAATCTGCATAAAAAAATTGGTGCTGAAAAAGTTTTAATTTAGTAGAAATGTTTCAAATTTTATTTTATCAAATCTCAACTATTCTTATCTCATTTCTCTTTTTCATCATTCATTTCGGTTGGAAAGGAAAAGAAATCTATATATCAACAAATGATATTTGAATAAATTATTAAGGAAAATACCCCTAAAAGAGGTAGAAGTATCGATAATAACGGCTTTTTCGCTATCAGCCAGAACCACTGAATCAACATTATTGCTCGTACCAATTCGCATTGGTCCACTTAGCACCAAATTAACTTCAAACAATAGCAGATTTAATTTCCAGATGTTATTGTTGAACATCATCTGTAATTCAATGGATTCCAGAGCAATGCTGTGATATGTTGAAATTCGTCAATATCTCTAAGATTTGTTCTATATCAGAATTTTGTTTAAGATAAGTGATAATATAGTGTAAATTTAATTTAAATTTGTGATTTCAATGAGATAGAAGAGGAAGAAGAAAAGAAGAGTTGAAAGATGCAAGAAGTTGAATTATGGGATCCATTAATTCAATAGATGATTTTCGGAATACAACTTAAAAAGATCGATAGAAATTGATCAGCCATATCAATTTATCACTGTTAGGCCTAATGGTAATTAAAATGAAAAGAAATGACCAAATAATTATTACTCTTAGCTTTTGTTTTCTTGCTGAAATGCTTTTCTATGATTTAAATCTTTTTTAGCATTTATTCAAATCAACATTTAATTCGAATTGTCAGTTTAATTTACAATAAGTTTCATTTCTCATTTCATTTCATTTCTATTTCACAGCAACTTCGAAAGATTTCATTTATTTAAACTAAAAGTACTAATCAATCATTAGACTACAAACTTTCAAAACAATTGCAAAACAGTAATAGAACAAATAGTAGCATAGCGATGAAACATTAAGAAAATAAACTAACAAAAGCTTTGAAATAAATAATAAAGTTCGATTCACATCAAAATGTTTAATTTAAAAAATTCCACATTTGCTAGGTAGGATAAGGTAAGGAAGTATTAGTATAGGTAAAACGTAAAATTTGATATCAACGAGAGAAAATGATTGTGAAGAAAGCAATTATACTTAGTAAAATGTAGCAGTAAGCCAAAAATTTTTGTGATGAATGGAAGAAAGTGAAAAAGTTAAGGAAAAAAGAAGTGGAAAAATTCAACAATTTTCTCTCAAATTGAGAGAGATGATAGTGATGATAAGAAAGAAGAAAAATTAAAAGGTGCGGGTAACCACAACACTAAAAATTCAGCTTTTTTAAAACTTTTTTTTCGTGGTGAAATAAGTGTTGCTGATAATACTAATAATGATAGCTGGAGCTAAACAGCTGAGGGGAAAGTTGGGCACACGGATTGAGAAGTGATTGGCAAGTTATATCCTCCTTCTTTCTTCCCTGTGAAGGATAGATTTACCTTTGTGGAACAGTTGTTACATTTTAAAAATTGTTTCAGACTTCTATTGCATAGTCTTGCAATTGGAAAAGTTTAGTGTGTTACCACATCTGGAAAATCCTAGAAATATGCTTGCAGAAATTGAACTTTAAGCGTATTCACCAAATTTGGCTTAGCTCCTCATTCTTTCAAGCTTAGGGCATTAGGTTAGACTACTAAGGTCAAGTTTTGAATTTTCAAAATTAGAATTATTTTTTATATGATTTCTAATCTACTTAAGATAATTTTTTACATTATTTTCACAAACGATTTCAATTTTTTATGCGAAAAAATTCCATATTTTTTACATTTCCAACTTTTGCCAACAAAAATTAAATTTGAAAAGGATGAAGAAAAAATTTTAAGAAATGGAATTCTATCAAATATATCCACTATTTTCGTCTTTTCTTTTAGATGACAAAAAAAGGTTTAGTAGTAGTGATATTAGTTAACAGTATTAGTAGTAGGATAAGTAAATTTGTAGAAAATGATTAAGATGACTTTCTAATTTTTGAAATAAAAAGAAGTCAATCAAATCAGAAAAAATAAGATAATAAAGAAATAAGTAACGATTAACTATTAAGGAATAAATTAATTCGCAACATTGCTACTAAAAAGTATAAATAGATTTTTAAAAATGGTATTTTGGTAAAAATTATATTCACAAATAGCATTTTGGGAATTATAACTCATTAAATCACATTTTAAATAAAATAAATTTTCTCCCAAAAATAGATATCTTCTAGTAAATTCGAAAAAGGAAGAGAAAAAACATAAGATAAAGGAGAGGATAATATCTAATTTCATCATAATTATCATTAAGAGATTCATAGATTTCATCTGAAAATTTTCCCTTTAACTTTATTTCATTTTTTAAAAAAAATTTATTTCAAAAATTAAAAAATTAGCTTTAATTATTTTCTAATTAAATTTACCTATCTTACTACTACTAAGCCTTTTTTGTCATCCAAAGAGAGAAATGAATGAATTTAAATTTGTAATTTTACTTCTTATCCCACAATGCAATATAAATAGTTATAAAAAATTCGATATGTAAGAATGAAAAGATTTCAAAACTACGATTCTATTTTAATTTTTTAAACAAACAATTATCAATAATAAATAAAAGGTTTAATAACAAAATTTGTCTAATGTTATATCCAACCTATTTTCATCTGATAACATTCTCAAATTTCATCAAATAGAGAATATGATAGATGAATGAATAGTTTGATAGAAAAGATTTTGTTGATTAATCATTCGCATAGATAAAATGGCAGAAACATGTGGCGCAATGTTAAAGTTCAGCATAAGGTCAAATGCATCCTCAAACAGGTAAGGACAGGTAACAATTATGCATAAAATATGCTAAAATATTTAACAAATCATTGCATATTATTAAATGAATAACAAGGACTATTAATATTTTACATAAATTGTTAGAGAATTTCATAGCATTAAGTGATTGAAAGATTTATTCAATTCAGTTGGAAATTATAATTGATTTGGCGGATTGATTCATTAAGGAATAAGAAATCAAAAAGGAAAATTAACAATAAAACTTATTAGTAAATTGATAATATTAAATAAAAGAAATAAGGTTGATATTTTTGGTGATGAGAAGGATAAGATTAACAAAAGATGAAAGTTTTGATGAGTTGATAAGTATTTATGATACTGAAGGTATTATCAGATTAAATTAAATGAAATCAAAAATGTTACTGAAAGAATATGATGCATAAAAAAGTGGCAAATCTTGTTTGCTTTAATTTCATATGAAACATTATGTCTTGAAAGAGCTTATGGTATCGGTTGCCATCTATCTAATCTTTGTTACTCACTCTATTGTTGAAATTAAAAACGCTCACTTTTTCTAGCTGGCATCATTTCTGAATTATATTTTGCAGCTTAACAAAAAGTTAATTTACAAAATTGATACTTCATATTACTCATCGTTTCCAATTAATAAATTTACTAATGATTGGAATAATACAACCAACATGTCAACAATGCGGAAAATATGGACCACCAAACTGTTCGTTATTTATTGGCCGTAAATGCTTCGAGCCTGCAATTATTAATGAAAATTACAGAGAATGCTTTAAAGCAAAAGTATGAAGCGGAAATAAACAATTGGCAATACTCGAAACTATTATTGAGTAAATTTCACAATTAATTTAATATCAATCGGACAGCAAATATTCCTTTAGAAATTCATTAACTGATTTTTACGAATGTGAAAAAATTATATGATGAAAATCTTCAAATGGTTAATTAGAAACTAGCCAAAAAGAAGGAATTACAGACCATACTAAACTTTAGATACAGAAGCCTATGCTGTTATTGTTGTTATAGTGCGGATAAATATTTTACATAATTTTTAAGTGATGAAATCAAACAAAGAAGTTTAACTTTTTTGATAAAATATTTTGAAAATTTTTCAAAATGATACTTTGCAAATAAATTATATGCAAAATATTTTTCATATCATTCAAAATTAATATCATTTAATAGTTTATACAAAGAATTTTGCAGCAAATATGACTTCTTGTATTTTTTGGATAGATTACATCAGAATTGGTGGTCATCGTCAACAGATGAAGGTATACGAATGGTCATCTATGCAAATTGTACGGAAGAGAAAGAACGGCTTACTATTGCTCAATTAGAAATATATGGATCTCAAAAATGTTACTATTGAACGGTTATTTTGTTTCCAATAGCACAATTTATTCGATTATGTTAATTAGACTGTTTTTTTTTTCATTGAAAGAAAGTGCATCATCTACCAACAATATTTTGTTGGATTAAAATTAACTTAAATTTTAAAGAAATTAGTAGTGCAGAAATTTTAATCAGAAAATATTACATTATTTATTATATATGTGTGGTATTATGATTAAATAAAACCATATGAATCAGATCGATTTTGAATTTGGTAGATCGGATTATAAAGTCTCATCAAAACCGTTCATTTACTTCTGTATCCGACGCATGGTATATTAACTATCGGAAGGTCAGTTGCATAAAGATTGTCGCTTAATCTTTTTTAACAAGTTTTATTCATCTTTAGTGTTTTCTTATTTTGCAGAAAGCAAGATTTATTTAAATTTGTTGTTTAAATCCTCCCAATATATTCAGTGTGTAGGAACCAATCATTATTAATCTGACCTTATTTTGATTGACCTCTTTGTCGAAACTATCCTTATTGATTCACTAATAATTTTCGTGAAGTATGACCTTTCCCTTCAGATCAATGGTTACAATACATCTAAATCATTCTTTCTCTTTACTTCAATATTAACATTTACTTCACATCCATTCAACATGTTAATTTTACAATTTCTATTTACACTCGACATTATGCCAATTTCACAAACTTGTCTTCCAAAGATCAAACATCTTCATAATGAAGAAATGGACATTAAATCAATATTCCCAATTAAACCGATTAATGATTTAGAGGATATTGTTGCTGACTTCAATATTACCAATCATTTATACGACTATTATACACAAAAACAACTAAAAAATGAAGGTTAAATTTCTTTTGTTATTTTAATTGAAATAGCATATAATAAAGGAAATTTCTTTTTAAAGGATTTGAAGAGATAAGTAATGATAGATGATAAGAATGATATTGATTAGATGAACTGAACAATATGTACACTCTGTTATCATACAGAGCAATATAGATACTTTTTTCTGTTACTCTTTAAGAATTTAACATTTGTAATCACGCTTTTACTCCTAAATACACTAATGATAAACATTGTTCTAATAATAGAAGCGATATGATAATAACTGCCATTTATTGTTGTGCTGTTAATGATAAGAATGTGATAATTATAGCATGTCATGCATGTCCAGAATTTAAATCGACAAATTGTACAATTTTTAATGAAAATTTACGATGTTTAAAACCGAAAATATGGTATCATCGTGGTGATTATTGTTTGCATGCTAAATTCGCATGTAATCACAATCTTCATGCTTTGCAAGGACGATTGATTGATAAAAATGGATTGAAGTAAGTTGTTGTACCAATTGTACCGAAATTTCACATAACATTCAATATCACACCTTAGGATTAGCATCAACAAAGTAAGATAATTTTATAAACAATGAAATATTAATAAGAAGCGCAAAATATTTCTGAGAGGCGCAAAAGACCATACAGAAAAAGGCTTTTGATTAAGAATAAGAATTTGATAAAGTTATCAAATTTATCTTCAAATAATAATAAATCTTTTCGAAATTTCAGATTTTTTGAAATTTTCATTTTTTTTTAAAATATGAAAATGAAAAGATAATTTTGTTTGTTACAGCTTTATTTCACTTTTCAGTGATGATTACGCAGATCCAAGTGAAGATGATACAAAACATGAAACATATGGTGTACATCAATTACATCGATTAGATAAATCGATTGAATATTTTCCTATACGTAATCCTAAGCTATTTATACTTAAACGTTTACACTGTATGAGTGATAAAAGATGGTACTATCGATCTAATGAACCAGATATTATTATTCGAGTTGATCAAATTTTTTGTTTGTATGTTTTATAATTGAGATTATTAGTAAAATAGAGTAGTTTAACATAGATTGAGCAATTTCATTTATTTTATTAACAGACTTCCTTATTTTAAAAATTAACAAAATGATTTTTTTTCATTCGCCGAACTAAGGACTGTTATATATGACATTGCAAGAATAATATGATATCAATCAATATCTACCATAGTAGGATTTAAAACTTACTAATAATAAGTTATGAATAAGTTTTAAATTTAATTCTGCTTATTGAATATTATGTTTTGCTTTTTAAAAGTTCTTGAAAATGTTTCCATTTTACAGCTTTACAGAATTAATGAAATTTATAATTTATTTATTTTTAATCAAAATTATACCTTTTGAGTAAATGTTGAATTGTCTTCCGACTTGGTTGTATCCGACCTGCAATTATGATGAAAGTTAACTTTTGTATTTCATTTCGACGTATACAATATATTTATATATGCTATTCCGTAAACGATCAATCTTAGCATTTTGTTAACTAACAAAGATATTGACAGTTTTTATAATCATAAAAATATCACTATGTAAAAATATCATGAAATAAGAGAGAGAGAGAGAGATCAGATCGTGAGTTTTATTAAAAATTCAAAAAATGATAGTTGGTTGTATAAGTGTTGTTATGCACACAGATAGGATGAAATTGAAATTTAAGTGAAATGTAATATTCTTATCGTTAAAATAAATTGACTAACATTGAAAAGTTTAATTCATTTAAATGATAGAATAAGTTTAAATATATTAAACTAAATGATATAAAAGGAATATTAGATGAGAATGCTATGCTTTAAAATGTGTATGGGTATGATATGATAGTGTAGTAATGATAAATAATTTTGACGCAAAAATATATCTCATCTATCTATCAAATTTGACACATAGCTAGCAAATGATATGGGAACTAGGGAATAGGAATTATTATGGAATGATAATAAAATGTTAACATTTCACTGGTATCTGTGGCGATTGATTCAGACAATTCTTCATCACCTGCAACTGCAACTTCCAAATCCTTTAAAAGAGAATGAAAAGTGAATTTTAATGTAATATAAAAATTAATAAAATGATTAATCAAAATTAATAATATTTTATTATTCACAATACTTTGGTTTTTTCCTACAAAATGCTTTCAATCTTTCAAATTTATTGGGAGAAATTTTTGTTCATTAATTTAATACAAATTTCAATTGATTGCTTAATCATTTATTGAATGAAAAATTAATGAAACCAAATTGAAGTGAAAAGAAATTGTGAAATTAAAAATGACGAGACTTTTTTAGAAAGGATTTTAATGCGTTGTCCATTACGCCTGGTTTGTGGATCGAATAATTCACTGAAGTAACTATTTTCAAGAAAACGTGGACCAGAGAGACGACTGATCGGATCATACACCAATACTTGTGTTAATAAATTTAATGCATTTTGATCAGCGTGTTTTATTAACTACAAAATACAAAATAATTACAATACAAAATATTGTAAGAATTATAAAAGCTAATTAATTTGATTTTAGAAAATGATAATTTTCTAAAATAATTTCGTATTTCACATGATATTTAGCTTTTTTAATTTGAAATTTATGAAAAAACATACCTGTTTAAAACCATCAGGATTTGGTTTTTTCATTATCTAAAAATTTAATTTTTATTAAAAAGATCATAACATTGAATAATTTTAAAATAAATCTATCTAACTTAATAAATTAGTAAAAGATAAAGGAAAACTAAACAATAAAACAAAATTAATTTAAAATAATTAAAAAATATTCAAAGATAAGAAAATGTAAATATAATATAGATGAAGTGCCAGCTCCGTCTTATCATCATATAATAAGAAGATTGATATTTGCTACGATTCTTTTAACAGTAATTTTCTTTTAATCTAACTGATCAGGCATTCCTAATAAAATTTCTTTATTTATACAATATATTTTTTATTATATAAGTTTTAAAAAAAATGTAGAAGATTGAGGAAACGAACATCACCGCGGAAATCATTGCCTTGAAGGACTTTAGTGGTCACTCGCATTGCTGCAATATCACGTGCAGTTGGATATCCCAAAATATTGATTACAAGCTATAAATTGAAACTGTTGCAAAATAATTTCTTTTTTACAATTTAATTTATTAGAGAAAAAAATTTAACCTTAAGTTGTTGATTGGTTGTTTGTCCTGGAAATAGAACATGATTTTTCAAAAGTTCACCAAATACACAACCACACGACCATCGATTTGAAAAGAAATTTATATTATTTTATGGAAAAAATTTTGCTAAATCAAATCTGAAAATTAAAATCTCACCTTATGATTTTATATGCAAATTGCATATAAAACTAGACTAAAAAAAGACTAAAAAAACTATTAAATTAGACGATGACCTTCTGACCTTTGTTTTGTGATTCAATTTAAAAGTTTTCAAAACATCTTATATACTGATAGAATAAGTATACTGTCGCACTTGGATTTATCTAATTTATCAACGGTATAGGCTCTTATATGAATGGTATTCTATATAAATTTTTAAACATATATATATGTTTAAAATTTCTATATTTATCCTGTTGGATATTTCTATCTCCGCAGTTTATTCTATTAGATCTAATAGAATAAATCCGCGGGAGAAATAGGAGAGAAAAAAGAAAATCATTACCAATTTCGCATCGATATCGAATAGAACCTAAAATAAGTTCTGGTGCACGATAATATCTTGTCACATGATAGTGATACGATGTTGTTTTATTATGTATTATCTGTAAAACGTTGACACTATTTAGATAATACTTTTCAGATATTTGTAAAGAAATTTTTATTTGAAATGATATGATAACTACTAACTTTTGAAGATCCAAAATCAGAAATTTTAAGCATTCCACTTTTATGATTTACCAATAAATTTTGTGGCTTTATATCTCTGTGACAGACATTATTCTGCAATAAAACAAACAAGTATCAAATTCCTTTTGATGAATTGAAATTTTTTAGACTTTTTAAAAATTTCACTTTCAAATTATTAAAAATAAAACTTTTTCCAAATGTGCTTGTCCTCGGAATAGTTGCCAAATGTATAATTTAACATCCAAAATGCTTAAAGGACCGTATCGTTCTCGAACCTCATATAAATTCATTGGAAAAAATTCAAATACCAATGCCGTACATACCTGTAATTTAACAAAATGAATAAATAATTAAAATCGTCACCTTCATTCCACAAAAAAAAGAACTGAATGACATAAAGGCTAGTATTTTTAAATTACGAAATGTAACCGACCTTCTGATCAGGATATGTTTGGCTAAATTTATATAACAATTTAATAATATTTTTGTGATGCATCCGATTCAACATCATCAAAATTTGTATTTCTATTGGTTCATGGTTTGCTAAAAATTGCAAAATTAACTTTTCAGAGGAATTTGAATAACTGAGTTTGAATTACTGATTTCGAACTATAGAATGATTTCTGAGAATTCTAGTAGTCTAAAGCAATCAACAAAATTATTTTAAATTTTCTGTTGAAACTTTACTTTCAATCATAAAAAGCAATGAAAAAATTAAAACGCCGAAAAAAAGTGTAATAATTACTTTGTAAAATTTAACAGTTTCGAAATATTTACTACAAAATGAACGATTTTGTTGTTTTTGAAAAATTTTCAATTTCTTGCAAAATCTTATTAACTTATCACATAAAATTTTCATTAAATTAATCAAAGATTATGTTTATACTTCAAGTTGTTATATCGCTTTTCATTTTCATTTTAATATAATAAAATTTTAAAATTTATTCATTCCATTTTGCTAAAAATTAGCTCACACTGTTCAGACCATGATTTCTTGACAGCAATCAATCGACGTTGTGGTTTCTTAAGTAATCCCTTGTAAACATTTGAAAAAATTCCATTAGAGAATAGGTGAAGATTCTCCATTACCAATTCTACCTGAAAAAAAGATATTCGCCCAATTAAATTTATCATTTATGGCTTTTGATACCTAATGAATTCTCAAAAAAAGAAAAGAATTATAAAATTAAAATTGATCATTATTAATTCTATGAGATTGCAATTGAAATAATTTTAATGAAAACCGTTTCATTCTTTTCAAATCCTTCTGCAATTTGCTTGACCACATAAGCCGCTGACATTTGCTAGTTCTTACTGAGAAAACAAAATGAACAAAATGACCAATCGATTTTATGATTATCATTTAAGTACTATTCAATTAATTTGCATATGTATGGAAATTTGATAGAAAACAATGAATTTAATATGTAAATATTATCGAAGTTTATTTTATGTTGAATGATAGTTTTTCAAATTTTGAATTTAGAACTAATATTTTAGGATTAGTTGAAATAGAAATTGAGGTCAATTTTTTAGTGCTATTTGGATATGCCTAAACTATTCATGCAATTTTACTCTTTAATTATTAATTTGCAAGGAATTATTTGGACGATGAAATAAAACAGTAGTATCTATGCCTCATTATTTAGACATACACCAGGGGGAAGTTGGCTGTTTATTAAGCCTAGGAGATATCAAAATGACAAAAATGATGAATAGACAAGAATATTATCGAATGAGCAGATAGCTGTCCTTTGTTTAATTCAGTTTAAGAAAGGTCGCGATGTCTCTTAGTTCAAGGATCAAAATTAATGTACGTGAAATTCTTGACGGTCCTTCATGTGAATCGTAGATGATAAATTCATATTTTGTCATTTATCATTTTCATCATATATGTTTTATTTCAAATTCACTGTTCATTAGTATTTGGACGCAAATTCTGCTATGATCAATGATGAAGTGTAATAGAAACCAATGAGACAGTATTATATGGGAACAAATGGAAGATCACTTGAGCATGCAGCTTTTACGTATTCCAAAGGATAGAATAGAAAGAATGAAGAGATTGAAATGATAGCGATGAATTTCTAGCATGAAATTTGATATTTCAAATAGAAATGATACCATAAATTCCAAACTGCTATCACTTATTTCTGAAATAAATCAGTATTATAATTATAATAATTTTGTATAGCACTTGGCGCTTTCATTAGCCAAAATTATGAGATTTGTTGATTTGATAGTCTATTAGTTTCAATAACCAGAATGATCAACTAATTAGCATGACCTTGAAACTACGTCGACTTCTGTATCTCGTTTTAACGACACTGGTGAGCGGAATAATTGCAGAAAGAAGCCAAAAGGACTAGCATAATCTTAAAGGAGGATTTCATTCATAACAAGGTGTTCTATGTTACTATCCTGAGAATAATGTATACACATTTCTTCATCAAGCCTAATTCGAACTTCTTGCACTATATTACTAGCCTTTTCTGTATTCTTTTCCTGTTTAGTATCCTCCTTTTTTTCAGTAGTCTTCTTCTCTTCCTCTTTCTCGCCTTCTTTTTTCTTTTCGGCATCCTTATTATAGTCTTGCTTCATCCCTTCTTTTTCCTCTGCCTTCTTGTTATTTTCTCCTTTCTTATATTTCTCTCCTTCTTTCACTTCTCCTGTCTTTAGCTCAATGGTTTTTGACTAAAAAAAGAATTTCAAATTTTACTCTTTGTAAGTTGCCTCAAGTATGGATGAGTACTATTAGTGTGATCTACCTGAATTGAACTTGTTGTCTCTTTGATCTGCGGTAGAATGAGTGCCTGACCAGGAGCGCAGGCTACTTCTGGACAGTTCCGCACGCAAGTTGGTCCTGGTGGAACTCGAAGTTGTTGGAATGTTACCTGCAATTTGTAATATTTTGGTGCTTACTGTCGTAACAAGGATGGATAAAATTCTTTGAAAAATTAGTATGAAATAAAGTTCATTTAGTTGAACGTGAAACAAAATATCGGTGATTGTCGTAAGACAATTTAACATTGCTGAAGTATATTTAGCATGTATATTTTCTTCGATAATTTATATCGATAATAAATTTCCACAAATATTTCATTAATTAATTGGAATAAACCTGTAAATCTTCGTCGATGCAAACAACAGCACCTGCATTATTGAATTGTCCGGCATAATTTGGAGCAGAAAATATGGTAATTAACTTTTTACCAACCATCAATTCATATCCATCTTGTACGACCTAAAACTTTTTATTGTCATTTTTTAAGGAAAATTTTAAAACAGAATAAAAATTCATTACTTGAATTATCCCTCCTCATCTCCTTTATGTTTAAGAAAAAAAAATTACTTGATGAGCTCGGATGACAAGATCAACTTTTAGCATTTTGCAAGCGGAAAGCAAAACACCTTTACCGAATGAATAACTAAGACCACGTGGAGAATAGAACCAACCATCTCCTTTATTTGTTGGATCTGACCAAACTAAATCGATCAATAATCCACGATCCTAAAATATAATGATAGATTGAGATAATAAAATATTTCTACCAATTATAAATATACTATTAAAAAAGTGCATAATGCATTTAATATATTTATTAGGAATGGAAATTTATTTACCACTGGCTCGCAAGGACGTTTAATTTGGCGGAGTTGTTCGAGACTGGTAAGATGTGGTGATAGACCACCGTGCATGCAAAGGACACGTTTGGCGATAAGTCCAGCCATAGGCATACGATTGAAAAATGATTGGAAATCCCACCATAAGCCAACGCTAAAACTTTTTTTTTGAAATATCATTTCAAAAAAGTTTTAGAAAATAGAATTTTGTAACGTTATCAACGCTTAATAATGAAAACTATCTGAGAATATTTGCAATTAAAGTTTTAAATAATTCACCCGTATTTAAGTGCGCATTCATTATAAAAACCATATATGCGATTTACTGCCGGAGTTTCGTGGTTCCCTCGAAGCAAAAAAATGCGATCGCGATATTTCACTTTCAAACATAGTAGAAAAATTATTGTTTCAATGGATTGTGGCCCACGATCAATATAATCACCCAAAAAAATCATTCTCACATCAGGCACTTTACCGATAACTCCAAATAGTTTATGCATATCCTGTATTTTTGTGTTTCAAGTTTAGCAGCAGATTAAAGTTTAAAATTTAAACAGTTTAGCATATGAGGATAAGTGATCAACAGAGGAGCAGTTTCACTTTTAATTTCCCTTCTTCTGGTTCTTCAAATATATATTCTCCCTATAAATTTTTTAAGCACAAGGTAACATGATTATCTCATTTGTAAATGTATCTGTTTTCTCGAGAGTATTTTGGAAGTGTCGAAAGGTGATCATCAGTTTACTTACTTCATACTGACCATGGATATCACCAACAACCTTAATTGGTACTTCAACTTCAACCAGTGAACCTTCTTCCATTATAATTGTCCCAGCAGTGGACATTAATGCCAATATTTCTTCCAGCGTTATTTTTTGATTCATTTGAATCCCCTAAAGATTTTTAATTCCTCTCCCACTGAGACCCCTCAGTAGCCATATGTGTTTGCGCATCAATCAATTCGCACAAAATGAGTTGTTTTAATTTTAAATACACTTAATCATTGTATATGATGGATAAAACATCCATTTCAGACATGGCGTATTAAAATAGAAAAAAATTTAGAATTGAATTAGGTGGCGAATTAGGAAGGCCTTCATAAAGGACCAATATCAGACAAAAATGTGCATATTAAAACATTGTCATTAATTCATAAATTATCCTGCTCCAAAATATATATTAACCTCGGGAATCATAATTCTTCAAGCTTAAAATATTATCATAAAAGAAACAATGTAATCAAGAAAAACTGATTTACTTTTTTGGTACCCATTTCTTCTAGTGTAGCTATCATTCTGTCCAATGTTTCCATTTTAATGCCTGCAGCCATCGCTTCAATTCAGCTCTTTTTGCAGTAATTTTCAACCAATATCCGGAAACACAACAGCTTTGCACTAATAGGAGCCTTACTTTAATTTACAGCGATCCGTTGAAAATACAAGATGAAGAAAGCAGAGTACGTGACCCTGCCTGCTACTAATATCAGGTGATAAAATAAACTAATAAAGTCAGAATCATTCCAACCTGTTTTATCCTCTTTTCAAGACTTGGCAAGTTTCTAAATTTAATTTACATAATCTATGAAAATTCAATACGACCACAAGATAGTGTAACTTGATGAAGAATTATCAAGAAAGTCAAATGATGCATATTCTACAATTGATAATTCATTCAATACAAATTTCATCAAAATAAAAGATCAAAATTTTTTACTGGTATATTTCCAACTTTTTTACACAATTAATAAGCATTCTTCATAGTTCAGTGATTTATTAACATTTTATGCCCTTCTGACGTCGGTGAATAGTTTCGCATGTTAATTAACGTATTTTTAGAAAGATGAAATAAGTTTGGGTAACTGCTTATTTTGTTAAGAATGCAATGTCTGTGTGGAAATAATGCTTACAATTAAGTGTGACACATTCTAGCGATTACTGTTTATGCCTCGTTAAGTAAGATTAACACATTACACTATTTTCACTTCCAGTGTTCCATGCTAGGTATAGTTATGAGAAATATCACGGATAATTCTCTAATCTGGCATTAAATGTTTTCGAAAACATGCATAAATGAGAGCAATATCGGACGATATTACTATTATCGACTCTTCTCTCGAGATGCTGCTCTGTGTTCCGCTTAATTCGGCCAGGTTTAATTAGTCCTAGTGTTTTATTGCCAGTATTAAATTATCATTTACGTGCTTACTGTATATTTATGAGATAAGCAAATATATTTTATATAGACAGAAAGAGTCAGACAAATGTTCTCTGTTTGTCTTCATTCTCGCTCTTTTTTGCTCATTTTAAAAATTTTTATTGGACGGAAACAAAGGAACCAATGCGATAACGATCAATACGTATATGGCAGCAAATGAAGACAGCAATGGATTTTCTGCAGGTGGCATTTGACGTTGTATGTCGCATGTCTATGCCATCCTTCCTGTTTTCTCAGCCGTTACCTTTCTCCTTGCTTTTATTTGTAAATAGTTATTCAACTCAACTGTTTGTAAAGCTTTAAAAGCTCTACATTTTTAGCAATGATGCATCATTGCTATAGCAGAGCAATGAAATGGGGGAATATCGCATTCGATAGCTGTGGAATGGTAGAGGGAGGAACTCCGACACCAAAAATATCTCACTCGTAATCCATTCTCCATTATTACTCCCATGTAAATAAAAGTCTGTAAAAATGATAATTACTAGTATGGAATAAAAGGAAAAGAAAAATAGTGAGAAAATAAATGAACGATTTGATTGCCTGATTGCTGGCTGCTTAATCAAGAACTTGGAAAGATCTACGGAAAAACTCAGGGAATGAATGTAATTCTCTAAACTATTGTTGATACTAACGCTATCCATTAGTTGCTATTCCAGTAGCTCTTCTCGTTGGCATTTTATTCAAACTTAGATTTCTTTACTATAAACATCGTTAAAACCTAGCCACGTCCCATCATGTTCCTCCCACTCCTTTACTTTAGCCTATGACTCCTCGACCTTGGTCACCAGTCTGAACAGTTATTATATTGCATATTAGTTGTATGCCGTAGACTATGAAAAAGTTGAGTATTAGTGGACTCGTCCATTTACGAGTGGATTTCTAGTTGGAAGCGGATTTATTATCTGCTCGTTGATATGATGCATGGTTTGATACAGAGATATGCATGTTGGGAAAGTTCATCTTTTAAATTTATTCCACAGTAACCGTTGAAATAGCTTTATATCCAAACGAGCGTATATTCGCATTAATATTGGTTAGTACTGAAAATTTTGCTTGACCATCTATCTAGCCTATAGCATGATTTAGTTTTCACCGACATTTAAACCAAATTAAAATTTCTTGAAGGAATAATAGATGTTGGTTGTCGCAGTTCGGTCAAATGCATATTGATGACGATATTTGTGGACAACTTGTTGATAGATGTCGATCTTTGTCTTTAAGTATTGTTTCTGATTAGTCTATGTACATTGCAGTTTATCCATTCTTGGCTCTTTATCTATAGGAAGAAGCAAAATGGTTATTGTTCACTAAGCGGATGAGTGTAAGCGAAAAAAGTTGTCATAAATGAGGGGTAAGGGAGTTTTTGTATTTCATAAATCTCCAAATATCAATTTCATATTCTACTTGATTTTTTCTTCCCATTTGGACGTTAAGATTATAGCCTCTGTTTAATCCACTCTACAGCTGAATTATGAAAATGATTTCATTGCTCAAATTGTGTTTCGAGTAAGGTGAATGTGAAGCAATATGAGACATAAGTCGTTTTTACCAATATATAGAACCTTTTTCCAATGCATGATCTCCCTGTTTTGTAGAAGGATCATAACAGTACCACTGTTTTATTTACTTTTCAGATTAATCATTTAATTAAAGAAGATGTTTGAAGATGATCCACCACCACTGCCTTCAGCTCCATCTGTCGAAATTTCATGTGACAGTACTTTTGCTGACTTAAACGATCATAATCGGTTCACTGCTGTCGCGGATGGTGATTACGATGGGAATAATGCAGAATTTTGTTTACATATGTCAGCCATACTTCAAAATGAATCAGATTCCGAATTTGTTAATCCTGAGATGGCAAAACTTCAGAATGAATCTGTGAAAGCAATCAAAATTCCAGATCGCGCTCAGAATCTTATAAAAACTCTACCACATAATGATTCTGATGGAGAACAGAATCTTCCATCTCCTTCTTTACAGTCTCGATCTCCTCAGTTTGCTCAATTTTCTAAACCTGAAGGTTCACCACCTGAGATTTCAGGACTTCCTGAGGACTTAGATGTTAAGAGCTCCGTTATGGCTCATTCTGTTGAGGTCAGTACTTCGTTATCAACGCATTGATTATTCCTCAAAATATATGTTTCAAATACTTTCCTACAATGTTGGTATATTCGATTCAGGAAGATGAGATTACCAATGATGGGTCACACGATATGTCAGCTTTTATAAAAAGGAGGAAGAATTCGATTTCAACAGAAAGTACGAAAGACGAGACGAAAGACAATTCAGATTTTCAGAATATCGGTTCGATTGATGAAAATAAAAAAGGAGTAGTTGTGCAAAGTGCTTTGCAAAACGATGAAGACGATGATGAGTTTGGTGATTTCGGAAACTTTGCTAAAGTGGTACATATTCACTTTTGTTACAAAATTCTCATATAAGGGAACGTTCCGTTTTATACGAAGTGACATAAACATGATGAGCAATTTTTTTGTAAACTTACTGTGTCTTTAACTGTTCAGTTCAGGAGAAAACTCAGAAAAGTGAAAATGACGATTGGGCAGATTTCGAATCCTCTTCATTACCTGATTTTGATATAAAAAATAAGTCGATTGAAGCTGTCCCATCTTCAGGAGCACAGTTGCACTTTATCGCTGAAACTGTAAGTTCGTGTAGTTTAGTTGAAATCATTTCTTACTCATCGTTTTTTGGATTGTCTTATAGGAAAGTTTAGATTTAACTGTATTCGGAGAGAAATGATCAAATTAATAATCATGACACATCTTTGGATCATAGAATATAAACCATGATCCTTCGTCAACATTATCTCTTTTCTTTATACACTTGATCTTTTTGCATTATATTGTCATAAAAAATCAAAATAATGAAATCAAATGATTTACACTTTCAAAATTTTGGGGTTGCATTTCAGCCACTATTACCGGCACTTCTAGAAAATTTATGCGATGATCAGCTATGGACAACAGTCGCTAGAGAAAAGGAAAACAATAATGAACATGATATTCCTGACAATGGAGTATATGAAACGTTAAGCAATGCAATAAATACAAAAGGCAAAGATAGGTGAAATTTTTTTTGTGTATAATTTATGATAAATTCAGAGAACTAATAACGATAGTTCTTCAAGTTTTGCAAATATCTTCATACTATTCGAAAAATCATTAATAGTTTTGTAATTACTTTACTTTATCACAAGGCACTGTTTTGTAAATAGGGTGAACTGAATTAATCGGCTTGATAATTATCGTAGTCCAAAATAGATTTTTGATTTGTGTTCATTGGTGAATTGTTTTGATCTCGCTTGAAGACCTGTTTAGACCAGATGCAATAGTATGGATAGCAGTGAGCATTATTGAAGAAGCACTAGCACTAAAATTACAGTGGCATGATTCATTGATCCGGAGTTGTTTTTTACATTCATTAGATATTGATGCGAATCAGGTTCGTCGTTTTTCTTTGAAAATTATTCGAGTACCACTTTTAACAAATTATGAAAATAACAATTAGAAACACGAAATGCCACAATTACATCATTCCAACAAATGAATTTTGATCTTTTTTCAGACTATTATTCGAAACTCAGATCTTCCTGTATTTGCGCAACAGCTTGAAGAAAGTACAGTCCTTGCACCTGCGTCTGTGATGAAAAGCTGCGATGGAGTTACACTGATGGATGAAAAAAATTCGTAAGTTTCGAAAATTTAGTCCATGGCATTTAAATCTTAACTCTATCTAAAAGCACAGTTAACATCTTCATTTTTAGGTTTCCGCAGTCAAATTCAACTGATTTCTTGTCTCATGAAGGTATCGAAAGGTAAGGGACGAGTAATGTTTTTACATTGGATATGAACGTTTACAAATATGTTTTACATTTGCACGATAAAATACAGAGCTTTTCACTGCTTCTGAATTTGCTGTGCACGTCTCTTTATTTCAAAGTATTTCGTTAATCTTACCTTGTTTAACCCACTGCAAAGTCGAAGTAATGTGGAGAGTAGAATTTGAAAATTTGAATAGGCCTTCAAATTTTTTTGTCGAAATTTGCAAATAATCAAATCAGATACTCCAATAAAGTTTGGAAGGTCGTATCTTTTTCATTCTTCTTCAGCTTTTTTGATTTTATTCTTTTGCTCAAATTCTTTTTTGTTCGCCTGATTCATATTAACTATTAGTTGTTTGCTTGCCCTCACCACTTACAATAATATGGGAACGGTGTTAAATGGTTCAGTGAGAATGCTGTAATTATTAGTTCCTTTAACCTGCTTTTTAGTTTTCACAGTTGCTGTTTGCAGGAGACGCAAACAATGCTTGTTGATCTAAATAGAAGCATAAATCTTGAAGAAGTATACCAGCATCATTGATCACATGATCCATGCATGACGTGACAGGAAAAGGTTCAGATCGTACTTCTTACAGGTCTTCAGTCAGTCAGCAGACACCTTCAAGATCCATTACTGTTGATTCATTGGCCGTTCCACCAGTGCAGTTTGACTGGAATAATTCCGGTCTAACAAATCCTCTCAAAACAGGATGTATGTTTTTTTTTTCTCATTTCATTTAATAGGCTTAAGTGAAGGAAGCAATCAGCAATTAATTTGTGAGGTTAAAAATATTATTTGTACATCTCATGATGTTCATGTTTTGAGTGATTTTCACGGTTTTTATTGATTTCACAATTTTTTTAGCAATTTTTTGATATCTTTATATATATATATGTATATATATATGGAGGCCTGTTATATATATAGCAGGCTTCCAGATCAAATTATTGCAATGAAATATCAGACACTACCTTCTCATAATCAGAATTAGACTCAGTTATAGTACGTTAACTTTAGCATCTCTTCTATACAAAAAACTTCATGTATAAAAGGATGGATGATGGCTCTGTTGTTAAAAAATGTCCTTTACCTCTTCTGAAATTGATTTGTCTGTGTTGAACAGGTTTTCCTCAAAAAGTACATTAATTTTTGCAGCATTAGGTATATCATCTGCATCACTAGACTTGGATTTTTTGGAATCGACAAATAATAAAGGTTTAACTGGTGATGGTTCGCCAACCATGCAGGTGTTTTCAACCCTGCAGAAGGTTTTGTTCATTGTTTCCTGTATTTTGATGGTTGTGTAATAAATCTTCGCTGAAATAATAAAATGCTTGAAATAAAAATAATGCTTTTTTTTAGTAGTAACTTGAGTTTATTGATTATGTAAATCAGTTTGTTAATGCACTGTTTATAATCGACATTATTATAATTTATGATACTTTTCGTAGAAAATTGGCAACAAATGCAGGCATGAACCAGTGAAAGTTAGTAATGCATAGCATAAGCTGATAATAATGTGTTGACATATATTCACCTTGGGATCTCCACGTTCTTAAATTGAAACTTGTTTTTAATAAATTTACTGGCTTCCTACAGGATCTGACTGCATTTGGTCTAAATTTGCCAGATGATGCCGGAAAGAGCAAAACTGAAAGAGGTGTTTCAAGCAACACATCGTAAGTGATTCCATTATGTTAAGCAACAGAAATCTAACAAAGTCCTTTAATTGTCCTTTTTTCGTTTGAGAATGCGTTGTATTTTATAATGTAATACGCATTTTGTTATGAAACTGTAGAACTGGCAGTGTTATATCTGAAAACTTTTATCCATCAATATAATACAATTAAGTATTCATGTCTGTCTTCAAATATTTCTTGCTATGTTCATGCGAATTACCAATTTTTGCTTGTTTCAGAATTATACTGGATTGTATGCTGAACAAAAATGGTGATAAACGAAAATATATGCCAGCAAGCGAACTTTCACTTGATGCTCGGGCTCTTCATGACCAATTACCGGATCTGGACTATATGTTATCCGATGTTCTGCTTTTTCCCGTCATCGATCGTTAACTAGTGGATTTATTATGCGGTTAACTAGGATTTTTTCTTATAATTGTCATATGGATAACCAGATTTTTTTAAATGTTTTATTCAGTTAGTTAATTTTTTCAGTTAAATTCAGTTAATTTTTTTGAATGAGATGCGGAATTCTAGAGCACTCACATCTCCTTTTTATATTTTTATATGGTAACTGTTTTATTGTTTTTTTTTCCTTTCCTGTGAAGTTTTAATTAACATATCTGTTGTACGGGTGACTTGTATTTTGTTGTGGTTTTTTGCTGTAATTTTTTGAACTGCTTTGTCGAACAAACTTTATTGAGTGGATTTTTTTCAGCAGCAGAAATTTCCAAGATTGTTAAACATTGACGATTGTTCTTTATAATAGTTCGTCTTTATTACAAGTCTTATATGTTGTGTTTTTTGTTCACTTATTTTTAAATGAAATATAAAAATTTTATAAAACAAATTTTTATCGCTTAATGAAAAAAAGTAGGATTAAAAAATCTCGTTCGAATTCCCTACCCAGCAAATATTTTCACAGAGAAATGCTAACATAATTGTGACCTTTCCCTTGAGCGAATGCATCATTTATATTCTATGATTTTGTATTGCTGAAGATTTGATTTTCTCTGAATTATTTGAAATACTAATTTTGAATTGTTCCACAATGAATCCACCTCCATTTAAAATTATTTTTTATTTAATCACTTAATTCAACTTTGACTTAATCATGCTAACAATATGTATTATTAAAATGAATTTTGAATGTCTAAAATTTAGTAGAGTTCGTTTAGATTGAAATAGATTCCTACGGAATTTATTATGTAATCAATTCTTCATTTTAATAAACATTGTTTCAACAGCAATAATTGTAAATATTCCGTATTCCAGGTGTGTTATACCCCAGTCTTTCTGAATAACAGAACATCAACGTCATTAGGTAGGTATTCAAAAATCTTTGAAAAACTTTCTAACAATGTAACTTTAACTTAACGAGTCTTAAAATTGATCTTAGAATTTAACATTTCAAGAGTAGGTTAGATTTTTCGTACAACTTTCTTCGAATTTTTCCCATAGTAACATATTCGATATGACTAAAATAACAATAAATAGCACTTTTGACTGAAAAATGATCTATGTGCTAGTAGCACTGAATGATATCGTAAAAAGTAAAAGAAAAAGGTTTTCTTTAAAGTTTTACTGGCGCCAACATTCTCCTATTTTCACTGTCTGTCATTTGTTTTTTTTATAACTGAATGAACTAATTGATTCACTTCACACTACTTCCGTTAATTTACTAAACTTTGTTTATTCTTCGAAAGAATTTGTTGAAAAAAGCTGCCACACTAATTTACACAATGCAATTGTACATCAAACTAATGGTAGCCATCAAGTATGCACATAAATTTCAGAAAGATAAAAAAGTTAAAATTTAGGATTCAATGTTTGATTGGATGATGTGATGTCAAAACTTGTTAATTTATTTATTTTTTTTTGCTTGTTAACTTTACCTTCACTATGCACAAAATTCATTCATCCATTAGAAATAAATAGTTTACCTTTGAATATGCTAACGTTAAAAATTCATTCTGGTATTTTTTCTTTTAAATTTAAAACAAATTTTGAAATACGATTCTGTTTTTCTTGGAAATTGAGATTTTATTTTGGAAGAGATTGTACAATGATAATCAAACAGGTAATCAATAATAAATGAGGTTATTAACTTTTGGGTTATCACTTATAGTATGTCCATAATATATATATTATATATATAACGAGGAATCAAACATTATTGGCTGATTTCAAATGATTTGTGGACATTCCCAATTGTCAGGCATTTCCACCAAAAAAACACTAAAACATTTTTCAGAGATCCTATTGAGAATGAGTGATGACATAAAATTGAAATTGGTTCATTGAATTCAATTTTATTTGTTTCTTCACAAAATATCCGAAAAAAATTCTATTCTGATGGAAATCATTCAGATCAAGGATTCGAGTCAATAACTCGAAATAGCAGGGGATGGAGTGAAAGATTAAATAACATCTCCCGCATTTTAAATTTTCTTGAAATCGAATGGAATAATATTTTGATTGCGTGACAAAAGATATAAAATGAAATTATGAAATTGTGATCTCTTCAAAGTGATCAATAATATCGTAAAGGTCAAAATGGTATATGATTCGTAATGTCTGATCTATGAGTCAGTACTGTACTCAATTGATCGGGCCTTAATACAATAATAGCACTATCAACAGTTGATCGACTGAATGGCGACTAGATCCAAAAATGTTGAAGGGAGAAAGGAAGAATGGACGACACATATCGTTGACTGATTGTCGGCGCCTTAAACCGATCACTTCGAGCATTTTCATTGGCGCCTCTCAGGAGCCACTTCTAAAAAGATATCAGCTGTTTTCTATACTCCCCCTCATCTATAATTTCAAATAACTTTTTTGTTTCTCCCAAAATTTATAGCAAATTTTATTATAAATTGAATGATTTTTAGATGTAATGACGAATAAGGTCTCATCAAATTTTGAAATTTTTCAAAATTTACTTTTCATTTATAAAAAAAAATAATGAAATTGCATATATTCTTTTTGTTATTTTTTAAATTAAATTATCCATAGAGATTGTTTGATGGAAAAGATGGCAGTTGAAGAAGTATTTAATACACTTCAATAGGCTGTTAAACAAATTGCAGAATAATTTTTTTTTGTACTCAAAATGATGAGCGGAAGAAGGTGATAGGATAAACTAACATCAAAAACAGAGATTTTGTTGAAAATACAAATTCAATCTTACACTATCAAAATTGATAATTTATCAGTGCTTCTCAGATAGATTATTATTACAAATCATTGTTGATAATAGTTTTGATGTAAGAATTTTATGTATTAAAAATGTAAGTGGAAAAAACTTTCAAATTTTGAAAAGTTTTTACTTTTTTTATTTGATGAAAATTTTGAAAAATTTGCATCAATGTTAGCGAGAATTGAGATGCAATTAAATTGGATGAAATTATGAAATGAATAATGAAAATTTGAAATGAAATAATTTAAGAATTGATAATTAATAAGCTGGCGGAGATGTTGTGCAGTTATATCGTCCAAATTTTGGAGCAAAACGCAGAAAACATATTCAATATGAGAAATATGCAAAACATAATATTTTTGATGCACAAAAGTACAAATACATGAGAAAATATTGTATTGCAAGCATAGCATACACACATAATAATAGTAATAATGAAAATAATAATAGTAATAACAAT